GTCCACTTAGCAGTCGAGCGGGGTTTATTTACTCTGGATAAGAGTGCAATGAGCAAGGTGATATGAAGAGTGGGTGTAAGTTGAAAGACCTAAGAAAAGAAGGTGCCGTGCAGAGGGGACATGGTCCCACTTTTGGAACTGTATGCAGTGAATATGGATGCGAGTTTGGCTTGAAGAGGCGTGAAACGCCATTCACGATCATGTTGGAGATACTAGTCCATTGATATTTTGTAGCAAGGCAGGTGAGTGTAACGGGGTTGGTGCTACTTGGGGGTCGTCAGAGAGATCATGATCACTGTCAGCGTGGTAATTCCACCATGATCGTGATACACAAGATTAGCAAGGAGGAATTATTTCCCAATAGGTGCTGTTGAAGTTACCACAAAGATTTCTTATACTGCACAGCAAGGTAAGTGAGTGTAATGAGTTAGTAGTACTACTCAGGGGTTCACATAAAGAGAGTGATCACACCCACTACAGTCAATTGCGCAGGATGGCGATGAATGGGATTAGCAAGAACATATTATTCTGTAAGGGGTGCTACTGAAAGGAGAGCTCTCTCTGCTCGGACGACTTTTTTGTCATTCCTATCAGTAAGGAACCTCACACAAGTGAATTTCCCTCGCGGTCATGTACTCAACGAACTACAAGACCGGATGATAGACATGTACAAGGAGTGATAAGCCAAGGGAGACGGAAGCTGGAAGCTCTTAATTGATATCTGGAGTAGCTATCTCTCAACCGAGGCGCGGCTTTTCCACCACCACATGGCAGAACTTCAGAGGAAACCACCCACGTTTCGGAACCTACGGCCGGTAGTTCAGCCGATGGGGTCATCCATGCAAGATCAACCCACACCTTTCTCGTGCCTTCCCCAGATTCTTTCAGGTGGCCTCGTTCCAAGCCTAGTGTCATTTTCGTCTCAATTTTTTTTTTTATCTACTCTGTCGTACGTCGATGTGGTTGCTGTAAAAGGTATCATAATCGTATATATACAAAAAGGTGATGTAAAAAGTAAAAAGTAAAACCCCAATCTGATTCGCGCTTTTCAAGCATTCATCCCCTAAAGTAAATAGAACAACATCGTAAAGATTGCTTTGTGTAACCACAGCACCCCCCTCTATTACCAATGAAAACACCACCACCTTCTCCTCTGTGGAACTTTCCCACTATTTTCAAGTTACCCCTTAAAGCATCAGGACAACCAGCATACCGACAGCACCTCCCAAAACTGACATCTTCATGTTGATGCCCTCGCCCAAGCGGGCTCCACCAGCCGTCAGGGCGGGAGTAGATCCGTTGTTGGCGAGGTTGCCAGTTCCAGTAACCTGAGCACCGTTTGGCCCTGTGGTTTGAGCCACAGCAGTCACCAAAGTGGTAGGTACGCCCTCAGCGTTGGTGGTAGTAAGAGTGGTCAAAACCTCATTTGCCCCAGTACCGCCAGATCCAGGGCCAGCAGTGACGTTAGGATCCGTCTCCAGAGTCTCAGTTCCGGTGCTTCCATCTGGGTTGACGAGGCCGCTGCCGCTACCATCACTTCCAGATCCAGATCCACCATTAGAGCCAGATCCAGTCTCGCCACCAGCACCACCAAGACCAGGAGGGGTTACCAAACCACCAGATGGGGCGGCGACACCAGAAGGCTGGGCGACTCCGGGAATAGGGAGGAGACCGCCAGAAGGAGCAGCAACTCCAGGAAGAGGCAGAAGACCACCCGTGGGCTGGGCAACTCCGGCACCAGCAGTTGTGCTGTTGAGGAAAACGAAGCCGCCAGCGCCGGTGGGAACGGGTTGAGGGACGGCCAAAGTAGGGGCAGTGCCAACAATGACTTGAGAGAATGAACCGATTGGGACCGGGGCGGGGGTTTCGACTACACCGGCGGGCCCAGTGGCTTCGGAAGCGACAGGTTCAGCAGCGGGGGTTTCGGCCGGGACTTCGACCGGGGTTTCGACCGGGGTTTCGACCGGGGCTTCGACCGTCGGTTCAGCGACGATACGAGTGAAGGAGCCGATGACGGGCGCAGCGGCAGGTTCTTCTACGACTGGGGGGACAACAGCGGCCTCGGTCGGTTCAGCCAGAGCGGGAGTCTCCTCGGCTGTGGGCTCGGCCACGATAGGGGTGAAGGACCCGATGACGGCAGGGGGCTCTTCAGGGGCTGGAGCCGCAGCTTCGGGAGCGGGACTTTCGACAACAGGGGTTTCCACAACCTGATATATCGAATTAGTGACTGTTTCTGTAAGATATTCATCAAGATACTTACCGGTGTAGCAAGACCTGGAGGGACCACGAGCTCAGGGGCCGGAGCCTCCGCGTCGAGGCCAGGAGGTGGGATTAGTGCAGGAGGGACCTCAACAGCCGGTTCTTCTGCTGGCAACGTCGGTGCCACTGTTGCTACTGGTTCCGCAGCTTCGGGAGCTGTTACCGCCACGGGCGGAGGAGTCACAACGGCGGCATCTCCAGCAAGATTGGGCAAAGGTCTAAGTTCTGCTGGCGCCTCTGCCTCACCGCCCTGTAGCCCCGGTAGTGGCCTCAATCCTCCTGCTGCTGCCGCCTCGTTCGCCGCCGCCGCCGCCGAAGCAGCAGCACTGGCACTTGCTGCCTGACTGGCAAGTACCTCTGGAGGGATGGCGCTGGGCGCCGGTGCGTCTGGGGTCTGAACGGCTGCCTGAGCAGCAACATCGCGGGCCACAGCGGCCAGGAGGATGGTGACGAGAGTTCTGGTTGAGAAATACATGGTTGTTGTCTTTAAACTCGAAACTCAAAAATCGAATCGATAGGGTCGAAAGGTAGGTAAAGAAAGACTTGCACGGCTCAGCCGTGTATAAAAATGAAGGTAGAAGAAACTAAACAATTAAGCTGACCTGCAGTCACGAAGGGAAGGTGAAGAGAGAGAGAGGGAAACGAGAATCGCCCTATGATACCATCAGACAGACCAAAACTTGGAGTGCAGAAGAGGAAGGAAAGAGGAGATAGACGAGGGAAGCCGGGTATAGAGGAGGGATATATGGCGGCACACGGTTCTATTCTCATGGGGATTTGCGACATCAGGAGTCTGACCATAGACCATTCAACGTCATCCATGCTCCCGCCCCTCTCCCACCCTCGCCGGCAGTGTGGAGAGGCTCGAGGAGGGTGCCATTTCGAGGCAGGGGGACCCGCTGGGAAGGGAACAGTCTCCTGATGAGGCGACATGGCAGGGTTGCTTCGAGAGAGCTTCCAGTCAATTGGAGATGTGATTGGCACAAACGACACAGTCGGGCCGTGCATCTTGATGCCAATGCAACCGCCTCAGCCAAGGCAATTGCAGTGTGCGTCAAGAGGTGGTGCACATCTGGATTCATCCGGTGTGGTTCCGTCTTGGGGTTGCGGCTCGTGGGGGGAAACACGGAGATGTGAAAAGGGGTCCAAGCTGCGTCTCTGACACAGAGCCCTGCAGCGATGAAACCACCTGCCACTAAGCACACTGGAGCTGTTAGCGAATAGCGTGTCATTGAGACCAATGTACTAACGCAATGGCAAGCGAGGCGGAATCCGGGAGAATTCAAAGTCGAAACAAAACTCTAAACAATTGGCCACTCTTGTGCCTCTGGGATGATTCACTGCAGGAGCTGGGGGATGAAGTCGACTTGGGGAGACGTTGCTGATGGAGCTTGCCATGCAATCTAGACCATTTGATATCTTCGAAGGGCCCTCAAGCTTGATCTCCGCCAGGTTGTGTTCTCAGTCTAGTGATCTAGATAAATATGCCACGAACTGGCCTGAGATCAGAAGATGGTGGGTCGTTGTTGTTAATCAAAAGATAGCTGGAAGAAGGAGGATTACGAACCTGCCTAATTGGAAATTAAAATTGGGCCTTGGAGTAAACCAGCTTGAACTGAAATGTAAACACACGGCTGACAAAAACTATCAGATTGGGCCTATCGACAGTGACCAGATGGTCGTGTCGTGGTCTGGAGATCCGGGCCTTGCACAAGCTCCACGAAGTGGAATGAATACTCAAGGAGGTAGGTCGCTTTGAGAATGAGAAGGTCTGGAATTATGTCAAGACGTATATAAGAACTTTGAACCAAAAACAAACAAAAATCTCGATTCTTCTCCAATGAAGCTTCCAGATACAAATCCAATGGACCTCCAACCGTTGGCCTCAAAGTGGTCAAGATCAAGGTGAACCCACCCTTGCCAACGGCGTCGATCTTGGCAAAGATCAATGTGGGGCACCTCTTTCTGCCACTTTACCCCGCCTAAATTCAAGCTTCCCCAAGCTATCTCACCACCATCACCACCACAGGTCGCATTAACCCACCTCACCATCACCACTTTGCGCAAACCCCAATCCCACCCCCAAATCCGCCCACACACACCCTTCAAAATGGGCTGGTTCAACGGCTGGTTCGGCGGGAGCGCAGACAACTCCTCCTCCGACCCCCTCGCCCACCTCGATCCCAAACTCCGCGAATTCCTCCAAAAAGAAGCCCCCGTCAAATACACCCCCTCCTCCGAATCCTCCCCCCCAACCCCCGCCGTCCCACCACACCGCCAGCTCGACCAAAAATCCCAAGACGACCAAACCGCCGCCTCCCAATCCACCGTCCCCCCCCGAATCCCTCTTCCCCGACGGCCGCTACGCCCACCTTTGGAAAACCTACACCCCCCAATCCACCATCGAAGCAGCAACCAAAACCGACCACGAAAAACTCATGGACGTCCTCGACTCGTACAAAGACCGCAAAGCCGCCATCGGCCGCGCGCCCTCGAAAATTGCGCCGACGAGCAATTCACCTGGGCCACGTGCATGAAATCCGGGGGGGTCAAAGCCCGGCTGACAATGTGCTCTGACGAGGTCAAGAAATTCGAGCGCTGCTACAACAACCAATCCCGTCTTTTGAAAGCGTTGGGGTACTGAACACCTATGGGAGAAGCGCCGAGGAGGATGAGATGATTCAAATGAGGGCCGATGAGCTGTATCATCAGATGTTGAGGCAGGAGGAGGAGATCAAGAGGGCCAAGGAGGAAGGGAGGGAGGCGCCCGAGTTTAGGAGTGTGCTGGAGGAGGTTGCAAAGGTTAGGCAGCGGCAGCAGGAGACTGCTGGGGAGGCGGTTGGGAAGGTGAATATTCCACCGCCGCCGGCCGAGTTGATCGCGAGTTGGAAGGAAAAGTTGGAGAAGTTGCCTGAGCAGGATAGGGCGGCCGAGGAGGCGGCGTTGAGGGCGGATTATAGGGCTAATGCCGAGATGGCGGCGAGTATTCAAGGCCTGTGGCAGGAGCAGGCGAAACAGAGGGAGGAGAGGAAGAAGAAGGGCGAAGAGACGTTTATGGATCGGTTTAGGGGCATGGTTGCTGTGGGGAAGGTGACGGAGAAGAAGGAGGATAACAACAAATAGGTTAGCTTGGGAAGGGGACGGGAAAATGTAAGAATATGAGGGTCTTCATGGTTGAATGTTTGTACAAGAGATCTCGTTCAAATCGTTGCTCATTTTTGGCGTCAAAAACTGGCCGAATCAACGGGCCATGTTGTATATATCATGGCAGTAATGGCGGTGAGAAGTATTGCTACCTCCTTTTCTCCATCGCCGCAGCCGCTCTTTCTAAAAAGGCATTGAACTCTTTGATTTGCTTCAACGTGCCCCCACCATCGCTCTTCGAGCTGGCTTGATCAGCTACTCGGCTGACCAGTAGTTCAAAATTGGCGAGATCGGCCTTCTTTTGCTCAGCGGCAGACAGCTCTGGTGCTGCTTGCGCCTTTTCCACCGCAAGATCAATATCATGCATGGCCGACGAGAGAGAGATGTGTCGCTGCCAACAAATTAGCAATCTTGGTCACCGATAACGATTGTATCAATAGCAAAACAACATACCAACGCCTCCCTGCTCTCCACCTCATGCTTCATCCTGATCGCATCCATCCTCAACGCGACCTGCTCCCTCTCCGCCCTAACCCGCATGATCTCATCCCTCATCGCAATCTTCTCCTTCTGCACCGCCTTGACCCTTTTGCGCAAGCCATGAAGCTGATCGAGGGCAATAGTGTGATCCAAAAGCTTGGTCATCAACTCCCTATGAAAGGCTTCCAAGGCTCTCAGCATCACCTTCTTCTCCCTTCTTGTGGCGGCATCCTCCGCCGCTTCCTCTGCTGCGCGGAGTTTCCCCATGTAATTCTCGGCCATTTCGTCGCAGAGTTTGGACAGCACATCGAGAATATGGACGCCCGGACCGCGGTGAGAAAATTGAATTTCATCATCGTCGAGGTCGTCAGCTTCGGTTTCAGGGTCGATGTGGGGCTTGCTGAACCGTTGGACTGTGATGGGGACGGAGCCGGAGACTTTATCTCCAAAGTCTTTTCCCTCCGCATCGTCGGAGTTGGTTCTTGGTTTCCTCTTTGCTGGTGGCTTTTTGGCCTGTTGTTTTGGTTTTGGCTTGGACTTCTCTTGAACTTTGGACTGTGATCGGCGTGTTGGTGGTCGCGGGGAGGGTTGTCGTGGTGAGGGCTGCGCTGGTGAAGGCTGCGCTGGTGAAGGCTGCGCTGGTGAAGGTTGTGCTGGCGATGAGTGTTGTGGAAGCTGTGGTTTAGGTGGTTGTTTGCCTGTCCGTACCTTTCTTGACAGGCTGCTGTTGCTGTGCTGGACTGGCCACCGCCTCCCTCCTTCGCCGTTTTCTCAGTGCTGGTGATTCTGCCACCGGCATTGGTGGTTGGTCTGAGCCTAGCTCTGGTGAAGGAGCAGGGGCGGTTCGGCGAGTAGGCCGCTTCCTCCCTATTCGTTTAGTAGCCTCTTGCACACCAATCTCTTCAGCCTCTTTCTCCTCTGGTTCCTCTACGGCCTCTGGTTTTGGCTCCGGTAGTTCCGGCTCTGGTTCTGGCGCATCGGCCACATCATCATCATCTGCCCCAAGCACAGCTGACTCCTCCGCCTCAGGCTCCCTTTCTCCTTCCTCCTCCTCCTCCACCACCACCTCCTCCTCTTCCTCTGGCTCCTCTTCCTCAACGGCATCCGGGACATCCACATCCTCAGCTGCATTCTCCTCACCTTCAACAACACTGCTCGACCTCAACCTTGGACTCCTCCTCTTGCCCCTCGAAGACGTAGGAGACGTCACGGACATTGTACTCCCTCTCATACTCATACTCTCCGACATCTTCCTCATCTCTGCGCTCTTTCGTATCCTCGTTCTAACCCTCCTTTCTACTGGTGAAGAACTTGCCGGGATACCTCCAGGGTTTTGCTGAGTAGTCTCATCTAGATCCTCCAAAACCTTGTGCAATAACGTACTCGACCCCACGACTGGGCTATTCCGATCGAGCAAGATAGTCCTTTGCCGCTTCCCACTGCCAGGTGCATCAGCCGGGCTTTCCATGACTACCTCCTCCACTGTTGGCGTTGGCTCCTCGGGTGAAGTGTGGATAGTAATCCGCTTTGTCGCCGCAATGACAGAGGAGAGCGGACCTCGTTGCTTTTGTGCGGTTCTTTGAACGGATCGCGGGTATGGTGCTGGAGGGGCATCTTCCATGTCGACATCCTCCTCTACGGCCTCTGGCTCGGGTTGCGAGTCGTGCATAGTCACGTCGTGGTCCTCCTCATTTTCAGCCTCTTCAACTTCATCCGAAGCTGGGGGGCGGGTCATATGGCGAAGAGAAGAGCCCTGAGCTCGAACAGACGCTGGAGAACGTGGTGGCAGTGAGGCTGATCTTTCGGTACTGGTGCCGTCGGGTATACTGTATACAGACCGGGGAGGGCGGGGAGAACGAGAGGGGCTGGGGCCCATAGACGGGGAGGATTGCGCAACGCCATCGCGGTCGAGGTGTATTCGCTTGGCGGATGTGTTAGGAGTTGGTCGGCTGGTGGTTGGAGGTGGCGGTAGTGGTGAAGCATCTGGGAGCTCTTCCTCGATTGTCTCTTCTGGCTCCGGTTCTGTGGCGATGGGAATCACAAAGCCAAAGTCTAGGTCATCCCCTACTTCATGACGACTATAATTGTTGACGTTAATTGGGTCCTCTGAGCAGATGTCGTAGGGAAAATACTCACCCAGCACCGCGCATCCGATCTCGAATGCGCTCCTGTCCTTGGTTTTGTTAGCTATGGTACAAGCACTGGTTAAGCCTAGCATGAGGCACATACTTGTCGCCATCCTTCCCAGTCGTCCTCTCGGTCCTAGAATATGTTGCGCTCAAACAATATTACATGCTGGGGTCCCAATGTTTCGGGAAGATGTGGTGTAGCGAACTGCTGTTCGGTGTCTGCGGTGGGGACCTTGAAGAGTGACGCGCTCCAGCTTGAATCGCAAAGCAAAAGACGCGCCGTTGATCGGTGGGGACCCCGCCGATTCGCAGTGGACGCGAGAGTTAATTTAGCGGGGCCTTCCCGCTCGGCACAAACTGCCAAGGCAATTGACCCCTGAATTGCTCTGACAACATCCCACTACCTTAGGTGCAAAAAACAATGCTTTGAACATCTGGAACAGCAGAAGAGGGCATTTATATTTTGTAGTATCACCTCAGCAGTTTCGGAAGCGTCGAATTCTTCTAGAGCTCTGGGAGTCTACACACCTTAGGTTTTCACTTCGTATAAAGTTCAATCCTCGTGCTGGCAGAGACGGTATAAGACCAAAGGTTTTAAGAAGAAAGTCGAAAGTCATCTGAAGCATCAAGAACATTTCATCCAAGACATATCGATTGCCCTTTACTCCAAGCCACCGGCTGCTTTCGGGCCTCGGCCTCGCCTTGAGCTGCTTGTTACGAATGTCTTTCTTTTTATGTTCCTGGTATTTGGTCTCATCCACCAGCTGATACACGTGAGTTCTCCACTGTGACACTCATGTTGACACATTCCAAGCTTGTCCTCGCACATGCGGCAAGCCCCTGGTAGAGCAAGTTGAAGAGACACCACAAACTTAGGTGTGCCACAACATGCTTATAATCAAAACCCAGCAAATCATGAGGTCAGGGTGACTTGAGACAGATTACATGGTCATGTGTTCTATCGTGCCGTTCGTTTCTACGGACTTCACACAGTAAGCCGTGCATAAACCTCTTGTGGCTTTGCGATGGGCGCTATTCCCAACCGAACAACAGTGGTGTGAGGACTCTCCTGGTCGAACTGTATACAGGTTTCACGCTAGTGCCTGCGCATATCAAGCCACCACCTCTCACCAAACAAGAGACGTAGTGGCTGGGTCTTGGGGAGGATGAGGAGCAGAACTCCGATCCCAAGTTTCTTGGCCATCGCGCTTCGCCTTCGCTTCCCACTTCCTGGGCAGACGGGTGCTTGATATTGTGTTTACCACAACAACCTTGTACAACCTCTCTTGCACAAAGGGACTCTGCAGGATCTGATTCCGAGATCCATGCTGTTCATGGTGACACGTTTCTAGGCAAATGAGCCAGTCAAAAGTACAGGGAAAGGGCGGACTGGAAAAGCTTGTGAGTGTGTGCTCTCACGAGCCGCCAATGTCGGATGCACCGGAACCGGGTGTTGCCAAAGAAATTCATGTCAGTAAGAGGGTTTGAGGACCTTAATGTTATCTGTGACCTGTTCCACCAGATCCTGAGCGTATCGGAACTCAGACCTACCAAAAGACCGATACCAAACAGACAGCACAAATCAACACTGGTTGAGCATGAGCATCGTGCCGCAACAACCAGCACCCGTGCCTCGTGAAATCCCAAACTGTTTGCCCATTGACCCGATCGTGGTCCCCCCTCCCTCTCAGGATCGGAGTGTTCCTAGACAGAGACTCACCTGAAGCAAGGTGGCTGGAAATGCTGTGGGAATATTGATGCAAGCTCCTGCATCTCCTATATCGGGCGTCTCCTGCACCTTTTGGGTCAGCGAATGATGAAAATTGTAGCGATGTGAATGCCTCAACCTTGGAAGTTGTGATAAAAGCGACCCGCATTTCCTTCTTTTGCTGCCCCCTCGACGCAAGCTAGTGGCTGGGGTTCACGAACCAGCAGTGTTGCTATGACCTGTCTAGGAGTCCCAAACGAGCATAGCCGGCGAACAGTCAAGAGGTGTGAAGGGAAAAGCAAAAACACGCAGTCAAAGGATTTGAGGACTGCAAGCTGCAAGCCTGGGGGGGCAGCTCCCGGCTGCGGCACAACCATCTTGACAGCCAATGGCTTCAGAGCACCCGCCGCGCGTTTCCAAAGCATAGAGATTCTTGGGACAATGGTGTGGTTGATGTGATGGTGTGTGTGTGGCCTTCTGCTCACACTCTGGGTCAGTTATTAATTTATCATGCAGTTCCTTTGGCGATTGGTGGTCTGGTCTCCCCCCCTGAAGCCAGCGTGAAGCTGGGCGCCCGCTATGAAGCATTGGGAAAGCGGGAGCGAGGATGGCTTTTGGGGCCGCCTGGTGAGGCGCGTGAAAGAGAGGGACCGAGGGCTTACACATGGACCACGGCACCAGGTGAAACCCCAGGTTTCCAAGACACCAAGGTTCTAACCACGGTGGGAATTCATGGCATTCAGATTCCAAGGAATAGGGACTAAATTGACAGAGATAGCCTCATATAGTCTGTCTACCTCGTACTCGGATGAATCCCATAGGTCAGCGGCAAAGGACAGAACAACACCAAGGTCAGAAAAAATGGGAAAATTCTTACCAAAGGCAACGCAGAAGCACCGCATTCTCACAGCTGTCAACCCGACAGAGTGACATTTTCAATGTAGCCGAGAGGCCCGTTGCTGAACCCAAGTCGGATTTGGGTCTGGGGTGAGCGAGACTGGGGCTTGGCGCAGGCCGAGTCCCCACCACGCTAGTCAAAGCCGGGTCAGCCCCACCTTCTGGTCACAGCTATTCCCAAGCGGGCTAGTCTTGATGTGCAGCCAATCAGACGTTTGCAGAGTCTCCGCTGCCCATCAATCAGGTGGGCGGCGGTCCTTTCTCCACCACTTTCAACGTACTCCCGTCCACCATCCCAGTTGTTGGACGCACCCTTTCAACTGTTCATCTCATCGTCGAAACCCGTTCGCCGCCCACCTTCCCACCTCGAAACGACCCAAACCGCTCCCCATGGTCGAATAACAACCATATCCTCGATTGTCCGGAGACCCCCAATCCTGGTGGAAACCCCCGCGCTCGACGCTGTTCTGAAGAGCCCTTCATGAAGGCGCTCCAATCGCAGTCATGGTGGGCTTCGGTTGGCGAAAGCCAGCAAACGTCGCCGGCACCTCGGCGCCGGCCATCCTTTTATCGCTCTTTGTAGCCACAGGCGGGCTTTTGTTTGGATATGACACCGGGTAAGTCGACTCGGCGCCATTTTGGTCGGACGCGCTAGGATTTGGAGGGACTTTTGGCTGAGCCGTTTGGTGCATGCAGGTCGATCAACGGTATTCTGGCGATGGAGTCGTTCAAGAAGGATTTCACCACCGGCTACTTCGACAAGGAGGGAGTACCCGGCATGTACCCAAGCCAAGTGTCACTGATTGTGGCAATGCTGAGTGCAGGAACGATGGTGGGAGCACTCATATCGGCGCCAATAGGTGACTTATGGGGCAGACGGCTCTCACTTATTGCCGCCCTGGGGGTGTTTTGTGTTGGTGCTATCTTCCAGGTGTGCGCGACAAATGTGGCCCTTCTTGTTATCGGGAGGTTCGTAACACTTTCCCTTTTGGTGTCCAATTCATCCCTCAAAGTGTGACTTGTATTGACTTGATCTCATCAGAACACTGGCGGGCATTGGAGTGGGCGTTGTCTCAGTTCTTGTCCCATTATATCAGTCTGAGATGGCACCAAAGTGGGTGCGTGGAACGCTCGTCTGCGCCTACCAGCTATCAATCACGGCCGGTCTATTTGCTGCTGCCGGCGTCAATATCTTAACTCATAATATGAAAGGGGCCGCCGCGTATCGCATCCCCATTGGTCTTCAGCTTACCTGGGCTGTTGTTTTGGCCCTTGGTCTGCTGATCCTACCGGAGACGCCCCGTTATCTTATCAAGCGCGGCTACAAAGATGCCGCTGCTCTTTCACTCAGCCGTCTACGTCGGCTCGACATCACCCACCCTGCTCTCATCGAGGAGCTCGCAGAAATCCAGGCAAACCATGAGTACGAACTAGCTCTTGGCCCTGACACTTACAAAGATATATTCTTTGGCGAACCACATCTGGGTCGCCGCACACTAACAGGCTGCGGGCTGCAAATGCTCCAGCAGCTCACAGGTGTCAATTTCATCATGTACTATGGCACCGACTTCTTTCAAAAGGGCGGTGTCGACGACCCCTATCTCATCACCCTCATCATGCAGATTATTAACATGGTCTCGACGCTGCCGGGTCTCTTCGTCGTCGAATCGTGGGGTAGACGAAGGCTGCTCATTGTCGGAGCCGCCGGCATGGCCATCTGCCAACTCTTGATTGCCTCGTTCGCTACCGCCAACGGAAGCAATTCGGAGACGCAGAGCCGCATCCTCATCATTTTCGTGGCCATATATATATTCTTTTTCGCAGCCTCCTGGGGTCCCGTGGTTTGGGTCGTCACATCAGAAATCTATCCGCTGAAGGTACGCGCGAAGTCGATGTCCGTCTCTACCGCCTCCAACTGGCTTTTGAACTTTGGCATTGCCTATGGGACCCCTTACATGGTGGACACAAATAGAATCGAAGGGTCCCGGTCAATCGATCTCGGATCTCGCATTTTCTTTCTCTGGGGCGCATTCTGCATTCTCTCGATCGCCTTTGTCTGGTTTATGGTCTACGAGACGAGCAAGATCAGCTTGGAACAGATCGACGAAATGTACGAGAGGGTGGACCATGCGTGGAACAGTCGACGATTCGAACCGAGCTGGAGTTTCCAGCAGATGCGAGATTTCGGCTTCTCCGACAGTGGCATTCCTCCTCAGGAACCACAGCTCGAGCTGCAACAATCACGCAGCAGCGAATCACAGTCAGAAACAGGCGGAAGCTCGACGAATACGGCGACGACATCCTCGCAGGACGATAAGCTACCGATTCCAATAGGCCATGTCGATTTCAGTTACTGATGATTTTGCTTTTTGTACCGTGGGGTCAACTCGATTGTCGGTTTTCCTATTTGTATCATGATATATATCCGGACCAGCGTTGTGGATATCAGCGACGGAGTTTTTGATGTGACGGAGTTTGGGGGCATTAATCTCGGCCAGCTTTGGGATACTAAATATTTGGGCTCGCCACTTTTTTTTGGGATTTTATTGGGGATCAAACAATTCTTGACAAACATGGTTGTTGTTATGGGCTAGGGCTTCGGCGTTTAACAAACTTGGGATGATATCCGAGGAACAAAGCAGTTTTCCTCTCGTGTTGACTGAGCAAAGGCGCAAGGAGGGGAGGCACAACAGGACACAAGACAGAAAGCATCAGAGGTGGGCATTCAAGTAAATACACTCATATTGTTACTCTCTATCTGTTACTCTCACACAGCGCCCGTCACCGGTCATAGGCTACCTACATGTCTATATGCGGTGGATGTCAACAAAGGGTCATGAGGCCGTAGACGGCTCTCTTTCCTTGCCAACCCACCAAAGCAGGTTTCATGCGCCCTGCCACAAACCTTATTGGCAAGTAACACTGTGCAGATAACCCCGCGCCTGTGGTCAACTGATCGGCCCAGTCACCGGTCGAGCTTCCGCAGACAAACTAAACCGCCACAGCTCAAGTCACGCTAAGATCAGGTTTTGGAGCTTGCCTCTCAATCAAGGGACGCGGCAGATGTCGAAGATTATTGCAAAACTGAATTCTATCGGGTCGGGTTGAGAACAGGAAGACCAACACGAATCAATTGACTTGGACCAGCAATCATGGCGATGACAGTCGACATGCATGACCATATCCGCCTGCATCTACCACTACGCATAAGGGGACACCCCAAACTTGGTACAGCCAACACACGGACGCCAGCACAGAGACAAACGGTGAAATCGACACTGTTGGGCACCGTTACTAGAGCCATGTCGTCCCAGGGCTGTGGTTTCGCGGGCGAGCCTCACAAGGCAAAGTCAACAGTCAGTGTAGGTTTTTGTGATCCCCAGTCACGCCGACCCTTCATTTAACTCAATCTCCCTCCTGACTCCGGTCTCTTCCCGCCGTTACCCTTACTTGTCTCGCGTGGAGAATATTAACGGTAGTGTGACGCTTGGTTAACAGGCACTGGCGTCCAGTCTTCTTTCAGTCGCCGGTCAGCGTCGGCCCCGAGAGCCCCTTTTCCGCTGTGCTCGCCCCTTTTGGCGCTCTTCTCACTCGTTATGGCTTTCAACAGTACCTTGGCTTCGGCCGAGTTATTTGCCGGTAACAGTATCACCTGGGACCATCAGAGTTTGGAGCCAGGAACCAGCGAGCTCCCAACTGCTTCTTCCGAGTCACGGGCCGGTCTAGACTTCGAAGATGCTCGCGTATCCTCACATCTGGGTCTGGGGCTCGACTTCGGCCAGGACTATTTCAAGGTGGAAGTCCTCGTCTTTGTCGCTGCTCTTAGTTTGGGCTTCAAATTGTACAACCGCAGGGTTCCCAGACAAGGCATCCTTTCCAAAGCCACTTCGTTGCTAGCCACCATGGCTTTGCTTACTTCGATATCGCTCCTTTTGACCTCGTCGTTGCTGCCGAGTGGTACTTCTGGGCACAAGGGGCCACCAGTGGTCCCGGCCAAGTTTCTTCAGACGGCGTCTCCCACCACCAGCTCAGTCCCACAGTTCACAGTCCCTGCGTCTGCCGACAAAGGGAAGGACGTTGAAGCCAACATAGACGACCCCCTTGCCGCTAACCCGCAGCTGGTATGTCCTGGGTACTCTGCATCCAACGTCCAAAACACGAAAAACGGGTTTACTGCCGATCTTGACCTTGCCGGCCCAGCATGCAACGTCTACGGCAACGACATCGAGCACCTCTCCTTACTGGTGGAGTTTCAGGCCAACGAAAGGGTTCACCTTCAGATTGAGCCACGGTACATCTCGAAGGAGAATGAAACGTGGTTCAGATTACCCGAAGTGTTGATACCAAAACCTCAAAACGATCCTCTTTGCGAGGAGCACAACAGCGACTTTGTGGTCTCGTGGTCAAACGACCCGACATTCTCCTTCACGGTGAAGCGAAAGGCAACTGACGACACGCTCTTTACAACCGAGGGGAGCAAGCTCGTCTACGAAGATCAGTTCATCGAGTTTGTGTCCCCTCTGCCCGAGAGCTACAACCTGTATGGTCTCGGTGAAGTTATTCATGGCTTCCGCTTGGGCAACAATCTCACCAGTAAGTACCACCAAGTATATTCAATGCTCAGGCGAGATAGCTTACACACAGGCTAGGGACACTCTTTGCGGCAGATGTTGGCAACGACATCGACTGGAACATCTATGGCAGTCATCCTATCTATCATGACACAAGATACTTCACCACCGATGAGTCGGGGAAATTGACATATGCGCCTTATGCCGACGACAAGACGGCCAGATACACATCGTATACACATGGTGTCTATCTTCGCAACGCTCATCCACAAGAGGTGCTTCTGCGGCAACCTGGTATTACTTGGAGAACACTTGGTGGCAGCATCGATCTCTATTTTTACAGCGGTCCTCGGGCTGAAGATGTCACGACCAAGTACCAAGAGAGCGCTGTTGGCCTTCCGGCTATGCAGCAGTACTGGACTTTGGGATACCATCAGTGCCGCTGGGGCTATACTGGCTGGCAACGTTTGCAAGAGGTTATTGACAACTTTGCAAAGTTTGAGATTCCGCTTGAGACGGTCTGGGGTGGGTCTTTCTTTCCCTTCATATTCCGACAAAAGGTTTTCTGAACTGACATGTGGATATAGCCGATATCGACTACATGAAGAAGTACCGTGACTTTGAGAACGACCATGATACCTGGAACTACACCGAAGGAGAGGAGTTCATGAACAGGCTTCACAAGAATCACCAACACTGGGTTCCCATTGTTGACTCTGCCATCTATGCGCCTAACCCAGAGGATGAGGAAGATCGCTATCCTACCTATGAGCGGGGGCTGGAGGCAGATGCCTTTGTGAAGAATCCTGATGGGTCGATTTACTATGGGGCTGTGTGGCCTGGTTATACGGTTTTTCCTGACTGGGTTGGTGCTGTGCTTGGTGAGGCTGGGACTATCGACTGGTGGATTGATGAGATTTCGAGGTGGAGCAAGAATATCTCGGTGAGTTTCCCATGATGATATGTGAATGAATAAGACAATACTAACATGTCCAGTTCGATGGTATCTGGATCGACATGTCCGAAGTTGCCTCCTTCTGCGTTGGCAGCTGCGGCACCGGAAACTTGACACTCAATCCTGCCCATCCGCCCTTCAAGCTGCCCGGTGAGCCTGGTAATCTTGTCTTGAGATACCCCGAAGGCTTCGCGAAGACAAACGAAACCGAAGCCATCTCAGCGACAAAGGCGATCATCACCCAGAGCTACGGGCCAACCGCGACCGCCGTCCCCACCGTCACCACAACCACAACAACGAAGAACTTCTACCGGAGCACACCCACTCCTGGCGCAAGAAACATCAACTGGCCCCCGTACGTGATCAACAACTATCATGGCGACATAGGAGTCCACGCCCTGAGCCCGAACTCGACGCATAATGGCGGTTATCTCGAGTACGATTTCCACAACCTCTTCGGTCACCAAGTCCTCAACGCGACCTACTCAGCTCTGCTCCAAGTCCAAAAGGGCGTCCGCCCCTTCATCATCGGCCGCGGCACCTTCGCCGGCTCAGGCAAGTGGGCTGGCCACTGGGGCGGTGACAATGAGGCCCTCTGGGCATTTTTGTACTTTAGCATCCCGCAAGCACTGTCCTTCTCCATCTTTGGCTTCCCCATGTTTGGGGTCGACACGTGCGGCTTCAACGGCAACACAAACTATGAGCTCTGCTCGCGGTGGATGCAGCTCAGCGCGTTTTTCCCCTTTTATCGGAATCACAATGCGATGGGGGCGATTGACCAGGAGCCGTACAGGTGGAGCAGTGTGATTGACGCTACCAAGTCGGCGATGGCGATACGGTATGCGCTGCTGCCGTATATGTACACGCTCATGACCCAGGCTTCTCTCGCTGGCAGCACCGTCATGCGTGCTCTTGCGTGGGAGTTTCCCAATGAGCCGTGGCTTGCTGATGCTGACAGGCAGTTCATGTTGGGAGATGCGATTATGGTTACGCCCTGTTTGGAGCAGGGGGCGGATACGGTGAAGGGAGTTTTCCCCGGGGTGGGAGAGGGGGAGGTGTGGTATGATTGGTATACCAAGGGGAAGGTGAGTTATGGGGTTGGACCCGGGGAGAATGTCACTATTGGGGCGGAGTTGGGGCATATTCCTGTCTATGTGAGGGGTGGGAAGGTTGTTCCGTTGCAGGAACCTGGAATGACTACAGCGGAGAGTAGGCAGAATCCTTGGGGACTGTTGGTGGGATTGGATGGGACTGGACGGGCGGAGGGGAAGTTGTATTTGGATGATGGGGTCAGTCTGGAGCCGGAGGAGGTGAGCTGGATTTCGGTAAGTGACTGTTGCAAACATTTGAGGTGATGAATATGGTGCTAATGATGGGAGTAGTTTACTGCCTCGAACAACTTCCTCAAGGTCGAGCCGCTGGGTAACTACCCGGACACCAACCCCCTTCGCAACGCCACGGTCATGGGTCTGGAGCACGAGCCCAAGCAGGTGTGGCTTGATGGTGAGGTGCTGGAGCAGGAGCATTGGAGTTATGATGCGGGGAGGTGTGTGTTGGAGTTGTTTGAGCTGAAGGAGAAGTTTTCTGGTGGTGCTTGGGTGCAGGGGTGGGAGATTACTTGGGAGTAGTTTTACTTTTCTTCTTGTGTTTACTTTTGCACTCTCTTCTCACTGATCATATTTTGGGTGGGAGTGGCATGAGCCTGTGTATAATCACCTGCACATAGCACACCCGTCTTGCCCAGGGGGCATTTTTTTTCAGATTGATATTATGGGGTTGGATATAGAGATATGGGGGGCTGGCTGGATACCGATGGTTGGGAAAAAAGATTGGGAAATTGTATAGGTATGGCGGGGGGGTTTTGTATACCTAAGTGATTGATAGTTTCTGTTTAAACCGCTGTGTTGACTTGCTTAGTGTGATGTGATGGTTGAATATTGTTGATTTTGAAGATACAACGACATGGGGAAGACTGTTATCGAGGAGAATTATTCACTGCCTGAGTGGGATATGGTTAGTGGAAGGGCTAGAGGTTTGGATAATGTTAGGGAAAGTGGTGAAAGTGGTTGAAAATGCACATGAGGCTGGGACGAAGTGTGCTGATTCTCTTTCCACGATAACATTACTGGTATCGGAACAGTGTGGAAGTCCGTAGGTGTGTATCCTTTCGTCTCAGATCGCCTTCACTCATACAAGTCACTATTTGAACCCGCCTCAACTCGATTGGAGGCATTGCTTTCCTACAAGCAAGTTGAGGCTTTGTCTTCGCCATCCACGAATACAATTAGTCTTTTATTAAACCCTGATCTTCCCATTCTCCAAGACCGTGATTCATCAGCGAAACTCCCAAACTCATTACACAGTATAGAACAACACCAACCCTACTAAGCCAAGCCATTTTCCTACCACAACAGCTCTGACATCAGCCTCCCTACCCATACTTATCATGCTTCCCCTTAACCTTCAAATCCAACACAGCCTCATGGTAGTCCCCCTCCCTCCTCGCCCTCTTCAGTCGTTTCACCTCATCCTCATCCAACCTCCTCCCCACCGCAGCCTCCAACTCGGCCCGGCTAATCTTCTCCCTTGCCTTCTCCTCTTTTGAAGCCTTTAACTTGGGTTTATACCTCGCCTGCATCCTGATCCTCAACGTAGTATCAAACGTAATCTCCGTCTCATCCCCCCTGACCTCAGGGGAAGCATTCGCTTTTGAGGACCGCGACGCTCTCACAGAAAGGAAGGTATCCCTTAGCGTTTGGATCTGGAAAGTGCCGGGGGTGTCGGCGGTGGGGATGACGGAAAAAGACTCGAGGGGGGTGATGGCTTCGGAGGTGGCGGAGAAGAGACCGATTTTGTCGCAGGAGAGGTATCTATTTTTCTGTTAATATCGTACACCAACACTCAGGGGAAGGGGTTACTGACTTTCCATGATGCCCCTTGAACCGGAAGTGTTCTGTCCCTATAATCCGATTGGCCACCCAGACCTGCCGCACATCGTGCGGCTCGGCGGTGATGGGGTTGTTGTCGATGATGTTCTCGATTGGGAGGGTGAACACCTTTCCTATGGCGTCGCATGCCAGCGCGGTTGGTGGTTCGGTTGGTAAGACGAACATGATCGGGCCGGAGATGTCGGCTGTTACGTCTGCGGAAACCCAACTGTCGTCGTCGGCGTCGGCGTCGGCGTCGGCTTCGGTGGAGGGTTTGGCGGTTTTGAGCTGGCGGTTGTCATCGTCGTCTGCTTTCCCGCTAGCCCCGCCGGTGCGTTTCCTCTTTTTTGGTTTTTTATCTCCTTTGAAGGTGAGTGCTTTGACCATTGTCGCAATGGGGGGATGAATTGTGATGCTGTAGTCGCAAACAACGTCAGTGAGGCTGGGACAAGTGGTTGATGATGATGGTGACGATGATCTTATCGTTATCGATAGGCGCGTTGGAAATATCTTGGCGTGAACAGGGACCTGCCGCCTTGAGCAAGTCGACCGGCAGTGGGAATGCTTGGCGGTCCGCCCCGCTGACCTGGTACAGGGAGCTTGAAGATGTGTAAGTAGATCTCGTGAGATAAAAGTTTGCTTCCCCTCTTTTTGTTGGATGTTGGATTATTTGTCTTGTAACATCTTTGGATCAAAATGGCCCCTATTGCTCAGGCTGTGACTGTCTCCCTACAGGAGCTAAAGGACGGTAAGTCAGGGTCCAGGGATCACTTTGCGGGGTGATCTGTGTAAGTGCAATCGCTGATGTGTAAAAATCTCTAGGAACGGTGTCGTTTGAGAAGCTCCAGCAAGCATTCGGCCCGGATTCTCTGGGTATCTTGGTTGTCAAAGATGTACCACCCGAGTTTGCGAGTCTGAGGCATCATGCCCTCTCCTATTCGTCTTACCTTGGAAACCTCCCCAAGTCTGAGCTGGGTAGGTTACATGTGAAGGGTCATGGCGGCTATGAGCAAAAAGTTGACCAGCCACAGATAAACTCGAGAATGAAAAGGCCAAGTACCTTACCGGATGGTCCCTTGGAAAGGAAACCCTCAAGAACGGCCAGGTCGACACATTAAAGGGCTCTTTCTATGCCAACTGTGCTTTCTATGTTGACCCAAAGCTGTCTTGCGCAGCGCCGACCGAGGAGTTCAACACTGATAACTTCCCTGAGTATCTCTCGCCCAACATCTGGCCGGATGATGCGACGCTACCCGGCTTCAAAAACTCTGTCGAGGATCTTTGCCGTCTGATCATTGACGTTGCCGTTTTGGTGGCTAGAGCGTGCGATAGGTTCGCCGAGAAGGAAATTGCCGGTTATCCCAACGGTTACTTGGAAAAGGTTGTGAGCACCTCGACCACGACAAAGGCTCGCCTGTTACACTACTTCCCCGAGGACCCCGCCAACGCCCCTCCTGCGCCGACAAAGGCGAGCGAAATCGCGAATGGCGAGGGCGGCGACGAGGATGACTGGTGTGCTACCCATCTGGACCACGGCTGTTTGACCGGTTTGACTTCGGCCATGTTTGTCGACGAAGCCAAGACGCCAGCGGTCGCACCGGCTTTTGAACAAACTTTGGCCGACAGCAAGCCGCTGAAGTTGGCACCTATTCCCGAACTTGATGCGTCCCCTGACCCGGCATCTGGTTTGTACATCAAGTCTCGTACTGGGCAAACGGTCCAGGTCAAGATTCCCCGCGACTGTATTGCTTTCCAGACGGGCGAGGCATTGGAGAGGATTACTGAGGGCAAGTTCAAGGCTGTGCCGCATTTTGTACGGGGAGCTCGTGCTTCCATGAGCGATGGCCGGATTGCGCGCAACACGCTTGCCGTTTTTACCCAGCCGAACCTGGGTGAGGAGGTTGACATGGAGCAGCATATTACCTTTGGAGAGTTTGCGAGGGGAATCGTGGCCAAGAACACTGTTTCTTAGATGGTAGCAAATGAGACGTTCTGTACAGTGAACCATCAATATCGACATGGTGTTGTCTGTGGAGGCTGAGATGCCGAGGCGTTAAGATGCCGGAACCCCTGCTTTGTCGACCTTGGCATGCCGGCTTGGCAGGCCTTCTAGCGCGATTTCATGCAGCTTTTGTCCGCCGGGAGCTCCCTGTCTCAAGTTCACCATCAACGGACGGCGGGAAGCTCCGGGACTTCCAAAATTGCCGCTTCCAGTTCGAGGGCTGAAGGTTGCGCCGGGCCGATATCTCGTCGGTTATCCATTCCTTTTTCCTTCTTGAACCTCTGCTTTTTCAACGGCCTTCTCTGTCCACTCAGTTGACTGGAAAGACGACCAGCAGTGTCTTACTCGGCTTCCTACTTACCCCTTCAACTCAACTGTCTGGCCTCTTCTTCTCTCTAAGAGCTTGAACGAAGAAAGCTCCGAGGCATCCGAGCAACATCACACACGCAAAGGATACAGATGGTTTCGCCTAACCTCATCCGGTCAGCCCTCTGGCTGGCCGTGCTAGGCACAGCATCAGCTCTTCCCGGCCCAGAAAACCCGAACGCTCTTGCGCCCCGTCAACCCATCGACGCCGACCTCGTCCCCCCTCCCACCGACAACGACGCCCCTCCCGCCATCGACACCACCAAGCTCGCCGGTCACGAATTCGCCGTCTGCCACAACCTCGACGGCGATTACAAACCCTTCTGCCTCCCCAAACACAACGAAACCTTCAACCCCGGCGTCCTCAAGTACATCACCTGGGACCCGGCCTTCTTCTCCAAAGGCCACACCCACGAGAAAGCAAACCACACGGTCAAAATCATCGGGTTTTACCTCACCCCCGAAAGCGACACCCACCAAGCCTTTGACTCTGGCGAAATCTCGTGCGCGTGGGGTTTTTACCAGTGGTCCATTACCCAAGACCTCATCAACGCCAACCCATTGTGGAATGAAAAACCGGGAAACAAGGCGAAACACTTCAAGCAGAACACACCAACGACGATAACCCTGAGGATGGCGGCGCTGCCGGAGGATGGCTCGCCCGCGGAATGGCATCAGGGACCGACGGTGCAGATTGTCAAGCCGAAGAAGGGGCCGAATAAGAGTGATGGGAAGAGGCACCCGGCGGACGATCAGGTGTTGTATGTGGCGCTGCCCACGGTCGCGTTTTTCTTGATGGCGATTGTGATGAGCACGTTGTGCTGTAATAGGGGGGTGAGGAGGATCGATTTGGGGAATGTGATGGGGAGGAACAGGAGGAGTGAGAGGGGCACGGTGGGGAGGAATAGGAGGGATAGGGGGCAGTATTCTAGGGTTGATGGGAGGGATATGGAGCTTGGGAGGGGGGTTGGGGAGGGGAGTGGATTGGGGGTTAGGAAGGTTGATTAAGGGGTTCCCGAGACAGATCTTTGAAGGGTGGACCGGGTTATGGAACGAACGTCTTGGCTGGAGAAGGTTGGACTGCCGGACCTCAAAAGGGGCAGGCCGGTCGGCTCTCGGATCTTGGATTTGAGTCATAATTGGATGATAATTTGGAAGATGTGGCGCGGCTTTTTAGAGTCATATACGTTGTATATAAGTTTGGGATATGACTTGTCATAAACGCATATGGAATGGCGTCAGGGGTTGGTGTCTTTATTGTACAAAGGCAAGCTGAGAACTAGATATGGTGGTTGAGTTTTACATGTATAATGAGAGAAAATAACACTGAATGAATTGTACACATGTACCTAGGTGGAGCAGGTGTATCTCGAAAGAGGTGAAAGTGCACAAAGCTACACATCTGCCTGTTGCAGTAACAGTTAAACCACAGGATCACAATACAAGCACGAAAAGAGATATAGCAGTCTAGGGTTTTGTTAAAAAATGTATTGAAATTATATGTCTTGGTTTATTGATGCTCCAGGCATCAACAACCTCACCACACCTTACCTTTTATCAAACACTCACTCGCCTTACTTACCTTCCAGGAGAGCCATTTACCCACCAAGTAATGAGCAAGAGGCTGCGCTCAACGAGGGATCCACTAGTACTCATCATCAGAGGAGACCTCGTGGTAATCACAGGTTGCCGGAGGAGGAACAAAGGAGATCACCAGCGGCTTCAGATCAGAGCATGCACCGCCATCTTGGACTAACTGACAGGTCTCGATGCGGACCTCAGCCGCGTCCTTGCAGCCGCAGAGGTGGTAGAGAGAATTGCTCGTATTGGCACATCTTGTTTGTTGTTTTGGGTTGTTAGTTTGAAGTGGTGGTATGTGTGTGTGTTTGGTTCGGTGGTTTGATCTGATGATGATGATGATGATGATGAGGAAAGTTGCTGAGGAGAGAGGGAGGGAAGGGTTTAAATACAGGAGAGATTGTATGGCATTGGAGTCTGTATAATGTGATTATTGGAAGAGCAATGGTGTTGAAGATGGAAGGGGGGCATTGTTTTGATTATGATGGGATTGATCGAAGTTGATGTGTGAAGTGGTTTCTGAACTATGGGTTTGGCTGAGTACTAGACTGGTGCTGTGCTGAGACGAAAATTGTTATAAACAGAGGAGTATCGAGGTGAACAAAGCCAGTGAAAGAAGACAATGGGATTGTTTCCGTTCTGTCTCCCCTTCTTATCACTATATAAAAAGCCAGGCGCCCTCCCATGAGCTCGTCAATATTTTCTCATCATCAACGCAACAAACCCACACAACTAACTACTTACACAAACCTTCACAACTCACAACCTTCAAAACTATTACCAACCTCACATCACCCAAGATGTGTCTCTTCCGACAGGGTCTCTGGCTTTGCGGGTGCCCCATTCATCCTGCGCCCGTTTTGGTTAATCGCTGCCGCCTTTATCACATTGGTATGAGCTGTGAAATCCTTAGAATCGAACAGAGGACGTTTGATTGTCCTTGCCGAGCTCATAGACATGAGTATAGGTATGTGGAAAGGAGGTAAGTGAGATTCAAATCTCCCTGGTGGTGATTTTGTTGGTGAGAATAATACAGACTCTTTTATAAGCCCCATTTATTTTGCTTTCTAATCTTGATTACGTGCATTAACGGTGTGAAATTGTATATGAATGATATTTCCCTTGGACTCGGAAGCGCTGAAACAATTCAGCCCTCGGGGTCCTACTACAAGAACAAAGCCACTGGAATAGGCCATTTGATGACAATTTCTTGTTCCTGTAACAAAGAGAAAATTGGGAAATAAGATAGACAGACTACTCTCATGCTGAAATGGTAAAAGGTATGTATATATATGTATGTATGTATGTATGTATGTATGTATGTATGTATGTATGTATGTATGTATGTATGTATGTATGTATGTATGTATGTATGTATGTATGTACACATGTTTGCTAAGAATGGATATCTCGAAGCTGGCTGGTCGAACGATCAATGCTGAGAGACGACCATCGTGAAGGTCTTCTTCGTTTTCACTTTGGGCACTCACTCCTGTCTGTCAAATAAATCATGGATAGAAAGAAGGAAGATAGGGCATTCGTTGTGCCTCATACACACACACAAATAAGTCAGTCATGTAAAAGATGGATAACCAACCAGCAGGCAGATCTCTCTCTTTAGCCTGCTTCGAGAGACACAGTTGCTCGATGGATAGGATAAAACCATTCAATGTGTCTTGGCTGGCTGCTTATTTATCTCTTAAAGCCTATCTTTCTGTAGCAATTTCATACTTCCTTTCGTCCAAAATATGCCAGTCAGGTAGATGGTAGGTAGCTTGTATATCAAATAAAACTCACTCACTCACTTTCGAAATTTGAAACCAACGATAACTTGAAGTTTTCACAGGAAAAAAAAATTATTTTATTAATGTATGTATGATCAGCAACAACCTCCACCAGGGAAGTTTCCACTTACCTACCCAGATTCCGTTCCGGACTTATCTCCCCAGCGCTCTCACTTTTGCAGACTCCTTACACCCTCCAACTTCCCATCTGCCTAGCCAAATCCTCAATCTCCTGGCACCTCGAGCAGAGCCAGCCCCTATTCTTGGGTCTGACCGTATCGCCGCTGCAGCGGCCAGTAGTGGAATAGGAGTGGCAGTTCATGATAAGCTTTTGAGGCTTATCAGAAGGGATGCCGCAGTGGCAGTAAAGTTTCTCCCAGAGGCACATCTTGGGTGATGATGTTGGGGGGTTTTGTTGGGTAATGTCTGCAAAGTGAGAGTGAGGAGGGCTATTTAAGTAAGTTTTTGATGCTGATGATGAGGAAAATGGATGGAGAGGAGAGAGGGATGAAGGGGGCTTTTATACTGTCTTGGGGAGTTGGGGATAATTAGGTTGTTTAGTCTGCTTCAAGCGGGTAATTCTACTGACTTGTGAACAATGTATTGCTCGCGCTACTTCCATTGCATAATTGTGTTGTCCAGTCCGCTTCAATAGCATTGTCCCTGTTCTTCCGTCCTTTGTGCCCTTGCGCGTGGAACAAACAGCATCCTTTGTCCTCAATCCCAACCATACGCACCGTCTTGCTCCCAGTTCGAGTCCGTGATTGATCACACTCTCATGTGTATCTGTTAATTCATTTGAGGTAAGTTTCGTCGCAGCAAGAGCAAACCCCTCGAAATTACATCATCAACCTCAACCTAGCGGTGGGACGAAAAACTATCCCAATGGAAGACCAGCATGCGCGCACACAAGCACATTGATTGAACGTCTATCAGTAGTCACTTTCACATCTTAACAAGCAATTAATCAGGTCCATATTTTCTAGTGAAAAAAAGATAGAATATATTAAGTACATCAACATAGACGTCTCCTCCAGGGAGACTCTGCACTTACCTTCTCACCCACTTAATTAGTACGGTTAGCTTGGGTAAATCGGGGTTCGCCCTCATGCATTTATCACAAGAACCAACCCACCTCACCCTCTTGAAGTTACCGCAGAGTAATCATCGCCTCCATGAGCCTCCCGGGCAGCCCACCGGTCGCACCGTCGTAGTAGACGGGGAGGCCCCCTAACGTTGTGTCCGCACCGCCACTAGTGTTGATGGTAGAGGCACATCTTTGGTTATGATGTGGTGTGAGATCTAGGGGTTAGTACTGGAGTTGTTAGTAATCGGGCTGTGGTTATGAGTATAAGTAAATTGTTGTTGATGATGATGATGAGGAAAAGGAAGGTTGGGAATATCGACCAAAAACGGTCATATATACTCCCCGCAGTGAAGATACTGTGAGGTTTAGACGGCAGCATTGTTAACAGTTCATAACTTTTATCCCCTTCCCCTCCCAAAAAAATGCCGTGCTCCCCTCACACTACTCTTGTCACAACTCTTTATGTCTGTCTGTGATCAGCACACCGAACAATCCACAAACCCTTCTTCCACTTGCTTACCTTTCTAGGTATCCATCCCAATCCCAGCCAAAATTCCACGTGGTCTTCCCACCGCCACCGCCGCCGCCGCCGCCTTCCCTCCCAACCGGCATGTGTATGTGCACTCGCTCGCATACATGCTGCTGCTGTGCGCGGCAACCTCACACCTGCAGGTAAATCATTCCACCCAACCACACACATCACTAAAAATAGATTTATTTTTAGCAACACCCATCCCCACTCCACCACCACCACCCACCCCATCGCCCGCAGAGCCGCCGACCTCCCCGGGATCGTTGTAGTATGTGTCCCCCACCCTTCCACACTCTCTACTTGCATATTGGACTATCAATCCGACGGCATATACGATTGTACGTACATACTACCCATCCCATTTACCCTCCAAGGTAGATAGGTAGGTAGGTAACAACCACCCCACCCGGTAGACTCAGGTGGAGGAGTAGGCCATGCGACGAGTTGAACAACAGCTTAGCTAAGTAAGGTGTAGCTAAGCGGTAGACATATCATCCGCAGCTCCCCGTCCCTGGCGCCCCAATCAGCCCTACGGCTCGCAACTTCTGCTCCGCCCCCATCTCCGATATGCTTCAGGGTACAGTCGGGTCAGTTGTCTAGGCCATGCTTCCCCTGCTCGGTGGTCAGAGCTCCCCACAGAGCCTCAACTTCTGCCTCACTGCTGCTTTGACCGGACTGACATCATCCCTCGGCCGAGTCCTCCGACACTTCATCCTCGCTGTCAAAAGGGGAAAGGCCTTGCATGTAAAGCTCCAAGTTGCAAAATATCTTCTTTATACCACACCCCTAAATCACCGCTAGAAACATAATTTTCCCCAAGTACAAAAAACGCTAGATAATCGTTCATTGCGATTCATCCATATCCTCCCCCCCCCGAGTCCTCCCAAAATTTTTCCTCTCTTTTAAAAAGGGGAAAGCCCTTCATTTAAAACCCCCAAGTTTCAAAAATTTTTTTTTTTTACAAACCCCTTAAATACCCCTAAAAAAATTTTTTTTCCCAAATTAAAAAAAAGGTTTATATTTTTTTTTTTGGGTTTTTTCTTTTTCTCCCCCCCCCCCCCCCCCCCCCAAATCTCATCATAGCCTGTCATGTCGCGTCCAGTTTTAACAATACAAATAAACGCCTTGAAAATGCCCGCCAAATACAGAGTAGAACCCTACAATAGAATAAGTCTGATAGAAGAAGATAAAAAGAAAAGAAAAAAACCGGGTTACACGGTATCCAACAACAAGAAGAATGAAAAACACAAAGTATGGTACATGAAAGGATGTTCAAACATGCCTTGCCGCTCAAGAATCAACCTTTACACGCTTCGCATCTCCGCCAATATCAGCATGTTGCTCAGGCCCGTGCCCGTTGCCGCTAATCTCGGGGCTTTTCCGCTTCTGCGGGACCGGGTCGTCCCTCAGAAAGGATGGCCCGGTGCTCACCACGGGCGTAGCAAAGTTTAGTGGACTGGGCAGCGTGTTGCTGTCACTTCCACGAAAGTTCCACTCGGGGTAAAAGCTGCTGGGACTTGGGAGAAACTCATTCGTCATAAATCGAGATGGGAGCGCGGAAACAGGGGTATCAATGTTCATCGAGTTGTTTTGGTGAGAAGCGGGAGGAGGTCGGGCAAACGGGTTCGGTGGGCCGGTTGCGCCTGCTGAGAGGAGCGAGGAGGCGGATGGGGAAGGGGGCGGGAGAACAACCGACTCGGGTCGCCTCGAGGGTTGTGAGGTGGCATCTGTCGTGGTTGTTGTGTTGCGGGGAGATGCCGATTCGGCCGTAGCACTCCCGCCATCAGACTCGTCGGGGATTTGCACCTTTAGTCGTGGCCGAGATATGCTTCCGATGCGCAGACTATTGGACCGGGACGGTGGCGTAAACACAGTCTCGGGGATGGACGATAGCGAGCCATTTCGCTTTATTTGTGGCTGGGCTTGGGTGTTGGAACGTTGGAGATGTGGTGGCGAGTTTGTGGTCCCATTCTTTCCCATGTCCAATGAAAGCGATCGGTTGCCCTGCGGCTCCGACTTTATTTCTGGGTGAAATGCTGCCAAGTGTTGCGAGAGAATAGATCGGTTTTCATCAATAGGCGTAAAGATGCTGCCACCCTTGCGCGGTGGTGCCTTTTTGATGGCGGTGTCCAAAAGAGGCGGCTGTCGGGGTCTGTCGACAAGTTCAGGCTTTGCCATGGTCTCTACAGGGGCTGGCGGTTGGGGCTCCTGGGGAGGTGGCCGGATCTGTGGCAGTTCGTGCGATGGTGGAGGGGCCAGGTGTTGCTGAGGTTGAGGTGGGCTCTGCATGGGATGCATCTGTGGTTGCGGCGGACTAGGGACCATGTGTGATGGCATAGTGCGAGGAGGAAGCTGAGCTGGCAATTGGTGAGGCAGCTGTGGTGCCTGAGGTCGAGGGGGAGACACTGAGTGACGCGGTGCTGGTGGCCCTTGTGCCTGCGGTGGGTAGTTGGGCGGAACAGACGATCTTCTTCGCTCTTCGGCAAATTGTTGCATTTGTTGCGGGTGCGGTGGAGGGCCAGGGTAAGGATATTGCGGTGGCAGGCCATGAGAAGCATTAGGAGGCATATTGGGTGCATTATGAGGGTTGTAGATAGCTGGCTGGGGCATGAAAGCATATCCGTTCACTGCCTGAGGGGGAGGGCCTTGCGGACCAACTTGAGGACCACCCATTGGTCCCATTCTTCGGATGTCATTGCGTGATGATGGCCGCGATCCCATCTGAGGAGGCTGAGGAGTATGGCCTCGAGGCCCTGGGCCGAACATGCCATTTGGAATAGGAGGTGACGCTGATGGAGTGTGGTGTCTGATGTGTGGGGGGAACTGAGGTTGCGCCTGGAAGTGAGGATGGAGCATTGGAGCGTCCATCCCGTCTCCTTGCGGTGGAGTGCCGTTTTCGTCATCCTCCTCCTCGTCATCGGCACCGCCATTGAAGTCGGATGGGCCCTTGTGCTCATTTGGACCGCCGTGCTGTTGCGACATGTTAGCCAAACTCTCCAAGACAGGGGATCGGAATTTGAAACATACATAGGTGTACCGCGTGATCAGGTCGCGCATGTCGCAGGATGAATACTCGTAGAGCTTCTTATTACTGCCGAAAATGAACACGGCCACATCTACAGAGCAAAGCACGGATAACTCGTGCGCTTTCTTGAAGAGACCACCCTTGCGCTTCAAAAAGGTGCTGTTGCGCCAGAATTGCATGGTCAGCGACGGGATCTCGGCAGCGCTGGGATTTTCGGGAATAGCTTACACAGAGCGATTTCTGTCATCCTTGATGGCCTTGATTTCAATCTTTCTGCGTCCCATCTTGTCGACTGAGTATCGGCAAGTGTGTGGGAGTGAGAGCTGCTAGAGGGAGCGAAAGTCGTCGCGATGCGACACGATCGCAACGGTGCTCGTGGCAAAGGACAACGAACGGCCTCTCTTCGTCGGCGACAAAGAAAGATGATGGTGGTTCGGACAGGGCGCACTGGGCGACGTCGTCGTCGACGATCGGTTTGGCGACGAGTCCACCGGTATGCAGGGTCGAATGGCTATCCTATCTGTGGATAGCTTCGAAGTGGGCGGATGGTGGAGATGGGGTCTGGGGTATGTCGACCTGGGGCTGGTCTCTGGTGCTCCGTGAAGCCGTGAAGCGTGAACACAACGGGCCGCAACAATGGCGATGAAGGGCGGTCCAACGTCTTTTTGTGCCTTCGGAAGTGGCAGCCGTGGTAGATGTCGATGGGCCGACGTCAATTCCTTTGTTCTGGGCCAGGGTCGCAAAAGATACGTACTCGACGCAACTTGCGGCGTTCGATGTCAGTTCGAGAGAGAGATCCAAAAATAGAACTTGGGGGATGGGGAGGAGAAAAGGGCAGAGAAGCTCTACATGGCTTGGCAACCCTCTCGGAGACGCATCGTATTGGCCGGATGCCCGTACAGGAAACAGGGTCGGCCAATTCGGACTTGGATGCCATGCGGTCGCACTGTGCAGTAGTCTGCTGTAGTCTGCTGTAGTCTATCTATCCAGCAGATGATTCAATATCCAGGAACCACAATGAAGGAACGGCAATGGGGAACGGCTTTGACGACAAAAGATGCCTCTAGTCAGTGCTCCATTGTTCCCAGAGATGTCAGATCTGAGACGTGGTGTAGACTCGAGCTTTCATTCACATTGACAGTGAACAAAGACGGGGACGAGCCCTGGAGGGCTCGACGGGACTCGAGTGTTGGGCACCGGGGATACGTACTTTTCTGTAAGCTTTTGCTGGTTGCTGCCAATCAACCAATATACCCGAATGGAACTCCAATGCCATATCAACCACTTCGGCTCAAATGAGTAGTGCAGCACATATTGAAATGGTCCCATCGCTCCGGTTGGTGAAAATATTCGTTTACAGGGTTTTGTGTCGCTCCTCCTCTTCCATCATTTTCCCCAGGTTGTGATGATTCACAGCAAAACCATGCGACGCCATCAGCCCCAAACCGCCATTCCTCAAACGGTGGAGTTGCACCGTGCACGAGTTCCAGGTTGGTGCACAGGTTCGTTTTGGAGCTCCCAGGCTGGCCGAACCCCTCCTTCCCGGTTCGGCTGTCATCATCAACTTCAAACATTCAAGCAGAGAACCTGGAAAGAGGAGGAATGTCTTCCGCCTCGGGCTCTTGTGAAAGTCTCTTTCGAACGAACCCACGGAACCGGTTGATGAGGGGTCCTGCTCTGGAACAAGAGGTCCGTTCCAGCTTCGGGAAAGAAGCCACCGTACCATCATCAACAAATTGATTGCTTCAACCAACCTGCAGCTCAACCCCCTCCAGGCCAAGACTTCGTTATCGGGGTGGGATCGAGACCATTCAGACCAGTACCGAAGCCATGTAGCTCCGGATCTAACCTCGATCTCGTAGTCGATGTTGAATTCAACGTCTGGGCATCCCCACCGACCCAGGAACACAGGCACTCGACCGCAAAAGTGAGGGGCAGAAAGCAACGCCAACGGCACTGAGGGTCGTGGTTCCTGAACCCTGTCCGCCCAGCAATGCAACCTGGTGCTCTGCCGTCCGTGATTGGTGAGCGTTAATTTTGCCCACTTTGCTCGTAAGCGCCGCGAGAGGTGTTGAGTCTTGATGTGGGCTAATTAGCTACGTTTCTATTCTTAGACAAGACATCTGATTCGCTGCTCAATCTTCAAATCTGTCCGCCTTTCTGTTGTCACCGACTTGACACCGACTTGCTCATAGCAGTTGCAGCTTGGCATATCAACATCTTTGTAGCCATCATCACCTTGACGGCAGTTCGTCACACGCGTTGCTCTGCTGCTTTGAGAATATCCGTAAGCGGTGCGTCTTCGCATCTTTCTCCCGCAAATGGGAGGCTTCCCCGCCATCACCAGCACTCCCGTCCCATTCCATCCGAGCCCAGACGGTTGAACCTCTCCAATATCGACCCAGAGCTCCGGTTCGCAACGTTCGGCGGTTAACACAATGATAAACATAGCAAAAATAAGCTTTTCGATACTTTTCTGTTGATCCCCGGGTATGCACTCTGCACACCGTCCCCATTATCATCACCACCTACCAGATCACTTCATCAGCTGGCCTCGTTTATCACATTGTTGCTATAATCTATTTTCCTGTCATCCAAACCAGGGACATCATCACCAACTCCACCACATGCATACATCTTGAGTCTCACCAGTCCTCAGCCAACCATCATCCCATCCATTCAATATATCACCGTTGTGTGTACCCACTTCTGATGAACCCATTTCCCTTTCTCACTGTCACCCATCTCCAAAAACCCTCCCCAACTGCAACCCACACATGATGTACGTGATATTGTCTCCCCTCCCTCTCTGCCCCCAAACTTAGATCTCCCCCAATATCCCAAATAAAGAGATCTGTGTACAAGAGATTGTCCGGTAGCGAAGCCCAGTCGAGTGCCGATTGGGACGGCAGCGCGTCTGTCGTCAAGACCAGGCAAGCGCAAGCGCCGACTTACGCCATCACCCCCCCTTTTGATATGCCGGGCACACGGGACGTGTGCAAGCAAGATGACGGCACGAACAAGCCTTCATTCTCTTTAGACTGTGTGTGGTCTCCAGCATGTATGTAAATCACGAGATCAACACCCCGTTTCCCTCATGCCACTTGGCAGCATAAGCCTACGGAATCCAGACCTTGTTTACCTACCTAGCCTTACACTGACCGAACCGCCGGGCCAATGCATGGCCCAAGGCGAGACCCAACAACACAAGAGTTCGGAGCCGGCAGGCATGACATTGTAGAGGACTTGACCAGGAAGACAGGCCGGGCTGGCCTCAGTAGGCCAAAACAAGGATGGCTGAACCAACCGGCCGGTTGTCTCACCTCCCGTAAGGCGCAAGGCCAGGTGGAAAGGCCGTGTGGTCCGAAGATCGTTACTGCGGGCCCGGAGGTTTAGTCTTCTTTGTCGACCGACTGAGTGGCTGGCTGGCTGGCTGTGAGGAGATTTTGGGCCAATGAGGTGTTATATTTCTCGGCAGCCGTATCCGGGTGCCATATCTACGTCTCAGACAACCGGTCTACTCACAGAAGAGCGACAATACGGGAGGTTGTTGACTGTCAAGACTGCGTTCTTGAATATGCCGTCATACCTACCTACTCTCCCCAAGTATAGGACCCAATATATCCTCCCGGTCAGCATCAACGAACCAACAACATATGGCATGCATACAACTACCGGGATTCAGGGGGGCAGATCTCCAAATCTGTTCTATCCCAGGAAACCTACATGAGCAAACAATTACTGATCGGAATGTGGGCGCCCATCTAAACGCCAGGATTTTGGTGGCCGTTTAATCTATCACCCCTCCAAAGATCCCCAAGAGCCTTACCCCAATGTACACACTTCTCAGGCACAGCTTTGTCAACTCACGTTGCCGCTCACAGACAGAACCGAGTGAATACCTACTCACAAAATGAATAGCAAGCCAACCCCCACATTTCAACAGATCTTGGTACCCAACCGGTTGTTTTTGTTCTCTTTTTGGATTGTGCACACTGGATATCGTTCTTGTAAGCTGACAGCGGTTCTTGACAGTCGAGGTTCTTGTGTAACTACCACCCGCCATCACCTCCCCCCCACAACACACATACCTTACATCACCCGCTCATAAACATAGAATCTATATACCCCCCTGTTAAGCACCCATTTTTGGCATCATGACCAACCTAACGTGACTTCACCTCACATCCACTCACCGGCGTTTAGCCATCTCCAATTCTTTTCTTGTCAACCTTCAAACTGGGTACTCCAACTTACCCCTTTCCTTGGCTCTCCTGATTCATTGTCACCAGCAAGGCCATGTAACAGATAGATTGATCACCACTCATCCAAGTCCCGTGATAGGGCTGGTATGTATCGCATTCATTATACACGATTTCCATAATTATGTACACTGCAACAACCTCCACTAACATCAACACGCTCTCTCTTGATATCCCCAGCTTAACGCCCTTTCATCCTCAAACTGCGAAACCTCCCCCCACCTCAAGACATAGAGCGCCAGATCCTAGCCCCGTCAATGCAGTTGAAAAGACACTCTCCTTGAACGCCATGACCTTTTAGTCTTGTCCCCTTGGTAACGCCAAATGTAATGTAGACCGAGCCGCCCACCTTCTTTTTCCCAAAACCGTGAAACCCCCACCCATCCCTAGATACCCATTGTTGTCCCTCCTCAAATTACCGAGTACATCAATCAAATACCAAACGCCTGCGCAAATAAAAGGGTATGATGTAAGTAAGTAAGCCTCAAGCGAGAAACCGATCCCCCCTCAAAATACTCTGCTGTATCCCCACACAAACCTCCATGCCTCCTCCCGTAATCTCCTTCCTGGCCAGTAAACCGGGTTGGCGTGTCTTGCGTGCCAAAGGTCGATGTCCGGTACGTCGCAGATAGATTGGTTGCCCGACTGCCGTACAGTCTCCTGCCTCAAGGACCATGATCGATAGCTCCAAATTAGAACTGCAAGTTTAGCATACCAACCCCCGCACCGCACCGCGGCGCCTCCCACCCCTACCCCCTTCATCTCGCCCCAACGGCGGGAGACACTCCTCTCTTCAAAGAATGAAACTGGCCGCAACAGGCGCGTCGCCAGATGCAAGTCCAGCAGCGTCGTCGGGGTTCTGCTCGCGGGGTCGAGACCCATTGAGAAGCGGGCAGAGCCTTTTGGGGGTTAAATGTCAGCCAAGTGTTGCGTAAACGCAAAGCATGAAGTTGTTGACAGTAAGAAAAGACAAAAGAAAAAGAAAAAGTAAAAGAAAACTTGTGAAATCATGACTCGCAGCTCTTCCACGATCATATCGGCGGTTTACGTCTCCTTGGACCACGCCTTTCTTGGGTTGCTGACCAGACTGCTGTCAAAGCAACATCATAAGAGCCCAAACTTCACCACTGGGAAGCATCGGTGAGCAGCTTGCTCCGCTGCGTGTCCAGCTCCCGCTCTTTGCGAGCAGTCGGACGATTCCACGGCTTGCGCTTCTTCGGCTTCGCCTTGGGCTGCTCCACTACCTCCTCTTCCTCCTCCTTCTCCTCCTCCTCAATCTCCTCCCAGAGCTCCTCATCGTCGAAAGAATCACACAAGGGGCTGGGGCATACACACTTCTTGTTGGTTTTGATATGGCCGACCTGGCCGCAGTTCGCGCACTTCCTCGTCGTGCCCGGGACCTTTTCTCCGCCGGGACCGGGTGAATCGGGGCCGTCGGCGCCGCCTTCCTTCATGCGCTGCTGAAGATCCTTCTGCTTGGTGCGTTTGGCTGTTCGGATCTTGTTCTTCTGTAGACGCTCGAGCTCAATCGCAGCTCTGCCAAAACGTGTTAGTTTCCGTGCACTGCAATGGTAGGTTGATACTAACTTTTCAAGAATGAGCGTATCGGTTTCCTTGTCTCCGGTAAGCTTGATATTGTCAAAGCTACAGATATCATGTCAGCAAAATCCAGGTTGAATTGACTGTTTCTGAGGACAGCAACATACTCGATCTTCTCCATGGCTTGTTGGCGCCTCCTCTTCAGGTATTGATTGATGACCACGGGGTCGTGAACGACCTCTTCAACAGTTTTAAGCTCGCCGTTCTCATCCTTGATTTGCCGGGTGATCTTCAGCTTTCTGCCACCACCCACAGCGCTGGCATGGCTCTGACTGATCTGGCTGACGCCATCGGGGACGGCCGGGCGGGAAGGAGCCTGACTCTGGGTGTTGAAGCGATCATCCTCGTCTTCCTGTGCCAAAACATCGTCGTCATCGTGCTCCTGCGCATCCTGCAGACTTTCTCGCTGGCGGTTCCAGATATCCTTGAGAGCTTCACTGTACAGCGTGTCTTGGTTCTTGACGTTGTACATGTGCCCGCCGTTAGCCTTCCGTTGTCGCTCTATGGCATCGGCGGATGTAGCATTGGGACCTTGAAGCTGCTCTAGGAAACCACCCTTCATCGAGGTGCGGAGGTAGCTGACGCCGAGACCTTTGCCCGTCGGGTCTCCCGCACCGTGAACAGCGATCATGGCTTTGCCATGGCTCGCATCAATGAAAGCCTTGGTGAGCCTCCACGGCGCCATTTTATTAGCAAGTGCATCCGGAGGTAGCTCGTCACCGGCTTCATTCTCATCGTTGACCATGCTGTCATTAACTTCATAGCCGCCGTTCTCGAGTTCGTGTGCGCCCACCTGCATGGCATCCAACAGGCAGACCTCTTCAGGCCTAACAAGCGACCGGATCTCGCTTTCCGGCAACATTTCGTCGCCTTCCTTGAGCGTCCAGTTGCGCTGCTCCTTGCGGAAGTCTAAAAATTCCTTGAGCTTCTGACGGTTCTGTGACTCGTTGGACTCGGCGACGTGCTTTGTGATATCGCTGAGCGTGACATTGTCGCTGTTCCTGAGCAGGCGATATGAAACCATCTTGAGGCGGTTTTTGGCAATGTTGGTCACACGCCGGGAGTGAGGTCCTGGCACTTCCATCGAGGGAAGAATCTGACCGACGACGAAGAGATGATCAATGTTGCGAATGTACCAGCTCGCCCCTGATTTGCCGGTGGAGCTGCGACCAACGAGGAAATCAGTCTTTCTCGGGCTGTGCTTGAAGATGGGGGCTCGGAACATCTGGTTATGAAGAGTAGGCACAGTTTCGCCCGGATGTACCTGGCCAACCATGGCAAACGGAGACCGGTCCTCAGGCATCAAGACACAGTTCTCGCCGAGCTCCCTCTTCTCTCCCTTAGAGTTGGAGTCAGTGCCCTTTGAGCGACGGTAGTAGTTGATGATCTTTTGACCCATGCCGAAGTTGGAAAGTACAATGGGAACCTCCTCGCAGTACTCCAGTAGTACAGCGGTGGAGCTGTCGTTCATTGAGAGGTCGGCAGATGTCCTGAAGGCCTCTGGAATCTTCTTGGCCCTCATCAACTTGCGTTTTGTAGGCTGAGGCTTGGAAAACCTGATGAGATGCTGACCATCCTTCTTTGGATGGAATTGCGGCCGGTGATAACTGTGCGGGTCGCTGGCAGTAAGCTTGACCTTGTAATATGGCCAAGACAGCCGCTGGGCAGGCATACTGTGCTCGACGGGAATGGGCGCCAACGTCGCGCGAACCTTGCTCTGAGCGTTTTCCTTGAGGGCATCGTAGGCCTGGTCCGAAGAAAAGTTGAATCGTTGGGTCAATTCGCGGCCAAGGCGTCCATTTGCCAGGCGGACCGTCTTGTGCTGGGTCTTGCGTCTCTTGGCGGCTCGTTCTGACGACTCGACATCATCCACAAGAAGGAACGGGTCGTTCATGTCCAGTATGACGCGCTTCCCGAGCTTGGAGGCAGCTTGTTCGTAATTGTCAAAGTTCGGTGCTGTAAAGGTTGGGATAGGCGGGAGGCCTTTTGGTATCTCCAACCGCCGTTTCTTCGAGGCAGGCTGGTTATCCAGAAACATTCTATCCCACTCGTCGTCTTCGTCATCTTCGTCAGGCTCAGACTTAATGTGCCTGTCTTCAGTGACGGAGTCGACCTGGTTTTGGCTTTGGAGTTCGGCAAGCCCGACGACGCTGTCCCAGTCATCGCACACAAGGGCGATGTCGCGCAGGGTGTACCCGCCTATTTTCTCATCGCCAGACTCCCCATCGTCCACGCTGAACACCTCAATATCGGCTTGCTCCAGGGGCTCATACTCCTCTAGAGACCACAGACCGCGCGCCTCGGCATCTCTGATCCTCTGAAATACCGAATACATGGCAGTGCCGGGAATTCTGAAAAGCTTCTCCTGATCAGCCTCCAAATCCAAGCTCAGTTTGCTCGGCACGAGGTGCTTGGGAGGCTTCAGAGGTTTCTTGGAGATCCAGGTGGCAACTTTGGGGCGCAAAAGTTCGTTCCAAGGCAGAACAGAGTTCTCCTTGAATCCCGGGTAGGCTTGCTTGACGGCTTCCACGAGATTCTCGGCAGGGGCCGGAATGTTGGGATCTTGGTTGGTTTCGTCCAGGCCAGGGTCATGATCAAAGTCGAAGTTCATGGCCCGCAGTTCCTCCAGCGACTTGGAAGGCTCGTCAATATCCATACCGTCTGCATCAGGAGCATTGGAATCGGCGTCGTTATCGTCGTTTAGCCCGTCAGCGGGTTCCGGGGAGGACCTGAAGCCGGCGTCACCAAAGAGGTCGTCCTCATCGTCATTAGCGTCCAAGGGCGGGCCCGTCGCTTCCTCCTCCTCGGGTAGGTCATCTTCGTCGCTCAAATCCATGTCTTCAAAGTCGATAGCATTGTCGGCTTTGTCGGCCTGGTCGATGGCGCCGCCTGATGCGACATTGCCGATGATGCCATTGAGTTCGCCGTCCTCAAAAGCGTTGTTGATCTTCTTGATGGCGGCTTCGTCACGGGCCTCGACATCAGCCCAAGCCTCGTCGTTAAGATTGGCAAAGTCGAGTTCGTCGACCGCCATGGTGTCAGTGGTAGCGGTTGGAATGTCGGGAACGGGATGGGTTTGTAGTGAGAGGGTTTGGTGAGGTGCGAGGTCGCAGCTCAGGTCCTCGTTTGGAATGCGCTGGATGGTACACGGTTATCTCATCGTTTTGAGCGCCGGCGACCTAGAGTTTGGCTGCCCTCGAGTGCCGTGGCAGGGTCGGAAGCCTGGGGAAAGCTGAATCACGATTTGGCGATGTGTGGTTGCGATTTGTCTCCGCTGGCCTCGCTGCCTTTGTTAAGTCGCGGCGGGCGGGAAGCAAAGTCGCGCCAAGAATTAGCTTCGCAGGCAGGGGCCTTCCCCAGCTTCGCTTTCAGGTGGGGCTTTGAAGGTCGGTGCCGAAAACCTGGGCTGGTCTTTTTGGTTTGGAGTCTGTGCTTTTGACGGGCAGTCTTGGTCGAAGGAGGTACGTTGTAGAAAAGAAGGAAAAGCTAGGTGTCCTGACAGTTAAAAATTTCTGTGGTGGCTTCTCCGTCTGATGAATCAATGAGCTGGTGTGGGCAGGCAACTGCAATGGAAATCCATCAAAGTACAACAGCTCACTGAGGCAGACTTTCAGTGGTTGTACTTGCCAAGGCTGCCTTCCATGCCCCACTGTTTTCTCTTAAGAGCAGGAACGCGCCGTCTTGCAGCTCTGCGCCCACCCCTCGTACTTCGAGAAGCTCAATCATTCTTCACGCGACTGGTTCCATCTCTGTCGCCTGCAACTTACTCCCAACAAATTTAAAATCTCATCTTTCACACACCATCACTGATTCCACACAGATTCAATTGATAGCTACAGAGTCCATCATCATATTATACGACATCACAACTTACAACATGGCACAACAACCGCTCCCCTCGTCGGTACAACCGACGGACGTCTATGGCGGAGGTATGCTCCATCATCTGCTACCCCCAGTAGGAGCGCACATGCTAACAATTCCGCCCCTTCAGACGAAGTCTCTGCCATCGTCCTTGACCCAGGCTACATCAACACCCGTGCCGGCTTCGCGGGCGAAGAAATGCCTAAGCAGGTTCTCCCCTCGTTCTACGGCCATATCACCTCCTCCAATCGCGATGTCTTCGGCGACCAGGCAATGTATCCCCGTGCTGACTTCGAAATCCGCAATTACATGAACCGCGATAGCGTCGTGGAGGACTGGGATGCCGCCACCAAGATCTGGGAGCATGCCCTTGTCAACCGCCTGGGCATCCCCCGCCCAACCCCGCCCAGCAAAAACGGCCTGAACAACAAGCCCAAACCAGCAGCCGAGGGCGAAGATGTGGAAATGGCCGACGAGGCTGATTTAGACGAGACGGAAAACTACGAAAAGCCCATGGCGGAGAATCCACTGTTGATGACAGAGGCGGCATGGAACTCACCAAAGCAGAGGGAAAAGGCCATTGAGATTTGCATGGAGAATTGGGCGTGTCCTGCGTTTTGGCTGAGCAAGACCCCGGTGCTGGCTGCCTTTGCAGCGGGGAAGGCGACAGCCTTGGTGTTGGACGTGGGAGGATCTAACACCAGTGTAACGGCGATTTTTGACGGCATGGTGCTGAAGCGGAGCGTCCAGCGGTCGCCTGTCGGCGGTGTATGGCTCAGCAGCCAGATCAGGTCGCTCTTTGAGGCCAGCGAGCCCAAGGTGGAGGTTGTGCCTACTTTTATGGTGGAAAACAAGAAGCCGGTGGAGGCTGGGCAACCTGCTGACGCCAGGCTGAAGACTTTTGATTTCCAGATTTCACCCTCCTTCAGGGCCTATGAGGAGGAGAGAGTCTTGAAAGAGTTCAAGGAGTCTGTGGTAGAGGTTTGGAGGGGCCCTGGGAGATACCTCGCGCCAGGAAACGAGGACTACGCCAAGAACCTGCCTGGCCGTGTGTTTGAGATGCCAGATGGCAGCAATCAGATGTGGCGCGAGCAACGCTTCAAGGCTGCCGAGGGCATGTGGGACGACAACGCTGCCTTCCCCAGCGCCACCGAGGAAGGAAAGATCACCAAGGCCCAGACTGTGCCCGGCTTGATCAAGGCAGCACTCGACTCCATCGACGTCGACGTTCGACCTGCCCTTTTGGCCAACGTTGTCGTTACCGGGAGCACAAGCTTGTTGCCAGGGTTCACCGACCGCCTGAACCACGAACTCACAGCCATGTTCCCCAGCGTCAAGGTCAAGCTTCACGCCGCCGGCCTCAGCAGCGAGAGGCGGTTCGGGGCCTGGATAGGTGGCAGCATCCTCGGGAGTCTGGGCACATTCCACCAGATGTGGATCTCACGAAAGGAATACGAGGAGAACGGGCCTGGGATCGTGGAGAAGCGCTGCAAGTAGGGTGGTCGGCCAACCCGACTTCGATGGAGAGGAAGGTGAAGATGTCAGAAAAAAGCTCGCAACGGTGTATGCTTGAAGGTAAGCGAAGCCCTGGAGGAGGAGGAGGAAAAGAAGACGAAGGAGATCGAGGAGGAGGAGAAAAGGAAGTGGAAAAAAGTCAAGGAGGAGAAGAGGCAACCAGGGACGAGGGGAAGGGGAAGAGGAAGAAAGTAGCTGAGGAGGAGGAAAAGAAGTAGAGGGATGAAGCACCTCCAAGGGGGGGTGGCGTAAGGGCGTAGGGGGAGGGTAGGGCATGCGTTGGCGTTATGTGAAATTTGAGTGAGCCAAGTGAAAGAAGGGGGGTGGATTATTCCGGGGGCACCTCTCTTTGATCGAACGAGGAGTCAGCGTAGGGGAAAAGACCGTGGTCTCTAAAAAGGTCCAGCGCTGGTTTTGACTGTTGCTTCATTTCAGGTGCTCAACGAGCCTTGTTCTGGGTTTTTAGTTCTTAGAAAAAAATACGGCAAAGTATTGTATGCTCCCTCTCATCGACACTTGGTTTCGTGATCACAATCTCTACCTACCATCCCCTCCACCTAGGCCAAGCATCCACCACCTCGTCCTCCCTCCCCTTGCTCCTACTGTCCACGATCAAATACCAATCAAAGCACGCGCCCGCGATGCAGCTGTGATTAGGCCAGATTCTCACCCTCTGTCCATACTGCAGCGGGATCTCGTCTTCGGGTTTACCATCCCACACCAAGATGCCATGTTCCTGGGAGACTTTGCCCACTTGCCAACCGGGGTGAACACGGGGAAAATCAGGACCTGGGGTGGGGTTAGAGGTGAGGTAACCGCCCCAGGGCATAAGAAAGCCCCAGCCGGAGTAATCCACTCCGGGGATGCTGCCCTTGTCGGTGACGGGTTCTCTGCCGAGGGCGAGGCAGCCTGCGTTGATGAGGGCTTCGGTGGTGGAGTTTTTGCCGCGGGAGGGGTAGAGGGAGGCTATTTCTGCTAGGACACTGATGGCGATGTCGTCAGCCTTGAGGAGGGAGGAGTCCCGGGCGTGGGTGGCGAGCTGTTGCAGGTCGAGGGTTGAACTTGGGGGTGTTAGCTGAGTACCTAGGAATAGGGGGCAGGGAGGGACATACTAAACCCCGGCGTGGACTTCAAGGCTGAATGGGTTTTCTCTTTTTGACTGGGCGGTGATGAATTCTTTTAGTTTCTGAACTGAACTATCACCGTTGTTGTTGTCACCAGATGAGATGATGCTAGGGTGCTGGATGGTGGTTGCGGTAGGTGTCGCACCAACGGAAAGGACTAGCTTATGCCCTGGGCTTCGTTTCCTGATCGCTTCGGCAAAGTCGAGACAGATTTGGAATTCCTGGGCTAGATAGCCCAATGCAGCCCAGTCAGTCCTGGTGCCGTAGCTGTGGCCTGCGTGGATGTACACCCCGTGCAAGACACACTTGTTTTGTTTCTCCGCTTCGAGAACGGCGTCGATGAGGACTTCGGAAGGGTGGCTGCTGTCCCCCTGGGTTGACTCCCCCGTGGCGAAACTGGGAGAGGGCTGTACGCCTGCTCGGTGGTAGCCACCGTCAATCTTGATGAACACCAGAGGGGGGTAAGCACCCGTTGTGTGAGCAATAGTTGCGGCAGAAACGAGTTGGTCAGGGTGGTCAATCATAAGAGAGATGGAATCCGGTCCTAACTGCGCAGATAGATCGGCTAGTCGAGAGGCCGCGGAAGGGAAGAGGGGAAAGGAGAAGAGCACGTTGACTTTTCTCCCCTTGGACTGGTATTCTTTCAGCAATGGGAGGATATTCTCTGCTTCGATGATGGTTGAGACGACAATGTTCACAGGAGTGGACTTGTCATTGCCAACTTGGAGGCGGGTGAGCTCTGTTGTCTGAACAATGTCAGCTCATGACCGGCGACTTATTCTCAACGACGATTTATACCTTGTGCGTCTTTATGTGAGCCCGCCAGAGCAGACCAAGTTTCTCCGTCGCTTCCAGCATTCCATTGCAGTTCGTCTCGAGTTTGGCCAGATCGAGGATCACTGATGGGGTGGGGACTTGGTCGAGTGTCTTGCCCACGAATCTGCTTTTGAGCTGCTCCTTGAGGGAGGCATCGGACGTGGGTGAATCCATTTTGCTTGTGTCTTTGAATAGGTTGTGAGGCTCACGAGGTTTAGCTGTTTGGCGGGAAATGCTGGATACGAGGTAGTTGATGTTCATCGGCTTGCCCTCCTTCCCTCCTCCCTAATCGAACGTACCCCACTTGTGACTCCTCAGCGTGCTTACTTACGGATGTTCGGCCTTGCGTGATGTATTATACACAATTCCCCAAACTCTTTATGTAGAATAATCTTGTGCCGACGTTCAATTGCTTATTCCTTGCTATTTCCACGACGTTGTGTTGCTGCTGTAGTGGGTGCCCCGCATCTACACCATCATCGTTAAATACTCGATGTAATCAATTCCCGCTATTTTCTCAATCAACGCTCGCTATATATTTGACTAGGTTGACAACTTTAGCCTACTTCGGCCTTGGAACTATAAAAGCATGGAAAGTGCAACATATCGAAGCCCAGAAGAACTTTTATGTCATCCTCAATAGCATCCAATTATCCACAATAACATCAAAGTCCTTCTGCACTTCGCCAAGTTGCTTCCCCTTCCAAGACCGAAGTACGCCACTAGCTCCACACAAACAAAAGGGTATCATTACAAAAACAAACGCCCGCTCTGTTTAAACCCTCGTAATAACATCCCCATCCCCTTCTCCTTCCCCCCCATACCCATAAAGCACCTCACAAACCCCCGCCAGCGGCACATCCATCACCGCATCCGTCCCCTCATTCCAAACCTCCCTCCAATCCAACCCCCCATGCTGTTCCCCTCCTCCCTCCTCATCCCTATTACTCCTCCCCGACCCCTTCCTCCTATGCCCCTCCCCCCTATCCCTCCCCCGCTTCCCAACAGCCCTTATCCTCCCCCGACTATCCACAACCGCCACCTGCGCCGCCTCATCAACCACGGTCTCTATGCTCCCCATCGGCAGCGTCAGTATCTCCACATTATACGCCGCCAACGCCACGTATATATACACCAGCAACATGACGATAAAACTTGGCACCGCCAACGACCACCACCGGTTAGGGTAGTAGTATATCCCCAACGCGTGCAGAAACGGCGACGGGAGGTAGCTCCAGAGCAGATAAAAGAGGAACAGGAGGCTGGAGAAGAGATACAGCACGAAGCCGTAGTATTCATACGTCGGCACTTTTGGCCTCGCCCTAGGTAGTGGTTCGGCGTGTTCGTCGTCCGAGGCGTCGGGGGTTGTTGGTCTGGAGGGTCGCAACAGGGATGTTAAAGAGGGAGATGGGGGTAGGGGTGTTGGCGGACGGCCGTAGAACGGGGGCGCGAAGGTGTGTTGCGAAAAGGGGGCCGCAGGGGGGAAAGAATTTGGGTTGCCGTCGTCTTCGTCGTCGTCGTCTTCTTCTGATAGGTCTGACTGGGAGAGGTATTCGCCTTCGTAGTCGGAGCCTGGGTGGGAGGTGGCGGAGGGGGAGGTTGAGCCATTGTTGTGGTCGTGATTGTGGTTGTGGTGTTGATGTAGACTGCCGCTGCCGTTGTTGGAGTCGGAAGAGTCGTTGTGGGAGGGTGAGTCGGAGAGGGGAGGCGCGTCCTCTTCGACTTCTTCTTCGGATGTTATCGACATTCTGACGGCATGTGGAGGGATTGAGATGCTGTGAGGCGTGTTTGTTGCAAGATAGAAAGGCGAGATCTAGAATTGAGATCAGGAGCTGGGCGGATTGTTAAGAGCGCCAAGACTCTGGGGCGCCCCACTGATCTGCACATGGGTAACGTAAGTTACAGCAGCGTGCATTCAATACGGTATTTTACCCCCTTTTCTTCAAACCAACAGGCTGGTATTAAATCCATAATATATACAGCTAAATGCCTGGTATCACCCACCAAGTCTCCCCAAGTCTTCTACCCGTCAATAGGACATCTATACTCATTTTCCTTTACCTGCCCATCCTTCGCCAACAGCTCCTCCAAGCAGCTCTTGTGGTAAATATGTCTACACGCAAGCAAGACCAACGGCCCCAACGGTGGCTGCTCCCTCCTCCTAGGAGCCCCAGCCTCATCAGACCGTCCCTCTCGGGGATCCTGAGCTGTCTGAACATCGCCATCACCGACCGCCCCATCTTCCTGTCTTAACCTGGGACTAGGTGCCTTTCCTTTCCCTTTGCCCTTGCCAACATAAGCCTCTTCCTCGTCACCACCTGTCCCATCCTCACCGACATCACCATTCGGTGACATCAGGGCCTTTCTCAATTTCCTCTTCTTCTCTTCCACCGCTTGCTTCTCCTCCCAAGCTTCAAACACATTTCCAGCCACCCCCGGACCCCACACTCTCCGACTGCAAGCCTCGCAGGTTGAGCCTCGTGGTCGCCATCCTCGCTGCCGGAGCGCGACCGCCTCGTTGACACTGACGAACAAACTCCGCTCAAGAAGCCGGTTGGACAGCCGCAGGATCGACTCTTCATACGCATACGCCGCAAAAATGGACGACAAGACGGAGCGAAGGTCGGCCAAGTTGGGAGAGGAGGCAGCCGCACGTGTGAGGAACGCCCTGAGGATTCGGAGAAAGGACAGGTTGCTGCCCATGCCGGCAGTTGTGGTCGAGGAAGGTGATGGAGTTGAAGTACATGTGAGCAGTGCGGTAAAAGTGTTTTGCACCAGAGAGCGGAGAAGAGTGGTGATTTTGTCGTTATCGCCTAATGGTAGATTGGGCTTCTCGTTCTCGGAGGGAGTTTCTGCCGGAGACAACCGGAGGGCCGTAGAGATCTGCTTGGTGATCTGCACCGCGATATCAATCAGATCAAGCCAGAGAGCCTCATCAGAAGACAGTGCATCGTCAAGAGTAGGCTTCTGCCGTCGACGACCAGCATTGGCTTCCCGCACAGTCTCCGTCTGTCCCTGGCAAAGCCAGATGCCGACTAGGATGTACCTCCTCAAGGCCTCCATCAGCTCCTCGACAGACTGATGAAGCTGCTCAGTGTTCGATTCAGGTTCAGAACCTGCAAGCAGACCCTGGAGAGCAGATTCTAGTGTTCCGAGGTGCTTAACCAACCGACCCATTGCCTCCTGAGCCTGACCTTCCTTGGCCATAAGTATGACAGCCGCATCAATCACGCCTGTCTCCTCCATCGTTGGAAGCAAGTTTTCAAGCCGTAGATTGGTAGACTGAACCAGCCCAACATAGTCAGACACATGTGCTGGATCAAACCTGCACATCAGCCGCAGATACTGCTCAACCAAATCCCGATCTGGTGACCCAGTACGACGTTGTTCAGTCTGTGGCTCCAGGATGGCCTTGAGATACGAATATTGCAGTCCCGGTTGCTCACCAGATGCTTGAAGGACATCATGATGCAGCTCGGGCGCAACCTTTGCAATGGTTTTGGCTGCCATGGGAGGGTCGATCTCGACAAACTGAGCCGCGTGCCGTTTGATGACTTGGTGAACATCCTGTACTTGCCGCCGTGTAAGGCCCGCTTGCGGTCGTAAGCAGACCTCAATGCAGCTAAACACAGCTTCTTGGTCTTCGGGGTCGTCAAAATAAGTCTCAATGAGCTTCCCATATTGCTTGTCGTTCTTGTAGATGCGCTTCAAAATGCGATAGAATCCAGCTTCCTTGAAAAGGGAAATCAAGTCATTAACATCTGGTGGATGGTATACCGAAAGCAGGTATTCCGCACTCAGCTGAGCATCCTCGGCCAGGTCTCGGCCGGGAAACTTGCAGAGTCCCGCGAGCACTTTGGTAAGAGTTGAGCCTGGAAACAGCAGATATTGTGGGTATTTGGGGAGGTTTCTCGCAATAAACATGTCAAGGTAGATCGTGTCGGTCGTTTCGTAGTCGGTCGAGTTCATGATCTCCATCAGGATGGAGACAATGTACTGTCTGTCTACAGTCAACCCGAAGATTTGCTCTTCTGGTAGATCTCGTGGTCGGCTGCCGGTTGCCGCCTGCTTCTCGGGCGAATCGTTGAGGAAGGAATCTTCAAACGCTTCATTGAGGGCACTCAGAAAGCTGGGCGCATCAAAGTTAAGGATCAATCGTAGGTAGGGAAACGACGGCTCCTGCGACTGAGAAGGCTTCGTGAGGAGTCGCTTGTTGCTGCCCTTAGGCCAGGTAATGCTTTTGCCAGAAAAGAGAAGCCAATAAAGCTCAGCCTTTGCCCTCTGCGCGATCTCTTCTGACAGGGCCTCACCAGTCGGGTACACCCGTCCCGTGAGGACATATGAAAGGTATGGGAAGATCTTGAGGGCATTGACCCCATAAATATCATCCTCGATCGGGTTTGCTGAGCCTGAATATCGGCCGTTTTGCATCAATGGTACCAATAAAGCCAGCAAATCGAGGAGGGGTGTAATGAAATCTTGAAGGGCTTGATTCCAGACATAGAGGAGGGCGTCGTAAAGGCTGTGTTGTTTGCAAAGTAGGGTGATTTGGTCCAAATCGAGAGTCGCGGTGTTCAGATGACATATCAGTTCCTCCAAGCGGCTTTCGAGCCCTTTGCTCACAAAGTGGGTGACCATGCCTTTGACCACAACTGGAGGGACCGTCGTAATAGATCCATCGAGGATGTATGGCTCCAAAGTCTCAAGGAAAATGCCTTCGACCTCGGCATCTTCGTACCATTCCCACATCTCGTCAAAGACAAAGTCCTCGTCCCCGACGCTTTGGCAAGCCACAAAGCAGGTTTCGGCCAGCTCTTGCAGATGAGCGTCTGTAACGCTGTCTTTCCGCTTCTGTCTCTGCCCAAATGCATACTTGAGCGAGGCGCTCATGATTTCCATCAGCTTGTCCTGGACCATAGAGTGTCTGAGTTTTGCATCTTCTGGAAGTCCGACGGTGAGCTTATTAGCATCACCTGTGTAGTAGGACGTGGCAAGTTGGATGGCCCCCACATAGTCCCCAGATTCCATCAACGCGATCAAGCGATCAGCCCAGTTGGACAGAGCGCCTATCGAAACATCATTGAATCCCAGGAGAAACAGGCGGCTTTTATACGCCTTGAAACTCATGTAGAACGCGTCAGCAACGACACCATGCATCGAGTCGACATCTTCATCCAGTTGTTCCACCAGTGGGTTCAGCTGTTTTGAAAAAAGATCTGCATGATAGATGTGCTTGCCCATCAAGTCAAAAGCCTCCGTCATGCGCATGCTTCGATCTTCGAGCACGATCAGCCGTTGGGATATCGTGAGAACCGTCAGAACTGATCTGCTGAGCCATTGGACAGCCGCGATTGATTCCTCACACGTCCATCGGCTCCGTGCTCTGAATTTGAGACTTGGGAGTTTTTCTTTGTCGTCTTCTGGTATCTCATCCACATCTAGTACAGTGAGGACATTTGACCAGCAGTACACCAATTTCACTTTGGAAATTTGACTTCCAGTAACAGGGTCCGGCACCTTCAGCTTCACAGCTGGAAACCAAGCTAGGCACCCGGTCATGGCACTGTGTGCTGCAACCTCTTTTGGACGGGCGGATTTGTGTTGAGTTTGCGCGATAGGGGTTGTGGAGACAATGACGAGCAAATAGGGGGTGAGCATCGCCGTGAGGCCCATACCGTCAGTAGCCATCTCGACGTTACCAAGGGGACATGGGGAAAACCCTAGTACAGTGCTGGGCTTGAGGGTTTTTCCAACAGGTGGTTTTGAGTCTGGATAGCGCCCGAGAATGCGAGTGGTCTTCACTGTCCTTCCCAGTGCTCCTGTGCCCCGCGTTGCGAGATGTGAAAAGGCCATTCCTCTGTCGTCGGCCGAAACGAGTGCTGTGTGGCGTGTTCCGAGAAATCCTAAGTGAGTGATAGCAACATTGGAGACATGACCGTCGGCCGTTCTGCGTTGGACTTGTGTAGAGTCCAGATGGGGTATGCTAAGAAACGGTCTCGCCGCTCGGGTGGTGTCCCAGGTAAAGATATTGCCGTTAGAGTGTCCACCAGCTATAGTGCTATGGTCTGCCGAAATGGCAATCGATGTGATAGGACCCGACTCAACAGCTGCCATCCAGTTAGCCCTTGATTTTCGTACCGGAGGAGCGGCTCAAAACGAACCTTTTGTTCCGGGACCAATGATCAACTTGAGATTTTGGTTATAGTCAAAAACCAGGATTATGCCCTTTGTTGTCCCCATCACGATATTTGCTGTGACGGCAAGACAGGTCGGAGTTCCAAAATTTCTCTTTCCTGCCTCCGAGAAAGCCTGGCTATTTAGCTTTCTCAGCTTCGTCCACCTCACAACCTCCCATGGCGGAGACAGCGTCTCTGTTTCACCCGAATCGAGTAGAAACTGACTGCTCACAGACACTGTTCGGCTATGTCCAGCAAGAAAGGCAGGTGAGGACGGTCGGGGAGAGCTTAGGTGTGGCGAGGCAATACGAGATTGGAATCTCTGGTCAAACGGCCTGAAAGATGGCGTTGGGCTCATACCAGGTCGGCGAGCGAAGGAGGGCAAGACACTGCTACCCATTGAGGAAACGACGGAGCCCTGCAGCAACTGTCAGTACCAGTTCCAGACCAAGCAACTCTTCAAAAACGCACCTGAGCAGACGGAGTATCATCTGGAATTGAAAGGTTGGAACCCATAGGGCTTGCCGCCAACCGGGGTATAGCATCGGTCGACCCATCTTCCGAAGCAGCCTCCTGTGAAGCTCCAACAATTCCACGATAGTGGTTGGGTATGGAAGCTGAGGTATCGACCTCGACAGTGGGTATTGGAACGTCAGCTGGCCGGTTCTCTTCCTCTTCCTCCAGTATGGCGGCATCAGCAACATAGTCTTCGTCACGCTCCCCTCTTATTGTCTCCTCATCGCTAGAGCTCGACCCTAGCCTGTGATCGTCTGCTTCTGGGGCCAGTTCTGGGATGTCGGCCATATTGTCTCCCGGGCCATTGCTGCCCTGTGCTTGACTCGAACTCATCTGGCGCTGGCTGCTGAATGCATTGCTCCGCAAAGACTCGTAAATGTGTATGTCGCGCAAAAGTATGTACTCGACGCCGAAAGGCTATCACTCGCTTTCTTGGGTAGATTCGATCAGGGTATGGAAGCTTGGCGGGACGACGCCTCGTTGCCTGCGGGGCAGCGCAAAGAATTCTAGGGCTGAGGACAGAAGTTTGAAAAGTTTGTACATTTGGAAGAAGCAGTCTCAATCTTCAGTCCCCCTCTATTCTGTACATGCGAATCAAGAGATGCGGCCCCTCGGAAGGTTGGCGCATTCGACGGGAGCTGGGAACCTTGGAAGTCGTGGAGCCATTGCGCGTGCAGCCCAGCTCCCCGGGCCTCCCAGAGAACCCCCCATGTTCAACATCCCTGCTCGAGCTCAGCCACCTGAATTAGCGGTGCTGTCAGCCTTATCGATAAGCTAGCAGCAGTACCCCAACTGGAACCATTTGCATCATCCCCCTGGCTGTCGCGAACTTATTCTCAACTTCAACCAGGCATTGGACCCCATCACAAACAAAGAACTCACTCGTCAACAGTCATATGAGACTGTCATCATGTCTTCCATCGGACCCCAGTTACCACCACATCTTCAAAAGCGCAAACGCATACCAGAAGACAACGGCCTCCTAGCATCTCCTCCACCCAAAGTCTCGCGACGTGACAACAATGATGAAATACCCCTAGATGACGACTCCGACGATGGGTTTGGTCCCGGCGCACCACCTCCCACAAAGCCATCAATAGGACCGTCGCTCCCCCCATCAGAAAACCCATCAAATCCACTCAATCCCACCGTCGCAAAGCCATCCATCGGTCCCTCCCGTCCACCAGTAGGACCAACCCTCCCACCAACAAACAACGACGAGATCCCCCTCGACGACTCCGATTCCGACTCCCCAGGCCCAGCCCTCCCACCCTCATCAAAAACATCCCCTCCACCCCGCCGAGTCCTCGGCCCCGCTCCTCCCCCAGCACCCCTCTCAACTCGCCCAACCACCAACCCCGATTCCGACTCGGACTCCGACGACGACTACTGCCCCGCCCTCCCCGACTCCGTCCCCTCCCGCCCAACCCCCCAGGGTTCCTCCCTACCTGCCTACACGGAACCAGAAGCGGCCCCCAAACGCGACTCCTGGATGATAGCCCCTCCAACAGAAACCTCTTACCGCGCCCCAGACCCAACCAAGCTCAAAGCCCGCAAATTCAACACGGGCCCCCGCGCCGTCACAGAATCCAAGTCTTCCTCCGGGGTATCCTCAATATGGACCGAGACCCCTGAGGAAAAGCGTCGTCGCCTCGCCAATGCCGTGCTAGGTAGAGACGACCCATCCAACACCCCTCAACAACCCATCGGTCCATCAGCCGGGCCGTCAAAACGGACGGCGGAGGATGAAGCCAGAATCAAGTCTTATACCGAGCAAACGAGGGGTAAGAGTCTGGTGGAGCAGCACCAGGCTAGGAAGGCTGAAAGAAAGGCAAAGAGTGGGAGTGGGAAGGAAGAGGAGGAAGAGGATGACCCGAGCAAGAGGGCTTTTAGCTGGGAGAAGGACATGAAGGTTGGTGGGGTGGTGAGCGGGAAGCAGAAGAGGGAGTTGTTGAACAAGGCGGCGAATTTTGGGGGGAGGTTTCAGAAGGGGAGTTACCTCTGATCGCTTTTAGAGAGAGAGACAACTTTGACGGAAGGCAGGTTGAGGAAGATGAAAGGGATATGGCGGTTAGTGTTTTTTATTTCCAACGTGGGCCACGACACCACCATACATTGATGAGGGATAGCTATATGAAAGATGGTTTGAAGCATATCACTGGAAGTAGCTTCAAGTTGAGCAGCAGCCCAGAAGGTCTTTTCTGGCCTTCAATTTCAGATGGTATATACACTGGACGATCCACAGCGTGCATAGCAATAGACACCACACAATGATCACATCACCAACAGCTGAAACATTCTTGTTAGCGTGTGCTTCATCTGGTTCAAATTCCACTACATGGCAAGCCCTCCAAAAAGTCCTTTCAGCAACCCCCCTCCCCATTTCGCAAACATATACACGTTGTAACCGCCACCCCTATCCCATCCCATCCCATCCCATCCAGCTTACATTCCCTTCCCAACCCATGAGCAAAAAAACACAAAACCAAATCCCAAGTAAACTCCATGCTTGTCCCTTTCTTCCCTTGTAATAGAGAGTTGTGAGTCGTGTGTGTCAAGTGTAGCCTCCTCTCGCGTTGTCCTTCGAAACAAAAAAGCCAAATATGGTGAGGGGTGCTATGCAAATCCAAATGTGGGGAGGAAAACAAGGGGGACGCAACCCGCAAACAAACATCCCATAATAAACAAACCGACAGTGAAAGCCAGATCGAGAGAAAGAAGAAAAACAGACTAATTGAAAGGTACAACAGCCAATATCCCAGCCAGCAGCTTAGTGCTCAACGCTCTCCTGCTCTTCTCTTCTACCCTCTTCCTGGCGCTCAAATGCCTGAGTCTGTGTCGCCCACTTCGTTACCGGCTAATTTTTCTCTTGATGCCTCAGGGATTACCGCCACTTTATCAGACGCAAGTGCTTGCGAGATAAATTGCAAGAATCCGATAACGAGTCACCAGTACTGGAACTTTCAGAGGCTGGTGAAATGGGCCAATTGCGACTCCCAAGCAGTCGTTATGACGGCATCAGAAAATTACATGTACATGGTGGGAAATACGGGTATCAATAGATGAGGGGAACAGCGATGCCATGAGCACACAGCTCCTCTCCCCTCCAAGATGGGCTGAAGATCATGATCTCTGTACTCCAGCTTCAAGCTGGGATGGTGTCACAGCCGGGTTGGCCCCCGATGCTGGTGGGGTAGTCTGGCTGTCGGTGTTTTGCTGCCGCCCTCTTGGAAGTCTCGAAATAGCTGTTCTCATGTTGGAGAACCAACCGCCGCTGCTAGCCTGGTTCTCCGACACTGGAGCAGGACTCGTTGGCGCACGAGTCCTGTTCCCTCGCCTGTTATCGCGAGTACGGGAGGATCGTGTTCGGTTATCATGCCTATGTCTGTTGCTGGCATACATTTCTCTCTCGCTCCGGTTGTCAGAGCCCAGAAGACCAAAGAAGGTGCGCCGTGGCCGATTGGGCATGTTCATCCGGTTCGAGCGTGAATCAACGAGGCTGATGGCGATCAATGTGGCCCCGTCGGGACCCTCAGCGCCTGGAGGTCGTGGCTTGGGAGTGTAATAATCAGCCTTGCACAATGGGCAGCATGCCCTCCTGCTCGTGAGCCACGGGTCCAAGCAAACAGCGTGGAAAGCATGGCCACAAGTCAAGCCGCGCACGTCATCGTCGTCTTCGAGAGTGTCGATGCAAATAGCACACGTGTCTCCCGAGGTCCCCATGCATTCGGGTGGGATGGCAGCATCAATGTGCTCATCATCTTCCTCATCGTCATCATGTGCGCCTTGGGTCGACGCTTTATGGAGAGTTCCGGCATCAGCATCCCGAGCTCCATCATTGCCCCCATCCCGTTCCCTATCCGTGGATATCCTTGGCTGAGGCCCACCTATCGAACTCGAGGTGCTTTCCTTTGAAGCATGTTTTCCGGGCTTCTCGGTCTGGGCAGCCGCCGTCGTTGACTCGGGAGTTGCGGCCGTTTCCTTTTTCGCTGTCGCTTCTGCTGCTGGTGCGGTTGCGCTCGTTGTTGGTCGCTCCTCGATAGACATGCGCTCCTTATTAGGAAGCTCGGAAATCACACCTTCGGCATCGCGGACACTGTTTGGGCGACTGGGGCTTGAAACACCGCCGCGGGTAGGTAGTCCTTCCTGCGCTCGGCTTGCAACCCACGTCTTGTACTTGAGCATCGGAAATTTTTCGTTGACCTCATCGATGGTCATCAATTTCTTTTCGCGCCGACGACGATGCGGGCGAGGCATGTTCTCCATGTTGATTGGTTCGCCATCTTCATTCATCCGCATTTGACGGTTACGGGCATTGTATCTGAAGCAGTACTTGACCCCAACGATAATCCTGCCTCTTCGTTAGACACCCATGTTCAGATATTTCTCATCGCCTTTCTCTCCTGCTTACCAGAGATTAGTGAAGACGACACCAAAGCCCAGCGCTACAAAAAACAGCAGCGGCGAGGAATTGTTACCTCCCGGCGATGGCTGCGGAGACGGACTCGGAGTCGCTTCGGGTGAGGTCGATGATGTGAGAGAGGTCAAAGAGGGTTGGACCGTGGGCGAGTCCGCTGGTGAGTTGGTGATGTCCGTGGTGGGCGATGGGTTGATTGTTGATGACAATGCGGTCGATACCACGGTCTCGGTTGCTTGTCTGGCAACTATCCGAACGCCTTGCAACACCAAGGCAGGATCAATGAAGGCCATCTTGGGAGAGACGGGACGAGACGAGATGATATGAAGGTGAAGGCTCAGTGGCGCTGTGGTGAACTTCAAGGGTGCACGACGGCCATCAGCATCGCAGATTGCTGGCGGCGAGCAGATGCACCCGTGTTGTCGTCGACAGATTACCCCTCGAGGATGCAACGGCTCTGCTTCATTCGCGGTCGGAAGCAGAAGTCGGCTCGAGCTGCGTCGAAGGTGAACTCCCTCAAAGGGCCGGCGAACACTGTGTGCTGCGTGCGGATGAGTGGAGAAGGGATACGGTTAATGGCAATCGGGGTGGAAGAGGAAGGGAAGGGTTGGTTGGAGCGAACCGCTATGTTAAAGGATGGAAGCGGAGTCGAGGCGAGAGATGGGCGCTGGGGTTGGGGGGATGTCTCGCTGTTTGAGGCAGGAGAGGGGGGCGGGAGGGCTGTGCTTAATGGTGGACACAGCAAGCTAATCCCAAGTGGGTCGGGTCCTTCGGCGGGGAGGGCAGGGGTGCCGTCGGGTTCCAGGTTCACAAGAGTTGGTGAAAAAGAAGCTGGAACTTGGTCATCCGCTGAATGCGGGAGCAACCTTTTTTCGCCGTTTTTATTTCACAGAATTCAGGTTTGTGGGCCAGTACAGAAGAAACAGAAGAAGACCACTCACGATTCACAGGTTTGATCCGAGCATGGCACAATCTGATATCCATGGACGATTAAGGTACGGAGGATTTCCAAGTGAAACTTTGCAGTCTGGTTCAGCTCCAATCCCTCACTTTTGAAAATACCACCTGCTCTAGACCTTTTCCCGGTTATTCGAATTACGGCTTTGCTTCCCGCCTCTACCATTTGACCCCTTCGCTTTGTTCGTCTGAGACGCCCTCATCACCCACGCCTCGGCAGGACGGCTGCGTCCTTTATCTGGTACATCTGGTGGTGGCCATTCTCTTATGAAGGACTATCGGACAATTCACGCCCTCTCCTCGAAAAGTCTGAGAAGCCCAAATTGCGCTGAATCATGAAAGTCGGAATTGAACTGTCGCCCCCTGCCGGCGTGTGTGCGTTGAATCGTTGATCCAGAGCCCATTCTTCGGCGGTTATAACAGCAGTAAGCGTTCTCGAAGGACACTAACTGTTAGGTGCCGGGGCGCCCGGTTAAGATGTGACTTGATATCAAGGTATTGCTCCCTGCAATATTATCAGCCAAGTTAGCTGTCGCATTGGACGGCGGCATCACCAAGTCTTCTTGCTGACGACGCAACTGCTGCTCCTTTCCAGCGAGTAGAGTTGTTTCTATCTATGCTGCAAGCAGAAAGACAAGCCAAGGGCCGACGCTGCGCTGCATGATCATTGGCAAAACCCTCGATACGGGCACTCGATCGGCGCGCCTGAGAAAAGCCACCCGCCCAGTCAGGTAGCGCCAATGGTAGCCGCGACGAATTCTTGGTTTGGACAGTTGGTCTTGGTCTCTTGGTCTCGAGTAGAGGTGGCCGCGGCCAATTTGGCAGCCAAGAACGGGCAGCAATATATTTTCCCTTGGACGGGCCAGTAACGGGAAGCTCGCGTGGGAGATGGCCGTCCGCATGGTCGGATGAACCGCGGCATTTCCGTGTCCATATCCGTCAGTATCGTACAGTAATCGATCTTTTATTCTCAAAGGCGTCTTCCGAGATCGTTGGCGGCACGCTTGGGCTTCGATAGAAAGGCGGAGAGGTGGGGTCTCCACAGCTTCGTTATCCGCCAAGCCGGATCCACTTTTCTATCTGCAAAGCCGATCGTCTGATCCCTGCTGACTTGATCTCTCATGGACGGCTTGGCAATGATGCAGGAAGTGCAAAATCGATGTTATTTCATGAATCTTTTAGCTTATTCATCATGATGATTCCAACTATTGCTCTTTTACAGCATTTTTTTGTAGGAATTTCCTAGAAATTGATACTATTTATCCCCACTATGTCTCAAGATGAACGCCTCACCAGGATGAGGTGGCAAGGCCAGCTGCGGTTGCCCGGTCTCTAGCCGTGGCCCTCGACCACTGCCACCACCTCTCCTGTCCCTTGTGTGAGTGGTGAATACTTCCAGGTGCAGAAACAATAACAACAAGCACAGTATCGATAATACGCGTCAAGCAGCCAAGTCGTGTTTTTACCGTTTTACCTACATACAGCCCGAACACGTCTGCGGGTGATATATGTACGAGACCGGAGTGTCACGTCGAGCTGCGGGGCATAACGTCAGCATCAAAGAACCCCTCCAAACCCCGAAATGTCTGTGGGAGCGACAAGGATTCAAGAATTTGTCAAACTCCAAGACTAGGGACGGAGAAGTAAAGCCCTACCAGCGGACCACAAGCTACCACCAACAACCTGGAAGCTTCCGGCTTTTTCACCAGCTTTTTTCACCGCCCCGATCAGCCTTGTAGTAGTGACGGGGCGAAGTGATGCAGGGACGCGTGTGTGTAGTTTTCTTTGTTGCTGGATACGACACCCGATCCCGAGCAAGCCGGCACCGACGTCACCTCCGTCAAGCCGAGAACAGCAAGGCAATTTCTCGGCTTGTCGAAACAGCGAACCTTTGAAACTTGCACAACCGTCGAGTCAATCGGTTGAAGTTGCACTCGTTGTACCCGGCCGCGTGGTTGACCACGGCCGTTAATGAGACGGTGAAACGGAGCACAAGAAGCGAATCAATCACACATACCTAGGTCGCACTTGAACTTTACGGCGGCTGTCTAAACAGGCGGTATGTCATTAAACTGGCTGGGACTTTGTGTAACTGCCTTCACAGAACCAAACCTTATATACATAGTATGACTATCATGGACCGTAAAAGCAAAAGACCTATACATCTCAGATCACACCACCGTTCGATATCTCTGCTACCCTCCGCCTGCTCCCGCCGTGCAGGTCGGTAGGTACATTCAGATGCACGTGCCGCTCTCATGATCGTTAGCATCCCACCCACATCCAAGATGATCTTCCAATGTCTATCTACATTGCTACTACACTGCCACCTTGCCTTTCGCTCCAACACCGAGTTCGGTCTGGGCCTTATCACCTCATCATCACCAAAGTTTACTAATCCATATGGCTCTTCTCGTTTTCACGGGGACATGGTTCAGGACTTTTTTTGCCTCGCTCATCAGGGTTATGAGCGATCCCGACAACGATGGTTATGCTGAGCTCATCGATGGTGATTCATTCATCAACTCGAGAAGTGTAGTATCATGTCAGCCAGTCAGGGCTTAGTGGAGTTGGTACGTGTCATTGGAAACAAGGAAATTGGATGAACGTTTCATGAGGAATCAATCAAGCCCATTTCTTGATATTCTTTAACGCCACTGGTATGTGATATGATTAGGTATCAAGTGTTCATAAAGGGCACCTACCGCGTATCTGTTTGCCTAAGGGAGCAGAGTTGTAACGCGCATATTTCGCACGAGATATGAAGACCATAAACACATCTCCTCTACATTCCCTTTCGGCCTCAAGATTTGAGAGCATGTTGTATGGGTGTACGTAGGCGGGAGTGTTGAGGAACCTTTTATAGAGTGTTTGTGTCTCAAGATACATTATCGATAGGTGGGTATATGGGTGAGCTCACCTGCATTACCTATCAGGGGGATATACCACAGTAGTTCAGCAACTTTATGGGCGTTCAATCTCATCCGCCACCTTGAGGTTGGCCTATCCGTTATAGTCTCCAACATAACACAAGAGAACCCTAGCCCTCGCCATCATCCCACGTACCTAGTCACCCAGCTAAACAAGCCCATATTCTCATCACCAGAACCGTTCCCATCAGAAAAACTATCTCTCTCCGACACAAGACCACAACTACGCAACAAATATTGGAATGTGGAATCCGCCACACCATCGCACGTACATAGAATCATTTCCATCTCTCCATATCATACCTCACTTTCAACCCCAAACTGCTCACCCTCTCACATTCACAAAGTTTGCAGACAAACGAAGGAACCCCCAACTCACCCAAAACTTCATCCAACCACCCACCCATCAGCCAACAACCATCTCGACTTCCCTTACACAAAAAAGACACAATCACCAGGCATGATCACCCAGGATACACAAACACCAACCACCACCACCTTACCCCTATTGACCTCACCTCCCATCAGATAACCCACCCCACCACTCACAAACAAATGCCCTGCACATCCATCAAACACACCATCATCTGGACTCCCTCACCAAACCCCCACGTTTTCATTCAGCAAGATGGTCAGGCTTAAGCAAAGAAGCAGCGTCGATTGGCTCTATGTCTACCCAGAACCCCTCTCTCTACAGTACAATTCATAGGTCTCTTCTCCTTCCCTTTCACCCATTCACCTCTCCCCTTGCCATTTTCCTTCTCTTCCTTTTGGCGGACTAGCTTGAAACAGACGAACCACCGAAGTATAATACACTGTGATTTTTTCAATCCGCCGGCGTCCCCGTTTTACAAACACCACACTCATCACACAGACACGCCCCTTTCAAGACTCTGTCGGAGAAGCAAAAAAAAACACCATCTGCTCTTCGTACTCCCCATCAGATTTATTTACTTGCTCTCTTTTTTCAACTCAAGGGGGCTGTCTAAAAGTTTCTGCTCATGTCGGCTCTGATTCTGGCGTAGTCAAACAGACCCTCGATGCTGCCGACGGCGCTGATGGCAATGTCCTGATCCCAGATCTTCTTGTTGGCAAACTCCATGACGTCCTTCTCCGTGATGGCATCAATGACGCGCTCGATCTCGCCGGGACTCATGCGGCGGCCAGTGTTGACGATTTGCCGACCAATGTCCTCGGCAACGGCGCTGGTGCCGTCGAGGGACAGGAGGATGGAGGCCTTGAGCTGGGCCTTGGCGCGCTCAACCTCGGCGGGGGTGACGCTGCCGCAGAGGCGGGTCCACTCGCGGAGGGAGAAGTGAACAAGATCATCGACGTTGGCGAGATTGTCGGTGACCATGTAGATGCCCCAGAGACTAGAGACGTATTAGTATCAAGTCAACCTTCACACACAACATAGCAAAACGGTCCGTACCCAGTGTCGCTATAGCTGGTGGAGAAGCTCATGTAGCTGGTGGCAAGATCATTCTTGTGAACGATGCCGCTGAGCTTGCTGCCCTGGTGAGGAGCGTTGCCAAGAGCCTTGTCATAGTTGCCGACAATAGCCTGGGTGACGAGGGCAGTGAAGTAGTCGGGGTCGTTCCAGCTGACGCCCTCAACGGCAATGGCGATGTTGGCGGTGGGGATAGTGTCGTCGCGGATTCTGACATCGGAGCCGATGAAATCGGCCTTCTTCTTGGACAGGAGGTAGGCGGCGGACTCGGGGCTCTTGGAGGGGAGGCCAGCAAAGTACTTGTCAGCCATCTCGACGAGCTGCTCGTGGGGAACACCACCAGCTCCGACAAGAACCATGCGGTCGGCAGTGTAGTTGTTCTTGATGTAGTTGGTAAGCTCGGTCCTGGTGATGTCACGGATGTTCTCGCGGGGGCCGAGGATGGTGCGGCCGAGGGGTTGTTGCTGGTAAGCGGTGGCGTGCAGGTGATCGAAAACAACTTCCTCCAACTGCTTCTCAACCTCCTCCGACTCACGGAGAATGACATCACGTTCCCGCTCAATAGCCGACTCCTCAAGCTTAGAGTTTTGGAGAATGTCCTGGAGGATATCGACGCACTGAGGAACGTCCTCGTTCAGGGCCCTGGCGAAGTAGACGGTGTTCTCGCGCTACACTCGGGAATTAGCTTCGATGAAGGTATCCGGAATAGAATAGACGGCAACAAACCGAGGTATACGCGTTGAGGTGGGCGCCCATGTTCTCAATTTCAAGCTCCAACTGCTGCTGAGTCCGCTTCGATGTGCCCTGCCCAAGTGTATTCATGTTAGCCGGGAACGGCAGAGGGCGAGCCCGGATTACCGTACCTTGAAGGCCAAGTGCTCGAGGAAGTGGGCAGTGCCGTTGGTCTCGTCGGTCTCGGCGCGGGAGCCGGCATCGATCCACATGCCGACCGTCGAGGTCTGCGCATAGGGAGAGTACTGGGTTGCGACCTGCGGGGTGGGAAAGAGTTGCAGTCAGTATATGAAGCTGTAGCAAGCTCAGGAAGGACCAATTGGCACGACGTCATGGCGGCCAGGCTGTGGACGGGCGGACGGGAGGGCCGGGGGGAAGCTCACAGTCAGGCCATTCTTGAGTGTCGTCGTCTGGGTCTTGAGGGCGGGCGAGTGAGGTGTCGCAAGGCCTCGTCTGACGGGGACAGAAAGACCTCCAGAGCGGCCACGCAGGCCCTGGGCGAGGTTCAGAGCAAGTCTCCGGGACGCCATGGACGCGGATGGGTGTGTGTCGGGGGGGTGGAAGGGCGGTTGAAGAAAATGTCCTCAACCTCAAAAAACAGACTTATGCAGCAGTGATTTTGCCTCACTTCCAAGGCAAGCTCGGGAAGGCCCGGGCCAATTTGCCAGAGCTGCGCACCGGGGCCCAGCGTCACGTGCTTGAGCTATGCGTTTCTTGGCGCCCAATTGCAAATTCCGCCTTTAGGATTCGTTCCTGCCACTCCTTTGCCAGTGCCCCACCAACCAGCAACACTTTGGGTCATCGTTTACATACTTGGAAGCTTCAAGGTTGACAGCTTGAGAAGCTCTTGAAAGTTCCAGCTCCAGCATCAGGGTCTGGGAAAGTCGCAATGCCACGTCTTTCTTTCCCACACCTGGGTGCTGGAAAGCACGTTCAGAAACACGACACTTGAGGAGGACTTTGGGTTGGTCAAACCAGAAACCTCTCCTTCACCAGACATTAACGTAGTTCATCTTCAGTCACCATCGTTACTTTACCCAGCCCAACATGGACCCCACCATGTATTATCTGCCCCTTTGCACCTGGCACTATCTGAAATTACAGTCATTCATCCTCCCAAAGTCATGTTTCGAGCTGTTTTCAGGTTTTCCTATTGCTCATGACGCCATCAATTACGAGTTTCAATTTATCCTATTCGAGGAGCAACAATAATGATGCATGGGTGGATGAACCACTCAGAGAAACCTCGCTGCATAACTATCCTGCCCGCTTTCACCGGGACACCACGATATCCAACGATGTTTACTGTCAAAGCAGCGAAATAACGATATCTAGCTTCATGGTATTCTGCATACAATATAGGTCATAGGTCACGGCTATACAAAACAGGGCGAATTCAGCCACCGGGCCTACTGAGAGTGTAGTTTATTATGGGTCGATTGCCCCACAAATTATACCAGGCACTTATAGAACTTTAAATACCCTAAATATAAAATTAAGCCTGTTTTTATTTACTATAATAGTAGATGCAGGGCTTTGCAGCACTCTGCTATATTAAGTAAATACTTTGTATAATATCAGATAAGCGCTAGATAGGTACTAAGCAGGCACTAGGTAGTGCCGAGTAGGTGCCGGGTAGGTGCTTTGTGAGATACTTTTGCCGTGTGTAACGATTTTGCCAAAACTGACGCCACGGAGTACTATAGCAGTAATGCAACGGCATATGGCCTAAAGTAGGATACTGGGTTAGAGTCGGGAGGACTAGGGCTGAGGACGAGGGCTGAGGATAGGACTGCGGCCAATGGGAGAGCAGAAAAAGATGCGGCTAATGAAAAAGCAGGAAAAAGGAGTATAGGCTAGGTGGAGCAACAGGCAGGGCAGAGAATGAATATCTGGGGGAGCGAGCAGGCCTTCCACACTTACTTTTCTTTTCTTCTTCATCTTACAATTACTTTAGCTACGGAATATTATATTGTAACGAACCTCTATCTAGAACTTCTGAAAGGGATACTAGTTAAAAGCACTTCTAAACAATCTTAGTTCAGTACAGCTAAATAGTATACAACAAATGAGCTTGTCTCAATAACAATCGCTAAAATACCACGATTATGACTTGTAAATTACATACTACAGAACTATCTATCTACACCAGCCAGTTCCTCCATATATATATAGACCTTAGAACCGTGGACCGTTGACTTACAGATGGTCCTCGGTCTAGTCTTGATTAGCCGATACTGGACTGTGGACCGTAGGCCCCGCCGCTGTCCCCGGTCCTTATTTTATTGGTCCGTTCTGTCCATCTAGACCGTGAGCACCGCTCGATTGCCCGGTCCAGTTCTGATTAGTTTCTTGTGGCTCACTGTCTTCTAAAACCGTGACACTTTTTCAGAGGTTCTAAATAGGAGCCCGTCACAATAACTTCAGTTGTCACAATCGTTGGTGGGAAACCCACGCACGGGGCGCGGGGCGCCCCTGGCCAGTCATTACGGACCAGTCGGAAGAGGAACGAAAGGCTCATGGTAATCCCGGTGAGCGGAGCGGCAGGATCACGGTGATCATGGTGAGCCTCAAGTGGAGGATGTGATCCGGATCACCGCTAGGGAACGCGATCCAGGTGATCCACAGGTCTATATATACGGAGGAACTAGATAGCTTGTAGATAGTTCCGCAGTATGCAATGACAAGTCACAATCGTGGTATCTTAGCTGTTGTGATTGAGACATCTTGTTGTGCACTATTTAGCTGCACCGAACTAATTGTCAGAAGTTACCTTCAACCAGTATCCCTTTCAGAGGTTCTGTACAGGGGTTCGTCACATCAGTAAATTTATTTTGATTAAAAAGTATTTTATAAAACTATCGTTATAAATATTATGTTAATTTTTTAAAAAAACCTTAATTTTTTTTTACTTTAAATAAAATTCTTATTGATGAATTTTATATATTAAATAGTCACGTATTAATATAATTGATTAATTAAATATTACTATTATAAATCAAAATCTTTTAAGGCTAATAGTAAGAGTTTTGAAGCTATCGTAAAAAAGTAAATGAAAAACAATCATGGTAAATGTTATTGGACCCAGTGATTGGGTTATAGGTGGCTTGGCACTTGAGCCAAACTCCTGTAAGTATAGTGGCGGGCGCGGACAATTTTGGTTCGATTGAGTATATGCGGTATTGGTTACCTATTGTTCTCAACATCAATGGCTGGTAGTTCAATGCCATGTGCACTTCCGTCAGGGGGCATGTAGAACCCACGTTTCTGTGTTTCCCCGCATGGACGAAAGGCAGTTAGGGTCGGAGAGACAGCTTCACTTTCTTGATGCCCCGGTTATTACCCAATGCGGACTCCAGGTACCAATCGAGACGAGACGTTTGAAGCCGCACAGACCATCAGGCGATCACGGCAAATAGCGCCCGAGAGAAGAAGCAAGCCGAGCCGGAGCCACCAACAAGGCTTTCCATCCCTCTGGCAGGTCATCGTCAAACGTGACTGCAAACCTGGATAGGGTCTGCCTTTGACAGCGCACCACCCGCCACCTCCCGACATCTCGACATCTCGACACCTCGACGTCGTCTCTCGCTGTCCTTTTCAGAAAGCAGCCAGCCTTTGTGATCGGGCACCTCTGAAGAGGACCTTGCGAGTTTTGTTCTCACCCCAGAACCAGCCGCCACCACCTCGCCAACCATGCTGCCGTTATCAGTGCGACGGGCTGTCGCGTCTGCGGCTCCCCAGTCGCCTGTGACGGTGGTTTCCTCCCTGACTGCGTCGGCTCCCAAAGCCGCCTACAAGGCCAATGGTCTCCACCAGCGCCGGTACTCGTCCTCAAAACCCTCAAGCCCGGATGACGGCGCCCGCGATTTCGCCGCCCGGCCCTCCGTGCCCGCCTCGGGCAACTCCAAGACGACCGGCGAGAAGCGCAAAAGAAAGGCCAAGGACGCCGGCCCCCAGCTCCCCAGCGTCCCCAGCACCAAGCACATCAAGGACGAGGGTTCGTATCCTCCCCAATATCACTCACATCTCTTGCTTACCCCTCTATCTAGCCCTCGCCCTGTCCACCTTCTTCGCCCTCCACCGGCCCATCTCCGTCACACAGCTCCTCCCCAAGACGGTGACCGAGGATGCCTTTGCCGAGATCTTCAACACCCGCTCGCCGCGTCACAGGGTGTCTGACGTCCTGTCGACCCTGTCACAAACGGTACATGACCTTGAAAAACATCCCCTCTCCAAGTTGAATGATGATGAAGCCAACACTAGTGTCTTTAAACAGCAAGAGCGGATGCAGCAAGAGATTCAGGAAACCGGAGAGCCGCCGAGGCGCGCCGACGGCGCCCCGTTTGAGATGAGCGGCGAGAGCAACGTCTATTTTCAGCTCAACTCCATGGCGGGCCAGTTCCTGCCTTATGCGCCGCCTCCGGCACCCAAGCCGATGACCGATGGCGCCGCCGCCGCCGTTGATGCTCTTGTCGACGAGCTTGCCAGCACGACGCTGGAAGCGAGCGAGGAGCCCCAGACGAGGGTGTACAAGGCCATGGTCACGATCGAGGAGACGGTGGAGGCGGACGGGCAGTACAAGGTTGTTGCGCACAGCCCGGAGCTCATTGACAATGCGGAGCAGGGCGGCGTTCAGCCGAGGACGTTTCTGGAGAGGATGGCGCTGCGCCAGCTGAAGTATGACGAGTCGAGACGGCTGCAGGACCGGGCCATGCAGGCCATTAGTGTGAAGAGGCAGAGGAAGTTGCGGATGAAGAAGAAGAAGTACAAGAAGCTACAGAAGAGGACGAGAAACGAGAGGAGAAAGTTGGATAGATTGTAAATAGATTGTCGGATTATGATGTATGGGATGGTGGGTGGGATTGGGGGGGGACGGCGGCGTATTTGTACATAATCCACTTCTCTCTCTTTTTTTTCTTTTCCTTTTTGATCAACTGACAAGAACAAACCAATGTCTAGAAAGAGTTATGATGGATTTTTCTTTTTTCCCTTGAGGTCTTTGTTTGTTGCATGGCAGTTTCCACATATAGAGAAGGAGTAGTTTTAGTCACTTTGGAGCGGTTAAAGGGATGGTAGCATGAGACAGATTGTCCGTCTCTTTTTTTTCACATTCTGCATAGCATCAGTATCAACCGTTTTTTTTTAGTCTTTTTAGTGCATGCTATCTCTCCTAAGCTAAACAATATTCTTGTCCAACCACTCCTTCCACTGCTCCTCAGTCCACCCACTCGAAATCTCATTCGCTACAACGCCATTGAAGATTACAGTAGGCGTGACGTGAACACCGAGAAGTCTGTTGATTTTGGTGATCAGCTTCACGTCGTTTGTGACGGCGTTGCCTGCGTTGAGGGCGCCGTCCTCGCCCGGTTGGGAGGGGATGGCGAGGAGGTTGTAGACGGCTTCCTCGTCCAGGTCAGAGATGGTGTCCGAGGCGAGCTTGGCGAGGCGGCGGTAGGTCTGGTTGCGGGTTTCGTTCACGAGGGAGATATCAAAGTAGGATTTTTGGTGGGCGAAAAGGGTGGAGGAGAACTGGTAGAATTTGGCGGGGGAGTTGGTTAGTTGGAGGACGGCGAGAGCGGCTTCGTGGACGAGGGTGGAGGAGGGGTGCCAGGGTTGGATTTGTTGACGGATGATGAAGTCGACTTTGGAGGAGAGGGAGGGGTTGGGGGAGATGATTTTGGGGATGATGTTGTTGTAGAGATGGTTGAAGAGTTCTGGTAGGGGGAGTTAGTGTATGCTTTGGGGGGGGGGTGGGTTGAGGGGGGACTGACTGGCTGAGAAGGGGCAGACGTAGTCGAGGAAGAGCTCGATGGTGTGCTTTGGTTCGGGGGCTGAGGTTAGTGAGGAGGAGAAGGTGAGGCGGTGGGCGTTGAATTTGGGTGGGAGGGCCATCTTGGTGGTTTACTTTGTTTGTGAAGTTGAGAATTGATGAGTGACAGTCACGAACGGACGATGGGTAGTGAATGAGGCTTTTATAGAATTAAGAATTAGACCGCGACAGAAAGACTCGGGATGATGTGATGGGAGCTCTTGTTACACATGAAGATAGGTAGATAGGGGGTGTGTTAGTGGGGTGAATGAGGGGCTGCTCGCGCTCAGTTGCATCATCGCTTTTCCGAAAATCTTAATCGCTCCCCGATCCGTCGAAATACTTGTTCGGCATCGGTGCTCGTTGGTCAATTCCAAATACCTCTCTAGGGGAATTTTGTCATTCTGTCTCTCAGACTGTCTCCTGGTGAAACCCCTATTTTCTCATCCTCACTCCCTACATGATATTGAATCTTAACCATAACGATCACATACGACCATAGGCAGCTGAAAATACGGGATCCCGTCTGCTCTCCCCTAGTCAAACAGCTGACCGCCAGACCAGTACTCAGGTGGGTGACCACTGGGGAATCCCCGGTGTTGTATGTTTTCGCTGCTTTGCTTTTTACTCTCTTACTGGTTGGTTATCCTGCATTCTTTCTCGAACTGCAAAAGACACCCAATTTCTACTTGAAAATGGTGGGTTCAAAGACCCCCCCTTAGTTAATCGTTTAACGACAAGTTTAACTACGGGACACTCTTTGCACACCCGCCCTAACTTATAGCCACCAAGCAACACTTTACAACCCCTTTTCAAGCCAAGTCCAAACAGCCTCTTCCCTGTACTATTATTACTACCATTACACTAAATCTTCCTTTTTCTTCCTTTGCCTTTCCTCCTTCCTCTCTCATCTTCGCACCTTTAACAAACTTCCCCCCCTTAACGCTCAACCTCCACAGCAAAGGTAACCACCACCCCCCCCTCCGCCGTCACCGTAAAGGTCTCCACCACCGGCCCGGTAGTAACACTTCCCTCACCCTCCTCCCGTTCCGTATGAAAAATCAACGTCGTCACCAAAGGCATTGGTTCGTATGACGGGGTAGGAGTTCTGGGTGGACGGCTGAACCCCGCCGTGCCGTAATACACCGTTGGTGTCTGCATGCTGAGGGAAGAACCCCTTCCGCTACCATAAACGCCCGGGCTGAGGGTTTTAGTTTTGAGGGTGGAGGGGAAAGAGGAGTTTGTCCAGGAGAAGAGGCCTGTTGTGAAGGGTTTGGGGATGGAGAGGGATGGGAAGGTCGTGGGAGGCAAGGCTGTGAGGTTGATGGAGGGGGCGGTCAGGGATGGGAGAGGAGGGGAGAGGAGGGTGCTGAGGGAGTGGTATTGGGGGCGGATGGATGATGTAAGTGGGAGGGTGGAAGGTGGGGGGTAGGAGTCTGAGGTTGGGGGGGGTTCGTCTACCGTGATGGTTAATGTAGGTGTGGTGGTTTGGAAGATCAACGTAGTAACCCGGGGACCGTCTGTGTCGTAAGTGGCGGGAGATTCTGTATCGTGAGCTGTCGAAGTTGACTCGCCGACTGTCTCAGTATCGTACGCCGTACTCAACAAATCGTCCGTACTGGTACTCTCTGTGGCAGAGGGGACTGGCGTTGAGAAATGAAGCGCGGGTGTGGTTGTCATAGTGAGAAACGGCTCATCGAAACATGACATATCGGGGTCGACGTGAAGGAAGACTTGCGGGCACGTTGCGTCCGGCTGCTCGAGGTAGTAGTTCACCTTGTCGTAGCGGCCAGATCGGCAGGCGAAAAAGGAAAATGTTCCATTGTAACTGAGAGCCTGGGCATCGCCGTGCGTGGTGACAGAGAAAAGCATGTCGGGTTCTTCCACGTCGGAAAAGGCAACGTCACAGACCAAGACTGTCGAGACGGCTAGAATAATGAACAAGAGATTAGCTGGAACAGAGCAAGGACAAGACAGGGGACAGGGACAACTGTACGAGCCCACCAGCACCCCCGTAGGGCGTGGTCTAGAAGACGACCATCAAACAACCGGAACCACGTTGCTGGCTCTGTGAGTTTGCTTCCCTGAAGTTGACCACCTGGTAATTGGCCAACTGTGAGGTTGTTGCTGCAACTGGCATCGACTGAGTATAGGTGGAACAAACATGTTTCTATATCCGCGACATCAGCCACCACGAAGCTCAACCCCAGCACCAAGAGGAGGAAGATGTGAGCAAACATAGTCGAAGTGTAGGTGATAGATGACAGCGGCGGTAGGTAATCCTGGGTTCAAGTGAAAGAGCTGCCAACTTCATAACTGACCACAGCAACGGGGAGGTAACCCAACACTTATATCACCAGGCTTCCAATTATCATTTCCACCAAGGACGGCAAGATGTGCCGTTTGGTGCAACGGACTCATTGTTTCTCATGACGGCGATATTGCCCCAAATATCTTGAACAACTACGCCCCAGCGCCCGTCAGACCGTTGGCAAGTTCAAGATGTAAAGAAGTGATGGTCTCATCCGCTCGGCTCACACCTAAAAACAAGGGACCGTGCATGCATATCGCCTGTGAGCCTCAGCCCAGTGATACCCATCTCGACTTGAGCATGCTGTGCAACACCATGATAAGGTCACCGTCGCATCTGCGAGATCATCCACCACTAGATATCTACCATCCCATTTCCAGACTTGTCCGACAGACCGAGCCCAACAATGGCCTTTCCCAGCCACTGGCCACAAAAGTTGTCTTTGCCGACACAGATACACAAGCAAGCAGAATTGGAACGAAAAATGTATGATATGGGCAGAGGTATCATTCGGGTTGTGCCCAAACCCTTCCACGGTTTCATTACTAAAAATCAACACGTGGTGCTTTTCGCTGCAACAAGATCAGAATCGAAGTGGCTTGACTACGCCTTTCTCCTTTTCCTGGACGCTGGCGGATCTGGCTCTTGCTCCGACTCAGCATCTGATGCCTCCTCATCACTCGACTCGCCGAGGGATATCATATCCTCGGCATCATCGCCCTCATTGTCTTCGTTATCTTCACCCTCACCCTCAGAGTCACTATCACTGGAAAATCCAGAGAAATCGTCACCTTCGTCATCTGAAGCTGCAAGATCCTCGGTGGCCGCCAGAGTCGACCCAGCCATGGATGTATCGGCAACACTTTCGCCTTCAGCCTCGAGGTCGCGTTTCCGCTTCCGCATCTCACCGAGACGACCTTGGCGGCCCTCAATGAGTTCAGAGTCGGCATCCTCGGTCCCTTCCATTGCTGGCGCGGGGGTGAACCAAGGAATCTTGCCTCGCATGAAATCGTTCAAGACCATCTTGGCCACACCGTCCACATCTGGCTCACCACCCTTCAACAGTCTGCCGCCCTTCCTAGCCAGCATCTCAAGGAACTGAATGTGGTCTTTCCAACCCTTCAGCTCATATGTCCTTTCCATATGATGCGGCTTGACCTTGCTCAACACAGCAGGGATATACTGCTCGGGATGCTCGACATTCTCAACACGGACGACACCACGGAGAAGAAGGTCCTGTGGTGTGTCATTTTGGTTGGGTGGTACAATACCCGGGCAATCAATCAGGTAGATCCTCTTCATCAGAGTAACGTACTGCCAGACCTTGGTCTCACCGGGAATGGGTGCAACCTTGGCAACAGGCTTGCCACGGAGGGCGTTGATGATGCTGGATTTGCCCACGTTGGGATACCCAACCAGGCCAACACTGATCTGCTTGCGGTCCTTGTGGAGGATGCTAAATTGGCGGAGAAGATCGATCAGAGAACCACGACCGAACGGGTTCTTCATGCTTGATCTCATGGCGCAGGTGGGGCGATCCTTTTGAAGCACACGGATCCAAGCAGCCTGAAAACCTGTTAGCGTCCGTCTTGGAAGCAACAATTTCAAATGCAGATGTATGATGGGAGAGAAATGTATGAAACATCACTAAGAAAACCGCAACAAAATTACCCAGTGAAGGGCGCGGCGGTTTTCAACTCGTATGAAACACGTCCGGTATCCGGCGCCAAAACCCCAAGACGGAGTCTGACAATCCCCGACCTGATGACCAGGCCAGAGAAGTTGGAGGTGGATATCGATCTCCCAGGGATGTAACGCACAACTTCCATTGCACTGGCACACGAATGTGCGGAAGCATCCTGACAAAACCCCTGGGGTACTCCCAATAAAAATCGAGGAGTACCAAGAATGTGTGATGTGATACAATACAAAATGGTTGTACTTACGGCTGTGCTGGATGGAACCAAATCGATTTTGTTCAGAACGAAGATGAGATGCTTGTGCGGAGCTTCTGTAGAAAGATACTTCTCCACGTGGCGACATCTTGTGCCGACAGGATCACGGGCGTCGAGAACGTGGAGGATGACGTCGGAAGAGTCAATCACCTTGTCTGTGAGAATAGGTTAGAACAATGCTGACCTCCAACGTGAGTGCGTGTATGCTTACAGAGCTCGTTCCAGATGCGCTTGGATTGACCCTTGAAGAAGATGGCTTCCTTGGCCGTTGAGACACTGAAGTCAATCTCCGGGTAGACACTCTCCTTGTTCTCCACCTCAGCCGTGCCAGAAGTACCGCTGAGCAGCTTGATCTGTTCCTGCCTCGCGGTGTACTGATCGAAGCTCGACTCGGTGTGGCCCGCCAGTTCGTCAACAGTGGCGAAGCTCAGCTTGGGACGTTTCCTTTGCGCCTTGGGTCCAAAGGTCTCTGAGAAGGGCGCACTCTCGATTGTCATCTTGGCTTGATGCTTCTTCAACCCATCCTCGAGCTTGGGTCCGTCATCACGAATCAAGCTCATGGGAAGCTTGTTGCTCTTGAGCAGTACTGAGTATGGGTCCTTCTGGTTCTCCTCCACAGCCTCCCGGAACGATGTGAGTGTGTCCTGGGAAATGACTCTGGTGTTGCTGAACCATCTTCGGTTTGGCTCGATGACAGCCTTGGGGCGCTCTCTGCTCTGGAAAGAGGCAGCCTTGATGATCTTGCCATCCTTGTTGCGAATCGCCTTGCCCTCCTTGAGGACATTGAGGGTCTTGATCTTTTTGGCGGAGCGGTAGAAGTTTTCACCCTTCACCTTGGGGTCGCCTGTGGGCTTGCCCTGCCGCTCCATGCGGGACCTTTCCTTCTTCCCTATGATGAAGAGTTAGAGGGCGACGTCAATTGCGATATCGATGAATGCTGCGACGTACCAGTTCCCATCTTGGTGGAATGCTAAAACGCCAAGCTGAAACCAGGAGACAAGAAAAAGAAAAGGCAAAACAAGAACCTCGCCCGCGAGAAAGGATCTGAGGGATTGAAAATTGATGTTTTGCGGTCTTCCACGGGGGAAAGTGAATGTGGAAGACGAGGAGAGAAAAGTTGGAAAGGGTGCAAAAGAGCAACAGTCGCGCAAAGTAAATGGGAAAGTTTTGGAGGGGTGGAGCTCCAAAAGTCTCTGAAAAAAGAGCGGTCAGCCACGGCAGAACCCCCAATGCTCAACCGCCCTTACTCCCAAACCGGCTTAGCGTCTATCAATCAGCCAGCCCCAGCGAGCTTCAGAATTTCCAAGTCGAATCACCACCACCCGCACCTCGCCGTCGTCGACAATCCCCCAGTAGTCCAGGAAGCCAGCCCGAACTCCTGTCTCTCCAGACAGAAGCTCCCCCCCTACCACAAACAACATGCCTCCATCACTCCCACGACCGGCCCTCAGCGGCCTCGAAGCCGCTCTCACGAACTGCCGCCTCACCCCAAGACCAGTATCCCGGCAACTCTCTCGCTCCCTCTCGACAACCCCCTCCTACCTCCAACAATTCTTCCCCCCCGACTCCCCCAAGTTCATCACCATCCCCGAACCCCCCCAATCCTCCGAAGTCAAACCCCCCCCCGTCAAAGGCCACCTCCCCAAGCCCCGCAACCTCTTCCCCACCCGCGGCGGCCACCGCAAAGCCACATCCGCCTTCATCAAAGCCGCCACCCCCCTCTCCAAATCCGAAGCCGCCGGCCTCCCCCCCAAATCCGCCGCCGAAGCCGCCCACCGCAAAGCAGCCGCCATCCGCCGCAAGAACCTCGCAGCAGGCACCCTTAGCCTCTACCGCCGTAAGACCACCCACGACAGGAGAATCCTCGAACGCTCCCAGTACAAGGTCGGATTTAACATCGCCTGCGCCAACAAGCCCGAGCGAGAGGACGAAATCCTCACCCGGTCGACAGTCAAGGCGTCCACCGCCCTGAAGGTCCAGGTCGAGCCCAGTCCACTCCGGTTCGAGAGGGCCGAAGAGGCCAGGCAAAAGACTGAACAGTTGGCTGCGCAAAAGTCAGAGGCGAGGAAAGACGCCCTTGCTCAGCTGTTTGTTGCCGCGCAGAGCTTCATCGTGACGGAGAAGCAGCTGGAGGAGAGGGTCGAGGAGCTGTTCAAGGAGGATACGTTCAAGAACAGGATTAGCAGCGCCGCTAAGAACATTTGGGAGGCTTCTGGCCCGCCGATCAGCGTGGCCACGAGACAGGCGCAGATTTCAGGTATGGCCTCTGGATTGTCTGATTCTACCAGGGCGGCGACCCAGGCGGCGGTCAGGAGGAAGTTGGTGGCCGAGGAGCTTTCGGGTGGCAAGCTGGTTATCGATGCTTAGAACAATGAGCGATCTGGGAGTTTCGAGAGCACAAGTAGAGAGATGAAGCTGTCTTAAGCAGGTGGGGATGCCTGTTTGTTGCGGGCAAACCGATGAGACTACATTAGTTACATCATGTATCAAAGCCTAGGTGGAAGTAGGCGTGTACAAATAGAATTTGTTTTGAAAGAGCCAATGTTTAACCGGCCACTGAAAAGAGCTATTTACAATATTGTACACACTCTGTTTAGCTTCTACAGAGAAGAAGAAGAAGAAGAACAGGGATATGTACAAAAAGAAGAGAGGAAAAAAGAAATCACATAATGTTTCTCCTACTCTACATATTTCGCTGATCAAATTCAAAATGACTATACGCCTGTCAGAACGCCGATTGCCCCTGATTCCCATCCCGTCCTTTGCTCCCTCATCGTCCGTCCGTCGTGTACAATACTACCAGTGGTACATGATATGTGTTCAAGTAATCCAAGAAAAAACATGCAGCAACAACGCAAAACAAAAACCACTCTCTACCTCACCAACTCCCGGAAACAAGACGCCTCTTGAAGATTTAGTAACAGACGAAGCCTGCAAGGAACATCATCTCCGCCTGCCGCCCACGACTATCTCCTCTCGACCAAAAGAAGATGCATAGCGGCGTAAGCCAGAATGATGAACACAACACCAAATACACCAAGATTGATGATGTCCATCCACATGGCCAGGTTATCGAAACCGAACGAGCTGAGAATGGCGGCACCAGGCACGGTAATATCGATACCAATCTTGTGGTCGATAAGAGTGAGCCCAGCGACCTCGTTCACGATCAGCGCCTCGAAGCCATAGTGGAAGATTGACAGCCACTGGAGCCAGAGAGCTGCTGGTGGAATTGCGTTGTGATTCAGCAGCAGACCGGCAAAAAGCAAGCTGAACAACATGACCAAGCTGCCAATCAGGTTCGCAACGCCATGGTCCTTGCAGACAATGCCGATGAACAGACAAATGCCTGCTGCAGCAAAGTTGAAAAGTACCAGGACCAGCATGAACACCAAAAACTTGGCTGGCTCGGCAACGAGGCCAGTCATTGGGTAGACAATCGCACCTAGCAGGATTGGTGGGATAATTCTGAGAGGGATGATGTCGAAAAGAACCTTGGCCGCAAAGTAGGTGATGGGTGAATAGTATCCATTTGCTCTCTCACGGACGAAGAGAAGCCGCTCCTGGGAGAACACGGACAAGCTGGTCAGGGTGCTGAAGCCGAACAGGGCGAGGACGAAGAAGAAAAGACCGAGTCTGTTTTGGAAGCCAGCAATATCCATCGTCAGGCCGTAGAACAGATAGCCAGCGAAAACGGCGAGGAGGATGGCGATGGCGTAGTGGGTCAACATCAACATGGGGTTCCGGTAGAGGTTTCTCCAGGTACGCTGGGACAAAAGAACAAACTGTCGCCAATATCCGATGCGAGTATATCCTCTGCCCATCGCACCAAGGTTGATGTTGGGTCCATCTGCCACATACCCATTGGCGTTTTGGCCGTTGCTGGCAGTCGCTGCCGCAACAGCCTGCTCGATTTGGTCATGCGTATTGCCAGCGATATCTGACTGGATATAAGAGTGAACGAGAATGTCCAGATCGGTTCCAGTGGTGGCGGGAGGAGGTAAATCATCAGGATCTTCCGCGATTGGGGTTGGTTGTTGGCCGGGTGCCTGGCGTTGAACCTTGTACGCTCCAATCTCGTACCCGGCGTCCGAAAAAGCAGCAGTATCAGCTGCTTGCTTGCGCCGAGTGTAGAGCTCCCGCTCCTGCCTCAACCTCACGGAATCCCGACGCGGGCCTCTGGGACGTGATGAGCCAGCCGTAACTGTACTCTCGTCACCAACACTGTTACCAGAGATACTAGCGATCGATTTGACAGCCCGGGTGCTGCTGGGGCCGATGCTACCACCATCAGTAGACAGGGCACCGTCGTCGTAGGAAGTGGTGGAGGAAGCATGCATCGTCAGGTCGACCAAATAGTCGGCGATGTTGAAACCGGGAGGGCAGCTGTAACCGATCTGATCGAAGTACTCCTGGCACAGGTGCAGGGGTCCAGAGTAGACGGTCTTGCCTTGAGCGAGCAGAATGAGGCGGTCAAACAGGGCAACGATGTTGGATCTAGGCTGGTGGATCGTGAAGATGACTGTCCGCTTGTACGTCTTTGCCAATGTGACCAAACATTCGATGACGTTGTAGGCGTTGTAAGCGTCAAGACCACTGGTAGGCTCATCGAGGAAGAGGATGGACGGGCTGGTGACCAACTCGCAGGCAATGCTGACACGGCGCTTCTCTCCGCCCGAAATACCCCGACCCTTGCCCTCCTCGGAACCGATCAACGAGTCTCGAATGTGGTGAATACCCAACTGCTTTTCGACCTCGACGACTCTCTGTTCCTTTGCGGCCCTTCCCATGTCCCTTGGCAGGCGAAGAAGTGCGCTGGTCATGATGGTCTCGTGAACCGTGAGAGTGGGTAACATGGTATCTTCCTGATCAACAAATCCCACAGCGTTCTTGTAGTCCACATCGCTGACCTTTTCACCATTGACATAAAAGTCACCAGAAACCTGGCCACGCTTGTTCTTGCGGGCCAAGATGTCCAAAAAGGTGGTCTTTCCAGCACCCGAAGCTCCCATGATCGCCGTGATCTCTCCGGGATGAGCCATACCCTGGATGCCCGAAAGAATATGCTTTCCGTTCAGGTTGTAGAACACGTTCTGGAAGTAAAGGGAGGCCGGCTTGTGGTCTGCCATGAGCTTGATGGCTTCGTCATCTGAATCGTCCAGATGGATAGGCCCATACTTGAACTGCCTTCTGGACAAGTACCATGTCAGGAGAATGACACCCACCAAGAAGAGTGCGCATCCTGCAATGACTCCAGCAATCAATGGCGTGTTGATCTTGGGGACCTGGGGGGCATAACCGGGGACTTCTGTGTGGTAGAGACATTCGCCGGCGCCGCAGCTGAGAAGAATGCTCGAGTCACCAAAAATATCGCTGATCAGGTTGTTCATCTCGGGCTCTTGGAAAGAGCACTTCTTGTCCTCGCCCGGTCGTTGCACACACTCGAACTTGGCAGGGCCCTTGATCAAGTTGACCAGGAAATCGCTGATGTCCACAGAGCCATTCTCGCCACAGAGCATACGGTCGGGGATACACTCGCACTTGATCTTTTCGCACTTGTAGGAAGTCGAATTCTTCGTTCCCGAGAGGTCATAGTCGGCGGTCGAATCGCATTCTTCGAGATGGCACATGAAAGACTCCTTCTGATCAACCCAAACTGTAAAAGTGTCAGCTCAAGCATTCAAAGTACGAGGTGCCACATCAGACTCACATTGGAAATCACACAGCTTCGTCTCCTTTTTGCAGCTGAAGGTGACCTGGGGGATCTGGGTGCCCAACAGGCTACGAATAGCCTTGTTGGTAACATCACACATCTGGAAGTTCTCCTTCACAATCTCACCGCCGGTATAACAAACACCACCATCACCAGTCTCAGTCATGGCGTCGCAGGCTCTATCGTTGGTGCACACATTGCAGTTGATGCCGGTCCATCCATCATCGCACTGGCAGGACTTGCCCTCCCGTTTCGGTCGATCAGGTCCTCTGGAGAGAGAGCCGCATACTGTGGAGCACATGGTGTGAGTACAGCCATTGCGTAAATAGTTGTGATACGAAGGGGCGCATACATGGTTCAAGACAATTGTCACCGCCAAAGCCATCAGGGCAATTGCATTTGCCGCTGTATTCGCTACAAGGAGCGAACTGACCGCACGAATGGGCTGGGAGGTTGCAGTTGAAGCTGTTCAAGAAGACAGGTCGTAAGCATTCTGGACATGATGAGAATGGGAAATCCATTTGAGACCGAAAACCTACCATGGTGGACAGTCTTTTGGACGTCCCTCCATCAGTGCTGCCTGGACTCGCAGCATGTCGATGGACGAGTAGTTGCTGGCGGCCGAGACAGCGCATGACAGCGATAGCAGCAAGGCTAGCGCCCGTGGTATTTTGGATGCCATGATGGCGGAGATAGGCCAGCTCGGGCCGTGATGAAGTAGAAACTCAGAGATTTGATGCCAACTGGGACTGTTGCAACAATGCGATGGAAGAAGCTTGCGAAGCTGTGGTGCGTGTTGAGATGGAAGCTGTTGAGATCGGCGGATGCTGAGCCGGCAGGCGACAAGGGCGTCAGACCAACCCCACGAAGACTCAACCACCTACCCTGGCAGAGCTTAGATCAACGCCAATGCAGAGCTTCCAGACTGGTGGGAAGCTAATGCTCTTTCACAGGTCGTCCCAGCAGGTACCTGTCATTAATGTCCAAAGAAGGCACTGGTGTTCATCAGTCAATAAAGCCCCATGTTGAACATGGCAGTGTTAAAAGAGGGAACTCTCCTGTGTGTCTGTCTGGCGCAATCGGCCTTCAGCCGTCCAACGCTCCCCAGGCGATGATGTCGCTGTGGAGAGGCACGGAGCATCCTGGAGCGGGCCTGGAGCGGTTCAATCGGAGCCGAGCCCTTCGATTGGCTGTACCGCTTTCAATGTGGATCTCATCTGCACTTCCCTGCCACGTCTTCCCAGGGGTGTCGCACAAGTGGGCGCTGCTGAAACGGTCAGCAGACTCAGGTGACAGTCACCCTAGGTACAGAGTTTATCGTTATCAGGAGCTATCAACTTCCAACAACTCCGCTTCCCCTCACATGTATGGGTCGATAGTAAACAGACTTGGGATTAATATCGATAGCAGGCATTGAATATCGGCTCCTATGGATCCTTCCTACCTTCGAACGGCAGGTGTTTAGGATCATGGAAACTTCCATGCCCATGAGGCTCTGAGAAGTGCACAAGGTACTCTGTAACTCCACTAGAGCATGTCATTGAAGGGCGCAGGTCTTCATGGAGATGGGAGAAGGCGCAGAGCGACAATTTGGAAAGTAACTATATAAGTCATCAACACTCACTCTTACCTTGACATCAAAGAGAATCACAAGAAACGCCAATCCACTCCCACCCGTCCAAAATGGTCAAGATTCAACCCTTCGAAGTCGAGCAATGGATGAACAGGCTTGAAAACACACCTGGTGTCTTGAACATCGCCGAAACATGTGCAGCTTCGGTATCCATCAAAGACCTTGTTCAGCTTTGCACTGATAAAGACCTCCCAAGTCCACTTTCCACCTCCAAGAAACTGACCTATGGTGCAATCACCGGCTCTAAAATGCTTCGACAGCGTGTTGCCTCACTTTTGGACCGTGGCCTGTCCTCCCCTCAGGCTGATACCACTTCGCCTCTGACATCGCCTCTTCCTGCCGAGAATATCATCATCACCCAAGGAGCCATCGCAGCCAACTTCCTGTTGTTCTACACCCTCGTTGGACCCGGTGACCATGTTGTCTGCGTCTACCCGACGTATCAACAGCTATACGCTGTGCCGGAAAGTCTTGGGGCTGAAGTGTCACACTGGGAGTTAACGAAGGAAAATCATTATGTACCTGACGTGAAGGACTTGGAATCGTTGGTAAAGGAGAACACCAAGGTGTGTGTTCCCGACCGCCTTGATACCAACCCGTGCTGACCCTGGCCAGATGATCGTCCTCAACAATCCCAACAATCCCATGGGTAGCACCACCCCCAAGTCTGTCCTTGAAGACATCATTTCTTTCGCAAAAGAAAGGGACATCATTGTCTTCGCCGACGAGGTCTACAACCCTCTCTACCACTCCCTACCCGACGGTCAGACCGCCCCTCCATCCATTCTCACCCTGGGGTACAAAAAGGCTGTTGCCACTGGCTCCATGTCCAAGGCCTTCTCTCTGGCTGGCATCCGAATAGGATGGGTAGCTTCCCGCGACGAGAGCATCATCGAAGCCGTGGCTCATGCTCGGGACTACACTACCATTAGCGTCTCGCAGCTTGACGATCAAGTCGCGAGCTATGCTCTATCGGAGCCAGTTCTCGGACCTCTATTGGAGAGGAACATGAACCTTGCCCGGACAAACCTCGAGATTCTGAGCAAGTTCGTCGAGAAGTATCACTCAGTGTGTTCGTGGGTGAAGCCTACGGCTGGGACAACCGCCCTGGTACAATTCAGCAAAGGAGGCCTGGTACCGGTTCATGACCCAAACTTTGTCTTGGATGTGTTGGACAAGACAAAGGTGCTGTTTATGCCAGCGAGTCCGTGCTTCGGGCTGGCAAGGGACTTTAAGGGTTTTGTGAGAATAGGGTATGTGTGTGAGACCGAGGTCTTGAAGGAGGCCCTGGAGGGGCTCGGTGGGTATTTGGAGAAGTTTTTGCTTGAATAGAGTAAGCCGAGCTGGCTCGAGTGAAGACACGGATGAATGGAAAGCGAGCTCATGGACTACCTAGAGTTGACTGGTATTTTGATTGGCGATGGATGTCTTGGTTATTTTAGAAAGAGCCCTTCAAGGTCCTTTTTGTGGAGGAAGGTGCCGAAATCCGGTGAGATGAACCACCGGTCTCATGAACCTTTGAGCGTGCTATGTTGTGTTTACGAGTCCACCAACCATATAGCATCTAGTTATGTCATGCCGCTAACAGGCATCCCTAAGGGGTAGCTAATAAGGGGCAGGATTCGGCAGGCATACTACAATGCAACAGCCAGGGTCCATTTATTGCAACTGAGGCTTTGAAAGCCGTAAGACTGTAGTTGAGAACACAAGATCGGCCTAACTATGAACCATCAGCCTTGTGCTAGTGTCATGTAAAAAGTTCCAACTCCACACGGAGCGAGTCTCGGTAAAGACCATGATGTTACCTTGTGCTGATGTTGATGCCAATAAGACGGCGTGACACCAAGGCCGAGGCCTCAACTGCAAGAGAAGCTTCATGATCTCGCGAGTATAAAATCTGTCGAGGGATGTTGGCTTGGAGACAGGTCCATCAAGCTCAGTCGCATCGCATCACAACCACTGACGGCACAACTCTCACAACCAACCCAAACCCAACTACTCAATCACGCAAAAATGAAGCTCTCTTCCATCCTCGCCGTCACCCTCGCAGTCGTCGCACCGGCTGCGGTGGATGCCGCCAATTGCAAGACCGGCTTGCACTATTGCGGATACGTCCTTCTTCGCAGAGGTATTGCCTTTCCCATCCTCTTGAGGTATCCAGATTCCCCAGGTTCAACGCTGACACTCTCCTACCTAGGCAACTACTACAACCAAATTATCGAAGCCCTCAAAAAGGCAGACAAGTCCACTTCCTCGGCCTATGTGAATCATTCTCTCTTTTATTGCACGGGTGGGAGCAATGGCAACATCAAATACCAGGCCAAGTGCAGCAGCTGTGTTGACGGTGGAGATGGGAAGAGTGATCACTGCTGAATAGGCTGAGGCTGTTTAGATTTTCATCGGGTCTGAGAGCAGTCAATCAGAAGGAGTACTTATAGCATCAGGTGTTTGGTCATTCATGTCTCCCGAGTCGTGTGCCTGAAGTTGAAGCTTGATGAAGAATGCCCCTGTCAGAGACATCATCCCTGAAAAGACCCCACATTCCCCAGACAAGCAACGTCATGGGGCGCTAAGGCCGCGTACCCCGCTGTTGCCAAGAGATCCATGGATTGCTTGATTCTTCACTGGGAAATGGGAGGGGCTCCCACCGCTGGAAAAAGCTCCGACCCCACTGAAGCCTGCTTTTCGGTGTAAGTGGAAGCATCCCGTCATCTTTATTTCGGACGCCAGGAACGGCTTTGTTTGCTTCGCTCTTGTTGCTTGATCATGGACTAGCTGATGTCAGTGACGACCTTCCCTCCCAGCATTTCCTGACTCCGAGGGGAGGCCTGACACGCTGAATAATGGAAGTTCGTTTTTCCGCTTTCCCTCCCGAGCCCGACCCCTGGTGACGAAGTCCTGTCACAGTCAACATAATCAAATGGCTGCGTGTCAACCTCGGTCACTCGCTCGCCTTTTTGCCCGTTTTCCTTGGAGCTCCCCCCTTTTTTCTTCTGGTCTGCTTCTAGTCACCTTTTCTGGAGCTGTATAACGCTGATCCGGCTGATCCGGCTCGTCGAACATTGCCCGAGACCGAGTTGGTGCTCCCTTCGATGTATTTTGGCCCGATTTAAGCTCTCTTGGTTTCGGCTCCAGGTGTCGCCGCGGGCTGTGTTGTGTCCCTGAGCCATTCGCAGTCAACCTCGATCGATACCCGCGCGCCTCGTTTGCGTCACCACCATTGCTTGTGTCTTTCCTGGGCGGCTCCCTCTTCTGGTCAACTGTTTTGGCGACTATTTCAGTACACGATTCCGATCATAGAGCCAGGGACATCTTTCTTACAACGAGTCAAGTATATCGCATAGCTAGGAGTCACGAACCGCAGTCATGAGAAGGGGGGCTGGCATCATCGCCGCGGGTGCATTGTTTGCTGCGACTACGTTGGCACAACGAAAGGATGGAGTAGTTCAATGGGGCATTCAGAGGCGACAACCGCCACCAGAAACCTACACCAGAGTACGGAAGCGCGCTTCGACTTTTGAGGAGATCATTACCAACGAGGAGGCCAGAGGAGGTTATTTCGCTACCTGCAGGTTAGGAACGCCGGGTCAAGACCTCACGCTCCAGCTGGACACAGGAAGCAGCGATATCTGGGTTCCGGATCCGACGGCAAAGGTCTGTTCCAAATCTGGGACTGAGGGTTGCGCATTGGGAACATGTACGCTCGGACTCCCTGACCTGACTTCTCGGTCATTATTTTGACCTTTTGAGCAGTTAATCCCGACCGCTCCAGCACATTCAAGGTTGTTGGACAGGGCGACTTTGACATCAACTATGTCGACGGCAGCTCTTCGAAGGGTGACTATTTCACCGATGTTTTCCAGATTGGCGGCGCAACATTACAGAACATGACTATGGGCCTTGGTGTCAACACAGACATCGCTTATGGACTGGTTGGTGTTGGCTATGCGTTGAATGAAGCCATCGTGGGGACCACGCAATCGACAGCTTCAGTTTACCCCAACCTCCCCGTCAACATGGTTAAAGAAAAACTGATTAACACTGTGGCGTACAGTTTATGGCTCAACGATCTAGGTGGGTTCAGATCGCAGCAGCTCGTCTACGTGCTCAGCTACTGACCGTAATAGACTCGAGCTCGGGCAACATCCTTTTTGGTGGAATTGACACCCAAAAGTACAAAGGGGATCTTACACGCATCAATATACTGCCGACGACTCAAGGGCTCTACACTTCTTTCGCTGTTGCCATGACTTCCCTGATAGCAGTCAGCCCTAGCGGCCAGGATACGCTCACGTCGAAGGCCTTTCCCATGCCTGTAGTTCTTGACTCCGGCACCACCCTCTCTTACTTGCCTACTGACCTTGCCCTGCAAGTATGGAAGGAGGTTGGGGCTTTATATTCGCCTGAATTTGAGCTTGCCGTTCTTCCATGCGATATGCAAAACAGCGAGGGGTATTTTTCGTTTGGATTCGGCGGCCCCAGTGGTCCACAAATAAATGTGTCGATGGATGAGCTAGTCCTCGATCTCACATCTGGCCGAGCACCGGTCTTCAACACTGGCCCATACAAGGGCATGGATGCCTGCGAATTCGGGATCCAGAACTTCAGCTCTGCTCCCTATCTCCTGGGCGACACGTTTCTCCGATCGGCGTACGTTGTCTACGATCTCGTCAACAATCAGGTTGGGCTTGCTGCCACCGACTTCAACTCAACCGAAAGCAACATTGTGCCCTTCCCTAGCTTGAGCGCCCACATCCCTTCGGCGACTATTGCTCCAGACCAGAGTCAAGCGACCATACGTCCGTCAGTCACCACACCGGCTTATGCGGCCAGTGCTGGTTTCACGGACAGTGCGGGTGTAAACGGGTCCGAGAATGCCGCGTGTGGTCTACCACCTGCTTTTGGAGCAGCACAGCTCTCGGTGGTGGGCTTATCGATGGTGTTTGCGATGCTTGGGTCTGGGATGTTCTTGTTGTAGGCAGCGCAACGACTATTACGTTTCGGGCCATGAGAAGAAGAACATATTTTACGATAACAATACCCTCAGAATCTAGGTTGGCTATCAGGATTGGGTGGTCTTTGTGTTGATTTATATACGCGGTAAAGCATGACTTTGCTGCTGGTGTTGGTTTTGTGATCAAGTACCTTGTTTGGATTGAGATAGAGGAGAGAGCAAGACAAAAAAGCAACAAGAATTTGCGTTAGGATTGTAGATGTAGATAGCTACCTGGAAATTCAGCTAGGATTGTCTCGAGTTGTTTTCTAATACAAAGAGCCTGGCCAGAGGTACCTAGGTGCATTTGAGAGGTGACTTTGGGGATGGCTTCCAGGCGTCAAGCTATGTTGGCCTATGAGGTGTAAGACCATGACCCTTTCCTCCTTGGTTGTTAAGTCGCACCTTCCAACAAGAACTGGCCCCCACAAGTTAGCTCACATTCCGTCTCTAGGGGAGCGGGTGTACGCGTCATTTTCACCTTTACATCCAGTAGTACCGACGGACCTAAGCATCCAACATCGACCTCAAACGTTTGCGGGCAGCAGCCCCTGACATGCTATTGGGGGCCAGGACAGCTGGTGGTGACCCCAAAAGCCAAACCAAATTCAGTCTCCAGCTGGTTAGCAAAATAGCGGGCATACAGGTTAGGATCGCTGTTAACAGTTGGGGGCTGGTGACCGTTCGCTAATCCCAGGCAAAATGTAGGACCAAGTTCAAATGCCGCTCAAATCTATCACAATACAACCGAAAGTTACATCGCCAGGGACGTTGGCCCCCAAGGTGGTACAAAAGTCAATTTATACCACCCGGCAATCCAGCCTGCGCCGCAGACCCTATATGATGGCGTCTAGAACATGGTGCCCTTTTGAAGCTGTAAAGTTCTTGGACTAACATGGAATGGAAGCCATACCTTGTCGAGGACGGAACGATGCCGTCGTTATTAAGTATAGTTTCTTCCCGGCATGCAATGAGCAAGATGTGCCCTCTCTTCGAGCGCTCAACCCTTCCACAGGATGAGAACCCTCCATCATGGCCGCCACCACAGAGAAATCAGCTCGAAGTCGGCGAAATACAGAAAATGATATCCCGGATTACAAACCCCTGCCGCTCCGATTTTCTTTTTTGGCTACAGTCGTTCTTGTCCTCTGTGGCCTCATCATTGCCTTGGAGAGGCTACTTCACTCGCTCCCACACGAAGGCAGCCGAACGGAGATACCCCAAGAATTTGGCTTCATACCTGATCCGAGAGATCCAAAGCCGGCATTTGATGTCCTGAATGCATTGTCACCTGAGGCTCGACAGAAGTTCTATGGGCTGCCGGTGGAAACCTCCCTTCAAGATGACCCTCCAAGCAGGACAAGAATGCCGGATGCGACAACGACGTCTTTTCCAGCTGAGTTCAACAAAAGAATGGCCCCAGATCCCCGCCCACATACCAGCTACTATGTGAACACCAACGTGATCACCACCTACGTTACTTGGGCCAATAGCTGGTACGGCCATCCAGATAACGTAATGGCCAGGACGGCGGTATTCCCAGGTGAAGAGAAGCCAAACGAATGCATGTATAACTACCAGGGCGTTATCATAACAACAAATAGCTCAGCGTGCCAGGTCATCATTGCACCTGATCCTTTGACCACTCCGCCACCGGGCTGGAAATCACCTCGTCAAGGTATTCCTGGTCTCTGGTTTTCCGATGAATGTGTCAAGCGCTACGACGATTGGTACAAATCTCAGTTAGTCACGATCCCTGCTCCTCCGCCAGGTCCAGCGATACCGTACCCAAATGCTTTTATGAAGCGATTCTTACGGTGCTCGTGGCATGGCGAGCCGCGTGAAGAGACAACCAGTACCCGGTACGATGTCGAAGAGCCATTACCAGAGACCTTTCTCAATTACTACGTTGAATGGGACGTTCAGAGGCAGATGGAACGCCTTATTGTCAGGCTTCGCTTCCCGGGACGGCTTTATCCTGGCGCGGGCCTGTACCTTTGGGGCGAACACAATATTGGCGAGCCATCAACAACTTCGAGTGTGACGCTATTGCCATCGCCTACTAGTACAAAGCAATCGACTTTTGAGTCTGTTGATACATCGACTTTACAGTCCGAACCATCCATGTCTCAGTCGAGTTCAACATCGGAAACAACTGCCACAGAAACAGTCACGAGTTCAAACATAGCAGTGCTCCCAGTAACAACCTCGGATTCAGAGTCGAAGACGGATGGCATGCCAGCTTCGGTCACCTCACCCATCTTCATCCATAGCTCAAAACAAACCTCACAGTCAGAACCAGCTTCGACTCTGGAGACGAAGATGGGCATTATACGGGACTCCAGCACGCTTCTGTCCTCATCTTGGAGCAGTCTAAAACCAACACAGCTCCAGTCAGCATCAACGGAGCACTTGGAAAATCCGAGTAAATCTACAGCTTCAATTTCGACGTCTACTTCATACCCCACAACACCATTCGATTTACGTTTGACCATGAGCGTACCGTCACCGGTCCCGAATCAACTAGAACCCTCTGTCAAATATGTCCTCGTACCCGTCAACGTGTACGTTGAGTCAACGACCCAGTTCACGACGTCTGGTCAGATGTGGATAAAAAGCATTGTCCATACGTCCACGAGCAGCATCCTCATCGGTGTCCCGGCGGTGATGGTGATTCCAGCAGTAACAACTTTGACAAACTCTAATGGCGTCCCAACAAGCACGCAAACCGACTTCCACGGCGAGCTCTATCTCATCAACACTCTCACGACCCTGACGAACGCTCGTGGCTCCCCGACGCTCACCGCAACAACGCAGGTCCCCGCCACCTCTGTCATCACAACACTCACGGATACCGATGGCGTCCCGACAGCAACAGCAACCAGCTTTCCGGTATGGCCCAACCTGCCCAACTCCACTGCCGCCAATCTCATGCTTCCGAATCGGGCGAGCTACTTTACGATTTACTTTTTGCCTATTTTGCTTACGATTTTCTTGCTCATCCCTGCTCAGGCAATTGACGCCGAGATCAAGCAGCTTCTTCCTTTTCGTCTTTTGACTAAACACAACCCTCCTGCTGGCGCAGGTGTAGATGCTTTGGTCATGCAACCTGGTCGTATAAGCGGCTGGAGGTTGCTATGGCGCTATGGCGATCCGATTTCCCTCATGAGCGATCTGGTTGTTTTATGCGTGGCAGGGCTGATCTCTGTGTCGGGAGAGACGGTGGGGCTGAAGCTACGGGGGAGCTGCCTGAGTGTGAATCTCAGTACTTGTTTTTTGACTGTGGCGGTTTTTCCTGTGCCGGCGAGGGTGGCGGAGGGTTTGCTGGGGGGGTTGATTGTGTTGGTGATGGTGTTGGGGTTTATGCTTGTCAGGTGGAGGACTGGGACTGCGGCGGATCCGAGCAGTGTGGCTGGGGTTTGCGCGTTGTTGCAGGTTGATAGGACCAGGGAGGTGTTGATGAGGGGGATGGAAAGAAGGGCAGAGGATGGATTGGATGATTCGGCAAAGGTGGATCAGTTGTTGAGGAGAAACTGTGAGGGGTTGAGCTTTCGGCTTGGGAGGTTGGGGAACTGGACTGGAAAGAGGGCGAATGATTATGGGATTGTTGTTTCGTCGGTTTCGGTAGGGGGTCACAAGAACGGGAAGACCAAGATGAGGTCTAACTGTGAGATTGATGGCAGTGATATGATTCTGCCGGTTGAGAGGGCTGGTTTGCGACAGATGAGGCGGGCCAGGAGTGGTTTGCCTGTGAAGAGAATGACGTTCCATGTGCCGGGGAGGGAAAGGACTTTCCAGGGAATGCTCTTGGCCTTCTTTTGCGGCTTACTGATTCTTATCCTTTACTACGAGCTCACCGAGTATGAGGACCTCCAGGAGTCGGCGTTTGAGTGGTTCATGGACAGCCAGGGGTTTGGCGTGAGGATGTTGTTTACCGGGCTTGGTGTGGTGCTTTCGTTTATGTGGGATCATTTGTTTACGAGTTGAGTCTCTCCCTGCCTGCTAACAACTTTCAAGAGCGAACGTTGCTGACGGCGTGGTACTTGCTAGCATTCTCAAAGAGGCGCATCTACCAACGTATGGCGCAGAAACAACAGCCAGCAGCGCTGTCGGTTCTTGAGCCCTGTCCCAAGACTGTCTTTACAGGACTGTGGAGAGCGGTTCGTCAGAAGGATTTGATGGCTGGGGCCGTTGCCTTTGCCGGGATACTGTCCAAGTTTGTACCGGCTTTACTGTCGAGCATTCCATTTTCTTCGGCTCAGACGTGGCAGACGCATGAGATATGTACTTGGACGACGGTTGCGCTGCTTATTGTTCTTATGTTGACTCTGGTCAGCTACATGTGGCTTGTCAAGTGGCCGCATATGCCAGCGGCGCCGGATTCGTTGGCGTGTCAGATTTACTATGTGTGTGATTCGGCGATGCTGAGGGATTTTGAGAGGTTGTCTATGTTGGGGAAGAGGGAGAGGGATCGGAGGGTAGAGAGGATGGGGAGGATGTATCGGTTTGGGTGGATGACTGGTGTTTCGGGGGAGAGGAGAGTTGGGGTTGATTATCCTGAGGGTGAGCAGGGCTATAGGATGCATGGGTTGGGGGGGTGCGGGTTTGGGACCACGGGGGGGAAGTGAATATCTAGACAACTGTGTGAGTCGTGAGCAGCGATAGTGATAGGCAGTTGAATAAAGCATGACATGACTTGTGCTTGGGGTGTGTAGATGCCTGAAGCAATCACCATCATGATAACTTCAGTCCCGAATCACACCATCTGTATGGCTCTTGTGTTGCGAGCGAGTTCCTAGCAGGCAACGGCATAAGAGACCTGCAAGGTACCTAGGGTCACCAGCCGATTGGAAACCATCAGAATACTACATCAACCTTCATTCCCTTTGGGCCCCTGTCCCGAGAGTCGGGAAGGACCAACGGCAGCTTTTGGACCCCGCCAGGTTACATGTAACCATGGATTCCTTCCCTCTAAGAGCTCTTGCCTCGACTATTGGTTACACAGCACACAACTTCTCTACTACCGCGCCAGTTACCTGCCGTTTGTCTCCGCTAGTTGGGAAGCCACGACTGCCTATCTTGTAGGAAAGTGGGGGAGGGGGGATTAAGAGAGTTGTTAGTTAGGGTCAGGTTTTGACAAAATCGGGTAGATTCGTGCAACTTTCTCTTGGCTCTAAGCAAGGACTGACTGAGATCAACCGACCCATCGCCAATGAATAACACCGAGATCCAATCCAACGCCGACATGGGTGGTCAATCCGAGGCGGTCGAACCGCTCCTGGGTACCCCGGAGGGTAAACAACGACAGCAGCAAGAAAAGATACATCAGGCCTCCACGCTCCTCCCTTTCAAGGCCCGTCTCTTCCTCCTTCTCGTTTCTCTCGTTGTTTGTATTTTCACCTTGCAAAACGCAATACACGACCTCGAAGCTCTCGGGAAGATCAGCAACATGCTTGCGTCCGTTGACGAGCTGCTCGCTCTTGTTTTGACACTTCTCTGGGTTCAGCAGAGTTGTGCTACGCCTTCTTGTTCAAACGGAGGAGGCAAAAAATTCCCTTCACTTCTCAACGCGGAGATTCCGGATTTGATCAAGGGGTTGGATTCGGGTCTATTTACTACGGTTGACTTGGTGAACGCTTACATCGCACGGATCAACGAGGTTAATTCGACACTCAAGGCGGTCACACAGATTAATCCCGATGCCTTGTCCATTGCGGCAGACCTGGACGCTGCTCGGGCGGCGGGCGACAAAAAGGGACCTCTTCACGGTATCCCGATTCTATTGAAGGATAGTATTGGGACTTTTGACAAGATGGAAAATACCGCCGGGTCATACGCCCTTGTTGGAGCAAAAGTGCCAGAGGACAGCACCGTGGTGGCCAAACTCCGGAAAGCAGGTGCGGTGATACTGGGGAAAGCCAACATGTCCCAGTGGGCCAACTTTAGAAGTTTCAACTCGAGCAATGGGTGGTCCTCGACCGGTGGGCAAACAGAAGGGGCTTATTTCCCAAAACAAGATCCCGTCGGTTCCTCCTCCGGCAGCGGTGTGGCCATTTCCATTGGTTTGGCAGCTGCCTCCCTGGGGACTGAAACCCATGGTTCAATCATCGCCCCGGCTCAGATGAACAACCTTGTTGGCATCAAGCCGACTGTAGGCCTGACCTCCCGCCACCTTGTCGTGCCTATCAGTGAACGCCAGGACACCATAGGGCCCATGGCCAGGACGGTCAAGGACGCCGCATACCTCCTCGCTGCCATAGCCGGAAAAGACTCAAAAGACAATTACACGAGTTCTATTCCCTTCGAAACGCTCCCTGATTACGTCTCCGCCTGCCAACTCGGCTCCTTGTCAGGTAAACGAATCGGCATCCCAAGAAATCTGATCCCAAGCCCTCTGCCGCAATCATTCCAATACATTGTCTCGAGTTTCAACACCGCCCTTGGCGTCCTGCGAGAAGCCAACGCAACGATAATCGACGACCTGTACTTGCCCGGTCAGGTCCTGATGAACCTCGGCCCATATCAAATGCACGTCGTAAACGCCGAATTCATCTCCGCACTCCCAAGATACTTTGCCTCGTTGACCAGCAATCCAGCCAATCTCACCGACCTTCAATCTCTGATAAACTGGACAAAATCTCACGGACACCTGGAGCACTATCCCGACCGAGATGTCGCTCGCTGGGAGGGTGTTTTGACCAATACCGGCCACGGAAACGACTCGCCTTACTTCTGGGGTAATTACTCTGCCCAGATCTATGCCGCTGGCTCGCAGGGAATTTTGGGAGCGCTCAAAAACCATTCGTTGGACGCCTTGGTTATCCCGACCTGGTGGTCCGCTACCATGCCGGCGATGCTGGGAACTCCAGTTGTGACGGTGCCGATGGGGAAACTGCCGAATGATGGAAGTGTGGTTGAGGAAAAGGACCAACGTGGAGATTTGGTGCGTTGGGCAGGGAATTTGCCCTTTGGTATCAGTTTTGTTGGTGAGGGTTTCAGCGAGGAGAAACTGATTGGGTTGGCGTATGATTTTGAGCAAAAGACGAAGGTGAGGGAGACGGTGAAGCCGTATGTCAAGCCCAAGACGGAGTTGAGAGATGTGGTTGCGGAAAGGGTGCAAAAACAAATTGCCAAAATCGCTGGGAAGTGGAGTAAAGATGCTGCCGATGGGGTGTTTTGAGCTGAATGATGCGGTGTCTGTATTGAGTTGAGAGACGCTTTTTGTAGCAGCCCTGAAAGAATTTTACCAGGCAAGAGCCTGATTTCCAGTCTTTGCTGCAGCAGGCTGGTTCCCTTGTCTGCTGTTCTCCTCTTCCTGATCGTACTCATGTCCCCTCTCAACACCCTCCTCATCTCTCAAAACATTCCAATCAAGTCCAAATCTCTCCCCTTCCCGCCTGACAATCGCATCCCACTTTTTGATCAGAGGGTGAGAAGCCGCCACATCCGGGAAGAGCACCTCCCCGCCGCTTTCCTCGTCACCAACGGGGTAGTTCCACGTCCCGTCCTCACAAAACCAGTCCTTGGCAAAAACACTTCTCACGTCAAGCTCTCGCCTGGCTTCGTTGAGAAGGACCTCTAACCGCCCCCACTCTGCGGTTTCCCATGGCTGAGGTGGAGAAGTGGAAATAGACTGCAGCCCAAAAGCAGCCACGAAGCCTTCGATGATGCCTAGGAGGATCCCGGCCCGAGAGCCGATGTTGGCTCCGAGGGTGAACCCCTCGTCGAAGCCGGCTTGGACGGAGGTGGATTTGGCGTGGGTGATGCCGTCGATGTAGCCGGTTTTGGAGTGGAGGGTTTTGAGGCGGTTGATGTCACGTTCTCTTTCTGAGGAGGATGAGACGGTGGTGGTGGAAGAGGGGATAAAGTCATTGTCTTCATCGTCGCCCCAGACGTCGTCGAACTGACCGTTTTCGGGCTCGGTGTCGTCTTGGTCTTGGTGTGGGCTGGGGGCTGGGTGAGAGGACATGCTGGGGAAGATGTCTTGGTTGTTGGCGGTTGATGCTCTTGTTTCGTCGGGGTGGAGGGAGGGATGGCGGAGGAGCATGGTAAGATTTTTGATGTTGGAGAGGATGAGTGAGATGGGTGGTTGATGAAAACGGGGATGGGATTGGGGGATTCAAGGTTGGGAAAAGGTTGGGAAAAAGTTGGAAAGGGGGAAAATTTTGAGTTCAAAGTGAATGTTGAAAGCGAGCCGGCTTGAAGGCAAACAAAAAAGCTAAAATAAATTGATGCAGGTGGAGGATGTATTTGTTACATGCATAACCCTAACCCTCTCACAAGTGAGTCAATTGCTTTGTAATTGAGTTGAGGCGGTTGGAATTTGGAGTGAAAGGTTCATCCGAGAATGCAAGAAAGAAATCTCGATGAAATGGTCTGGATGGGTGCCTAATGGATGAAATGTTGTGCTACGTCCTGCCTGTTCACATACCTTATGCAGGGTTGCAGGTTCAAGGTTGGCCAAGGGATTGGAGGTGGTCGACAGATGTGGTGTGTTTGATATCCATATGTGTATTCGCTGGGAAAAAAACAATATTGTAACGCTATTTGCAGAAAATCATAGAATGACGCATTTGGATGGCAATCCGCATGGTCCTCCTTCCTCCTCCTTATCCTCCTCCTTGTGCTCTGGCACTGGCTCGGCCCTCGTTTGCCTTTCCCCAGCTGCAGGGGCACTGGCAGCTGCTGGAGCTGGAGTCTCAACGACAGCCGGTGCAGGAACTGACTCTCCCCCCGATGAACCCCCTTTCACCACCTATTAGCCACATGCCGTCCCACTTCTCCCACACAAACACTCACGATGGTGATTTCACGCACTGAAAGCCTTGGCGACCGTCTTGTAAAACTCCTCGCCCTGGATGGTGGCCAGCTCTTTCTCCACATCACTAGGCTGGCGAGAACCGTCACCACCAGCGAAAGTACCCGCTCCCCAGGCACTACCACCGCGGACCGCATCCAGGTTGGTCAAGATGCCGAAGGCCTTGGCGTATCCGAGGGGCACGTAGATGATGCCGTGGTGGGCGAAGGTGCTCATGGCGGCGAGAGCAGTGGACTCCTGGCCACCTCCCTGAGAGGCAGTGGAGATGAAGACACCGGCGTACTTGCCCCAGAAACCACCGGAGCTCCATTGCTTGCCGGTCTTGTCCCAGAAAGCCTTCCATTGAGCGGGGAAGTTGCCGTATCTTGTTGGGATGCCGATGAGGAAGGCGTCATATTGCTCGAGCACGCTTGGGTCTTCGAGGACGGGGACATCTGTGGCCTTAGGAGGAGCGTACATCTTGGCGAGGACCTCGTCAGAAAGAGTCTCGGGGACCCTAGGTGTTTCACTGTTAGCATGTCTCATGATCTGAAGGGCAGACAACTTACTGGTAGAGATCGGCAGTGCCGCCAGCCTTCTCGATACCGGCTTTCTCAGCCTCAGCCAACTGCTTGATGTGGCCGTACATCGAGTAGTAAACAATTGCGATCTTGGGAGCCATGTTGACTGGTTATGTGGGTATATATATGACGCTAATGGGTATCAAGTGGTGCTTGGAAAGATCAAGGCGTGGGTATCAACTGGATGTTGGGAATGATAACAAGCTGGATAGGCAAAGAAGAGGGAGGAAGTCAAGTCTATATATACATACTTGTCAAAATGACAGCGGGAAGGGATGGGGTACTGACCAGGGAAGATCCCGCGTCAAAGAAGGTCTCAGGTTAGACCCCCGTGTTGCGGGTACCTCATCTGCATTTGTCGGCATTCGTCATGATCGGATAATCAACCCTGGATCAACGATTGCTGGCGACCGACGGAGGGGTTCGATGTCTAGTAACGCAACGCCCAAGAGGCGTCGGTGTAGCACCGAAATTGGTCCGGCTCCCCCTCCCGACGGGCCTGTCAACACGTTCGAAATGCTTCCAAAACCGATATCGCGAATGCCATGCTTAGCATTGTCCGCATCCGGTCTCTGCACAAGTTATTGATCCATTACCAAATATAGGATACTCAACGTCTAGGACACCCTGGAGTGCAAAATAGTGGTATCCCACACGCCCGTAGCTGATGTTCAGCTAGCTGTGTTGGTCGCCCAGGCCTTGCCCCTCTCAAAACTGCCCCTCAACACCAGGACTGCCCCACTCTAGATTGACCTTAGCATTGCTGAATAAGGGCTGACGGAAGTGCTGTAAGACATTATTCACGGCCCTCGCCCTCGCGTTTTGGCTGCAGATTGCCCTCTGACAAATCGGGTTGCTTCAATCGCTGGGTTTCCGAGACAAAGCAGCCTTGTAAATACTAAACCCCGATGACAGTTGTCAGTTGAACCACCAGCCACCAGAACATCGTATCCGCATCGACGTAACGTTTCTGAAGGAACAATGATGGAACTTTTTTTTTCGCAGGGGATCACATGCAGCCAAACGGGTCGAGGACACTCTGGGATCCGTGCACGCTGCAAGTTGCGGAGTTGAACCGTGCTTAAGCTCCCTGTCCGTGATGCTTGGCACGCAAGAGCTCTCCATCCATGGAACACCACGAACATATCACGAAACGTCTTTCTGGTAGCTCTTTACTCTTCTCGGTTATGATTGCCCATTCCAGACTGGAGTACTTTGGTTTCATGTGCTTGGCATCAAACACGTTTCAGTCGAGCATATCTACTACTGTGTCAGCGCGACTCAGACTTCCCTGGGCACACTTCTTCCCGGCAGTTGCGGATGTCTTGATATCAGAGATGATGCGGTAGTTTGGGCCAAGGTACTATTTATTTTCTTTATATCATGCATCATCCGTAAGTTGCATATACCTAATGTAAACTGACTATTCTAGCCTCTCGTGTGGTCATGGACAAACCCAAACATCACGCACATGTCGTCTCTCCCAATGCATATAGTAGCAGGTATGAATTGATGAGATGCCCCTATGACCACTTCCTACCACCCTCCTTTCTTTCTATACTGCAAAAACCTCGCTGTCGAGTAGAGAAACGTCGCAATCAAAAGCCCACAGGCAGCATACAGGACCGTCGGCACCCATCTGGCATTGGCACTCTCACCACCCAAGACCGCACCCGCAATGGGCGTCCCAATCAGAACCGCAGTTCCAGAGACAATGAACCCAAAACCCATTCTGGTTCCAACTCTCGAAAGATCAGGAGATAGCTCGACGACAACACTAGGTGTCAAGCTGACCACGCCGCCCGAGAAGGCACCATACAGCAGTACAAAAACCACTGATCCAGCGAGATTCTTAACTCCCAGCCAGCCGAAGACGAGAATCGCACTCCCCGACATGCAAACGAGCATGAGGTTCAGGCACCCAAACCGATCCGCCAGCGCGTTGGGGATAATTCTGCCAAAAATCGACCCGGCATTCACCAACGTAACCAGATACGGCGCAAAGGACTCGGTAACCGACGCCTGCGATGTGCCATACAGCGTGATGTAAAAGAACGGGACATAGAGCGTCAAGAAGGCAAAGAAACCGCCAGCGGTGAAGCTCAAATATGGACCATCCTTGAAAAGGCTCTTGTCGACCAGCGACTTCTTCCCCTTGTGAGGTGGCACCCTGGTCTTCATGAACGCAACTGGTATGACCGACATTCCCAGCAGGATGAAGGCGATCACCCTCGTCGCCCAGCCGAAACCCAGGCTCTTCTCCAACTTTGAAAAGATGATCGGAAAAACCGTCCCGGCAACTGGCGACCCTGCCGAGGCGATGCCCAAGGCTAACGCCCGATGGCGGGCAAAGTACTGACTGAGGATCGCAGCTGAAGGTAGGAAAGTCATTCCCATGCCGCTCCCCATGCAAAACCCTTGCGCGAGAAGGACTTGCCAGTACTCGGTACATAACGAGGTCATGAACTGGCCGAAGACGATGAGGAACATGCCGGTGATGAGGAGGTGGCGGAAGTAGCCGGCGTCATAGAGAGGACCGGCGAACACGCCGACCAAGAAGAGGAGGGCGGCTTGGGTAGAGCCGATCCATGAGATTGAGGAGGGTGGATGGGAGGATAGGAGGGTTGTTTCGTAGTAGGCCTCTGTGCAACGGGTTAGATTTCGCAAAGGGGAATGGGATGGAACAAGACGTACGGAAGACCCCGAAGGTGTTGATAAGACCCCAGGTGTTGACGAGGATAGCGGTCGAGCCTAGGACTTGGAGCCAAGCTGTGAGACCTCCATCTGGGACCACATCTGGTGGTGGGTCAACATTCGAGGCAGGATCTGTTTCTGTGTTGTGGCTGGGCTTGAAGCCGGCGATGTTCTGGTCGTTTGGGATTGAGATTTCGCCGTCTGTTCTGTCCGAGTCGGAGGCGGATGTGGAATCTTTCTCCTTCATGGTCTGTGTTCGTAGACCTCTTTTCTGACTTTGTTTCTTTCCAGTCCAACAGGCTCTTTCAGCTGTCGTTGGAAAGGATAACGGTGTTTTGTTCCAAAGAAAAAGTGACTTCGGTTGGTGGCGGTGGGGATATATCGTCCGGATAAGTATAAGCTGAGGTCTCTGGTCTGAGCATCCACTTTCAAATCGTCGGGGGGACGAGGTCTAGAGTAACATCAAATCATGAGGCCATCGACGGCATTAGGTAGGGACAACTTCGTATCTTTTCATTCACCTTTTAGAGCATTTGAAAGAAGGGATACGCAAGTGGCGGCGGGGCCGTGATCAGTATTCATAGGAGGAAGGTACCTAGGTAAGGTTCGGGAATCATCGTCCACATCCCGTGTCGAGCGGATATAACCAGGACTTAATTTTCTTTGGGACAAGCCATCAAAAAGGAAAAAAGAAGAATTCGCTTGTTCCAATAAATTGATCAATGAACCACATGGGAATTCGCAAACCGGCGCCGAATCCCACCCCGCCTTTTCTTTGTGTCTTGTCTGGGGTAGGAAGTGGACTCAACTGGTTTAGTCTAGTTTGTTAGTTGGATGGTGTGTGGTATCATGCCCCTTCTCCGCCGCAGGTGAGAAAGCTTCCGGTACCTGCTATATTTTCTTGGAGACGTCAAGTAAAAGCTTAGCACTGTTGTTGGGGATTTACCAATCTTTCGTCTTATAACACCGAGGGAGCACGAGAGAGGTGATTATTTATCAAGCTCGCAGTGCCATGTCAACTCTCTCAACCTGTCTTCTTGTTTTTCATCGTTTTTTTATCACCGTCAAGACGATGGATACCTGCCGAGAGATTCCAGGCCAGATCACCGCTATCTCAGCTCCACCAAGAAACCTAGGGTTGTGCCGAGGAGGATTTTGGAATTACTCAACACCAACGCCAAAACGCAGGCACATAACGTAAGAGAAAACAGAGCAATTACCAAGCAAATACTTGTTTAATTCTCAAGCAGGGCTGCTTGTACCGCTTGGAAAAGTAATCTTCCCTTCTTTCTGCACAGTAGAGGAGGGGTACGGGGGCGAGGCGGACGATTGATGTTGAATGATGTCGTTCAAAACGGCAGAATGGTGTGAGACAAGCACGGGATTTGGGCCATGTGGTGCGAAAAGCCACCCCCGCAAAAAAAGCACGGCGCCGCTGCCCTTGTCCTCCTCACGGGTCGGAACGGGGGTTGCGGATTCCGGGTGACCTAACCGATGCGGTGGTGTGTGTGTGTGAGTGTGGCCGATGGCCGGCCCGATGGTGATAGGTCATATCATCATGGGGCAAAGATAAGTCTTGTCGATGATGATGTCAAATATGCCGGCCGGTTCCGAGGATGTTCTGCATTTTCTCTGCTGGGTTTACTTCCTAGTTACACCACTGACAACCTGGAAGCAGGTAGAGGAACTGGACTGGCCCGGCGATGGGCAGCAGGGTGCCTTCTGCTGACAAGGCTGTCAATGGGCCATGAGAAGGTGTAACGAACGCTGTGCTTGACCAAAAAGCTATATACGCCTAACCCAACAGCAAGAAACGAACCAATTGCCGAACACCTTGTATCCAAACTAATTAACCCCACGCCTAGCCCAGAAACACTCCTCTCTCCAACACATCACCAAGCCTCAACCAAACTTCTTCTCAAACTTCTTCAACATTCCCGACACCCCCCTCTCCAACCTCCCCGCATTCTCCTCCAGCTTCCCCCTCACCTCCTTCTTCGGTCTATACTCCTCCTCCGGCACATAAAACTGCTGATGCACAGCATACTCATTCTGCTGCGGCAGCCCCGCCTGCGCCGTCTGCGGCCCTTGGACCCCAACGCCGGGTGAAGCCCCGATCCCACCCACGGCAGGTGGTGTAGGTGTCTGAGACACGGCCGCCACAGCAGCGGGGTTATACACCTGCGGCTGACCCGGGAATGTCCCAACGCCTCCGTAAGGACTCACCAGCCCTGGACTGGAGAGGGGAGTACCAACTGCCGGCATGGTTACTGAGCGGGTGATGCCTGGATGAGGAGGCGCACCTACACCACCGAGGGAGCCGAAGCCTTGGGGGGCGAAGCCGGGTGATGCCACGGGGGGACCGGGGAATGTTGGCGCTCCGGGGGGGTGTTGGAGGTTGGGAGGTGGGATGCCCGGGCTCAACGGGCTGAGATGGCTTGGTCCGGGTGGAAGGCCAGGGGAGAAAGGAGTGGCGGCGTCATAGGCGAGGGTTTGATGGAGTGGGTTGGCGACGCCGTCTTCAGGAGGGGGAGTCTTTTCCCTGTGGCGGAGCTGCTCTGGAGCTGCGGGCGCGGCGGGGTTGTAAGGGATAGGTGAGAAGGCTGCTGGGGGAGGAGGGGGAGGAGGGAGGTCGCCATCTACTGCGGACACCGGAGGGCCAGGGAAAGACGGGACGCCGGGGTTGGCTTGCTGGGCTGGGGAGGAGTCGGAGATGGCAACTTTCTCGAGCTTTTGAACAAGGGAGCTAGCTTCGGTGGGTTGACGGGGTGGAGGCCCGGGTTCATCGAGGACTTCGCATTGGGTATGGGGAAGGACGCGGCGGATGCCGTTGACGAACTCGAGGGCGTCTTGGTGAGTCCAGAAGTAGAGGTCAAGGGAGTGAAGTTTGTAGTGATATTTGGCTTGGTTGTGGGGGTCATAGGTTGGAAGGTGCCATTCTTCTTGGTTATTGACTTGGCCGACGATGAGGGTTACGAGGCAAGTGTGCTTGTATGTGTATTGGAGGTGGACATTGTCGAGGTCTGGCAACATGCTTGGTTAGCAAGTGCCATCATTGCTTGTGCGACAAAGCCAAGGTATCTTACAGCCATCAAATGCGTCTTGATCCTCTGTGCCTGGCTGGTTCGCAATCTCTAAACGGGCGCGTCCCTGATTGGGGTCCTCGAAGAGGTAGACATAGGACCCCTTATCGAATCGATGATGAGGCGGGTTATTTGTTGGTGGCCCGTAAAAGTAATGAACGTCGCCAAAGCTTCACATGCTCCAAGTTAGGACATATAACCTCACAATAATGCGTAGAGGCACAAAGAAAGCAAGCATACTTACAGCGTGGCTACAAGTTCTTCTCCCGGCCGGGCGGCCATCGTTGCGACGCGCGATGCGATCGACAGGATGAGGGGAAGTTGGTGGTGATGAGGGGTGAGAAACACAAAGAGAACAGCGGCGCAACACAACTCTAGTTCCACCCAGAACTAGGGAAAAGACAGGAGATAGTTCAGTCAAGCTGGCAGGAGACAGAGAAAAGGAAAAAAAAGTAGCCAGAAAAAAGATCACGGTGGTATTCCTATGAGACAAGCCCATCAGCTCCCCCCTGTGCGACACTCGAGCTGGAACCATGACCCAGAGAGCTTAGGCGTCCCTTGGGCAGGCCCACGCGCACATTAGCGAGCAATTGAAAGCCCATCACTCCCGTCCCGTCAACAAATCACCTCTTTTTTACAGCGTGATGATCCTACCCCTGGACATGCCGTCAGGACAGCTCGGGTGGTTGTGATGCTGTGAATGAGTGGGTGCCCCTCCCACCTGGGCGCTTAAACAGATACTGCCAAGCCTTCATAGCGGGGTAGGTACCGGTGGTCAGAGCTCTGTCCAATTGTCAATTGCAACCCCTGCCCAACACAGTGCGATCTCTCCCATCGCCCGCACCGTGCCCGTCCCGGAGACTGGCCAAAAATTTGGAACCGCGACAACGGAAAGAGCCGATTTGAGTTAATCGACTCGAACAGACACCTCACCGGCGACAGCTCCAGCGACGACACCCCTCCACGTCCTCCACGCCCACCACTTTTCACCCTCTCTTTCTGGTACGAATCCCCCGGCTCAAACCGTCCTCTCAAGTCCCCACTAACCCCCCCAAAAGCCAACAACCAAATCACCCCCCTCCCCAACCCGGGGCCCAGCACCCACCCAATTCCATATCAAACCCTCCCCCCGAGGTTCATCAACATCCAAAATGGGCATCCACTCCATCTGCAACGCCCTCTCCCACCTCCAAAACGCCTCCCGCGCCAAGCTAGGCCTCACCTCGATCCCCAACACAAAGTACAACCTCCGCTTCGCCCTCGCCCTCCACCGCGCGGGCTTCATCTCCTCCGTCACCCGCGCCGGCCTCACCCCCCCTCCCCCCGAAGCCCTTCTGACCTTCGAAACCGAACCCGTCACCTCGGCCAACGTCTCCACCCGTCGTCTGTGGCTGGGGCTCAAGTACTTCAACAACAAGCCCGTCATGTCCAACCTCCAGGCCGTGTCCAAGCCAAAGAGGCCGGTGACTGCGGATTACAAGGAGCTGTCCAAGATTGCGAGGGGGTTCCAGGCGGGGCATATCAAGGGGCTCAACCTGGGGGAGACGTTGTTTTTGTGCACGGATAAGGGGGTGTTGGAGGTGAGGGAGGCGTTGGAGAAGAGGGTGGGGGGTCTGGTTCTGGCGAGGGTTTCGTAGGGTGGATGAGGGAGAAATCAAGAAATTAAAAAAAACAAGAAGAAAAAAAATAGAAGGGGGCGTTGATGGTGGTGGAATGTGGAAGGAAGGATGTAAAGGATATCATACCCAACGATGAGAGTGTACGAGATAGTGGGGAGAAGACGAAAGACATGTACATCAAAGTTAAATACACCAAGATCAAAGACACATGAGCAGACTGTAACTGAAGCAGATTTCAGAGGCAACCCTTAGCAACAAGGCTACCAGTTGATTCAGCTTCCATATATGGCCTCGGAAAGGAATTGTACAATGAATACTGTTATTCATACTAATCTAACATGCTTTGTGTGCCTGACTGTGTGTGTGCGCGAGCGTGCCTGCCAGCCTCTGTCTCTTTTGTATGCATCTTGCGTGCGGTGTCCTATGCAATAAAGTGCTGTTTGCCCTCCCCCCCGAAACACCAAACCACACACATATACCGAAAACCCTATTCTATATAGACAAACTCCTCCCCCCTTCCTTAATGTTTCTCCCCCCATTTCCCTACCATTCTCCTTTCCCTTTCCCTGCTGTGCTTATCAAAAACAAACAACTCCCGAATATGAGGCAAGTACCAACAACGGAAAGCCAATAAAAACATAAACCCAACAATGAGAATCCACAGGCTCTCTCCCTCTCTCCCAATTAACAAGGCAAAGCACTTTCCTCCTCTTTTCACCTCTCACCCCCTCACCCCCCCCCCACCCCCCCACACACACACACAAAAAGGTATCATACGAAAAAGCTGGGAGTTTTTTTGTTCGCGTTCCCTCCAACCAATACAAACAAATAGGTGTCATTAGCAGCGCTTAAAAGAGCAATGCAAAACCGACAAGCCAAAATCCCTCTTTGGGGGTGTTAAAAGGTAACAAAGTGCGGTACCATGGGCCGCGGTCAAGAAGAATACAAAGAATTAAACAAGGTGTCGAGTCCGTCGCGACAGGTAATTAGGCGGCGATAGCGGAGATTTCGGAATGGCTCTCCTTGTTGTCGATGACGGAAGCCTCGGTTTCTTCTGTGGCAGAAGGAGAGGGGGAAGAGGTATTGTCGTTGCTATGTCCGCTCACTTCGGCCTTGGAATCGGCAGACCCGACGCTCATGCGCTCCATGCTGTTTGTCACAGCCTTGACCCCAGGGGAAGTCTCTGGCAGAGTGATCTCACCCTCAACCTCCTTGGCGGCTTCCACGGCCTCCTCGGCGGTCTCAGCCTGCTCCGCAAGGACTGCTACCTCCTGAACCGCCGTCTTCTCAGCCACGGCATCGAGAGCGGCGTGCTTAGCGTCGTCCTCGGCAGACTTTGAAGCGGGAACAATCTCGGCGGCTGGAGCCAGGCTGGTCTGCGATGCTGAAGGTGCGCTATGTCCTGACGTGGCACTATGTGGTCGTGAGACAGCCTTCTTAACGCGGGGCTTAGACGCTGGGGATGTTCTCCGGGAGGCTGGCCCATGTCTGGGTGGAGAAATGGGCACCTTTTGTGTGACCTTGTTGGCAGAGGCTTGGGTAGGCCGCATCATACGCGCGAGGAAACTCTCGTCAACCGGCTTCTCCTTCTTAGGAGCATGGTCCTTGGCTGGCTGAGGCGGAGGGGGTCCTATGCTCGGCCGGGAGCGGCCAACGGTCGAACTCTGTCGTTTGAGCGTTTTACCCGGCGCGGCTTTGCTAGTGGTGCCCGACATGCTTGTTCTGCTGGCGGAGCGTGCGAGGGAACTGGCGTGTTGTGCGCTGTCGCCGTGGACCTTGGAACCGGAGGCAGCCGTATGCGTTGTGAGGCCTGGAGGAAGCTTTACTGGTCTTGTTGGTGACTTGACCTTTGGCTTGACAAACCCTGTGGCTGCGGGGGATGCATGGAGCGGAGGTGGCTTCTTCACCGAGGAAGGAGCAGAGGCCTTTGCGGCGGGAGTGGCTGCTTTTGGTGTCATTGTCTTTTCGGTGTGGGACACTTTCCTTTCGGGCGTCTGTTTAGGCGCAGCCAAATTCGGCTGAGGTCTCAGAGCTGGGCTCTTCGGGGGCTTGGTGGTGACTGGCGATTTCGCAGACTTTACATCGAGCTTTCCTGTCGAAGAAGTTGTCATCGGCTTCACTGTCGACTGTGGTGTGATGGTGGTGGTGGTGGGTTTCGTGGCTTCCTTGGTGGCAGTTGTCTCCTTCTTCTCCTCATTCGCACCGCTTGTCTCGTTTACTGGCTCTTTGGTCTCCGGCTTTGGTGCTGGTGTGACTGTCTTCTCCGCAGTGCCATCCAGGGCTGGCTCTGGGGTCTTCACTTCCTCCTTCTTCACAATAGGTGCGGTCGGTGTTTGTGCGACATTCACTTCCTTGACCGGCGATGTCGCCGTCTTCTCTTCTGCCTTCGCCTGTGGTGATTCCACAATTGGTTGGTCTCTAAGGAAAGTTTTTGGCGTGCTCGTGAGCCTCTCAAATTTCTCGAACGGATTCGAGATTTCCTTTCCAGCAGTCGGCGTCGTCATTTCGCTAGATCCACCGCTGAGCTTTCGAATCCCGGGCACTGAATCCTGGCTGCCTTCTCGTGTCAAGCCCATCCTACCGTCTTTTTCGATTGCGATGAAGCTCGTTCGGACTTTGGCCAGCGGACGTGGGGACTCGGCGCCGGAAACTGTAACAATGACGACAGAATTAGCCATGTTTACCTCGTAGCCAGCTGCCACACGGAATGCGCATAGGCACCCGAATGCGCCGGCAGGTGTTGCGCGCAAAGGAACAGCACAAGATGATCCTTACCAAAAGGCACACCAGGCGAACGACCCCGGTCTGGAGGACTGTTTTCCCCCTTTTGCTCAAACATGGCGCGAAGGTTCTTGACGGCACTCATGATGGCGGATGTGGCAGTAGCTGCCCGTTTGGGTTTTCAATTCAAATATGTGGAGGGCCCCGAAGGCGATGACTAAAGCGCAAAGAGATCTTGACTGAGTCGTGTGAGGTTTCGTCACGCGGGGTGGTGTTGAAGTCGACTTTGGAGGGCAGCACCCGGCGCGCCGGGCTTTGCGAAAGAGACGCGCTTTGAGCTCCCCCGCGCCAAGTGACCCGAGGGATGGTCAAGAGAGCCCGTGTCGCTCGATTAAACAGCTGATGTGAGGAAGCCGGGAAATACAACAACAGACTAGGTGGGATATGGCGGCGTCGCAACGGGCAATGGTGTGGGAGCAATGTACGGGTGGTCGGAGGTTGCGTGTCGCGAACAGGATGCGAAAAAGATGCAGATAAAGTATCAACGGACCGTGGTGGCACCAAAAATGTGAAGGTGTCTTCATAAAATTAAGAGAACAATTTGGGGAAGGGTTGGTTCAGGGGAGCTTTGCCAAGCGGTTCGGTGGGACACACACTGCCCCTAATGCCTCGCAGCACTTTTCGTCCAGACAAATCAATCTGTTTGGCGCACCGAAAGCCCCGAGGGATTTTCTGTTGATAATCCTGAGACCCCGACAGCCAAAGCCTCTTGTTGTCTTTATCTTGGTGTGATCTTGGCCAAAGCGCCGTTGAGGTGGGTGCACAACGGTTGGCCCAAAGCTGGAACAGCTCCAGCAGAGAGGTGGGTTTCAGGGGCTGTGCTCCAGGTCGTCCACCACCGTCCACCACTCGCGATGCTCTAATAAATATCCTCCTACATACATTGCCACACGCCGTCAGCCTTTTTCGTTGGAAAAGCGCCGCTTGCCTCTCTGTCTAACACACACAACCTGTCAGAGCCGGTCTTGCTACCACCGTGGGCATCAGAACGCAGCTTTCCCCGGACCAGCCGTCTTTGGCGCCAGGATACCCTTTCGAGAAGGCCATCCCGCCTTCTTCTGACTTGTGTTTCAGATGTCCGTCATGCATTGCGTCTGGCGGCATCATCATATAAAGCGCAGATGCTTGTGCTCCGTCCGATGTAGAAGACATATACGGCATAGCGGTAGGAATAATCCCGATATTCCGCTTGAGGCCACCTTCCTTTCCAGCCCTACAGCTCCGGGTTGTTGATAAGAGGGTACGGGATATGATATTGAACTTCAAGGAGCACCCTGCCAGCAAGCAGGCAAGCATGGAGAACGTTTCAACAGGCCATCTGGAAAACGGCCAGGCCCAACGCAAACCGAGTTGGAGCTCCAACCCCACATTCTGGATCGCATTCATTTACACCCGAACGGGAAATAGCCAAGCAAATGATTTGAGCTTCTCGGGAACCAACCGCGGGGCAACATCAAGATCCACGGTTTCTAGCTCCGATCCCGGCTGCCGAAAGAACGCAATCCGAGCCTTTTCAGCCCGCGGCCAATAATTTCGCCCGTGGCTTGCCCGTTAAACAAACCTCCCAAACCAAAAGAAAAAAAAAAGGTCAATTGACGCGCAAACATGGCTGCCAGAAGAGCTTTGACTATCGGTATGTTCTTGCGGGAACCCATGATTGCTTCTTTCACCACAATAAACTTGCTTTTTCTAACACTGGCTGCGATTACAAGGCCTCATCCCCGGTGATGGCATCGGCAAGGAGGTCATCCCCGCTGGTCGCCGTGTCCTCGAGGCCCTCCCTGCCTCTCTGGGTCTGAAGTTCGACTTTGTCGACCTCAACGCCGGCTGGGAGACCTTTGAGAAGACCGGCGTTGCTCTGCCCGAAGAGACCGTCCAGACTCTCCAGAGCTGCAATGGCGGTCTTTTCGGTGCTGTTAGCTCCCCCACCACCGCCGTCAAGGGGTACTCCTCCCCCATTGTCGCCCTCCGCAAAAGACTGGCCCTCTACGCCAACGTCCGCCCCGTCAAGACGGTCGCTACCGCCAAGAAGCCCATCGACATGGTCATCGTCCGTGAGAACACCGAGGACCTCTACGTCAAGGAGGAGAAGACCTACGACACCCCCGAGGGCAAGGTCGCCGAGGCGATCAAGCGCATCTCCGAGAAGGCCAGCACCAACATCGCCGCCATGGCCGGTGAGATTGCCCTGCGCCGGCAAAAGATCCGGGCGAGCGGAGCCCCCAGCATCCACAAGGGCCCTCTCGTGACGGTGACTCACAAGTCCAACGTCTTGTCACAGACCGACGGCCTCTTCCGCACCGCCTCCAAGGCTGCCCTTGCCGACCCCAAGTTCAGCTCTGTCAAGGTTGAGGAGCAGATTGTTGACTCGATGGTCTACAAGCTCTTCCGCCAGCCTGAGGCGTATGATGTCATTGTTGCTCCTAACCTCTATGGCGACATCTTGTCTGATGGTGCCGCTGCTCTTGTTGGCTCGCTTGGTCTCGTTCCCAGCGCCAACGTTGGCAAGACTTTTGCTCTTGGTGAGCCTTGCCACGGCAGCGCGCCTGATATCCAGGGCCAGGGGATCTCCAACCCTATTGCTACTATCCGTAGCGCTGCGCTCATGCTGGAGTTCCTTGATGAGGAGGAGGCTGCTGCCAAGATCTACGCTGCTGTGGATGCTAACTTGGAGGAGGGCAAGTACGTCAGCCCCGACTTGGGCGGCACTGCCAAGACTGAGGAGGTCTTGCAGGATATCCTTAGACGTCTTTAAGTGATGATGGGTTTGGGAGGGAGACGTCGAGAGGAATAATGAGTGGACATGTTTCATATATATACCCCATTTTTCATGTAGACATGTTACACAGGAAACGTTATCAAAAATCAGGGGAGATGGGATAGTCTCTGGAATAGATAAAATAAAAGCAGGAGCTGTGTTGAGGGCGGTAATGAAGCTATTATGAAAACTCGGGTGTTGTTGCCATATTGTCACAAGGATAACCCGGGAATTCCCCGGATGTCATAACCCATAGGCCCAGGGGTATGCTGGGTCTCAAAGAGAGCCATCTGATATCAGAGACAGAGAGAGAGGATGTCGTTCATTAACCATCAAACCCCATATGACGCAACCTCTGCGCCTTGCGCCCCGTGTGTATCAGACAGCACCTATCATACAATCTTTGTCTACCCATCCATATATACATACATCCAACAACATCAAAAAAAGCACATGACCCCTTTATTGTGTACCGATATCATCGTCCCACCTTGTTTTCCTGTCCCATTTTATGCCTATCCATCTGTCTATGGTACCTCTTCGTGGTGTATCTACCCCTGAGATTGCCCTACACCAAGTTATTCATGGCTCGTAGGGGTGATGATTCCCTTGTGACGTGGTGATGACTGGTGTATGGCGAAGCCATCCATAGCTCTAAATTTTGAGCAGGGCGGGTATCATTCTCACCAAGCCCTGGCCAGGGGGGCGCGGGGCGGGAAAATCCCCAAATCCTATCAACAAATCTTGCGATTGCTGATTTACTTGGTTCTCTTGGCGTCGAGCTCCTTCTCATAGGCAGCAACCAACTCCTTCCTATAATTCGAAGAAATGTCAGTCATCTTTCCTCAGCATCATCAACCAGAGAAAAACTTACTGCAAATGCGGCGGCGCAGGCGCATAATGGCTGAACTCCATGCTAAACTCTCCCTTACCCTGCGTAGCCGCTCTCAAGTGAGTGCTGAACCCAAACATGGCGTTCAAACTGCAGTCCGCCACAAGCGTGAACTCATCCGCGCCCACCTCGGTATCAACAATGGTACCCCTCTTGTTCATCAACATGAGGATGTTACCCTGGAACTCCACCGGCGCGGTGATTGTCGTCTTCATCAACGGCTCGAGCACTGCACCGCCCGCATCTGGGAAGGCCTTGCGGAACGCCATCTGAGTGGCGAGGTTGAAGGCGTAGTCACTGGAATCAGTAACGTGAGTAGCACCGTCAGTGATGATCATGCTGGCACCAATGACCCTGTGGCCCAAAAGGGGACCCTTGAGGCAGGCTTCTTCGAAACCCTTCCCGCAAGCGGCGAGGTACTTTTCGGGAATGGTACCACCGACGACGCGGGTCTCGAAGTAGTTCTTCTCGGCGTCTTCAGCGTTGGGCTCGACCCAGCCAACAACACGGGCGTAATCACCGGGACCGCCGGACTGGCGCTTGAGCAAGAAGTCGAACTCGGCCTTGCGGCTAATGGTCTCGCGGTAGGCGACGCGGGGTTTGCCAGTCTCGCAGTCGACCTTGTACTCACGGCGGAGACGCTCGACGTAAATGTCTAGATGAAGTTCGCCCATACCGCTGATGATGGTCTCTTCTGACTCCTCATCGACGTGGAGGCGGAAGGTGGGATCCTCACGCATGAAGCGGTTCATGGCCTTGGAGAAGGCGTCGGCGTCGCTGCTGCGCTTGGGCTTGATGCTGAGAGACATGACGGCGTCGGGGACGTACATGGAGCTCATGCCGTAAGGAAGGCGACCGTCGGTGAAGGTATCACCGGAGGCGCACTCAACGCCGAAGACGGCACAAATTTCACCGGCACCAATCTCGGCCACGTCCTCCATTTCATTGGAGTGCATGCGGACGATGCGGGGAATGCGGACCTTTTTGTCATTGCGGGTGTTGAAGAGGTACTGGCCCTTCTTCAGGGAGCCCTGGTAGACACGCATGTAGGTGAGCTGACCGTAAGGGTTCTCTTCCAGCTTGAAGGCGAGGCCGACAAAGGGAAGAGAGTTGTAGGGAAGCAAGCTGACAGGAGCTTCGCCCTTGGACCGGTCGAGAGCCATGTTGGGAACGTCGTTGGGGTTGGGGAGGTAGTCGCAGACAGCGTCAAGCATGGGCTGGATGGACTTGTCGGCGAGGGCAGAGCCCATCAACACAGGGGTGAACTTGAGGCCAATAGTCGCTCTGCGGATAGCAGCCTTGATCTGCTCAGGGGTGGGGGTGATCTCGTCCAAGAACATTTCGGCGATCTCATCGTCGACATCGGCCAATTTCTCAATCAGCTCTTGTCTCTTTTGCTCGGCCAACTCCTTCAACTCCTCGGGGATCTGGTTCGAGACCTTGACGTTGACACCACGTTGGCCATCGTTTCTGATTGCCCTCATCTCAATGAGATCAACGACACCCTCAAACTCCTTCTCAGCACCGATCGGAATCTGAATAGCGGCAGCCGGGATCTTGAGCTTGGAGTTGATCATCTCGACAGCCCTGAAGGGGTTGGCACCCATACGATCCATCTTGTTGACGAAGGAGATACGGGGGACGTTGTAACGCTTCATCTGGCGATCGACCGTGATGGTCTGGGATTGGACACCACTGACAGCGCACAGCACCATGACGGCGCCGTCCAACACTCTCATGGCTCTCTCGACCTCGATGGTGAAATCAATATGTCCGGGCGTGTCGATCAAGTTCAGGTGGTAGGTATCCTCCTTGCCGTCTTTGGTCTTGTACTTCCAGTCGGCAAAGGTGGCGGCAGACTGAATGGTGATACCTCTCTCCCTCTCCAGTTCCATGGAGTCCATCTTGGCACCGACGCCATCACGCCCGCGAACTTCGTGAATGTGCTTCGTTCTGCCGGTGTAGAAGAGAATGCGCTCGGATACAGTGGTCTTGCCGGAATCGATGTGTGCCTAGTGGTTTGCCATGCTTGTCTCAGCATTTCCTGTTCCCCAATAAAGTCCAGTTGGTTCTTCGACCAACTTGTCATCTTGAACCAAGGCCATAACATACTGCGATACCGATGTTCCGGACATGTGCCAACCTGGCAGCCTCGGCGGGGGAGACCTTCGCGGCGGCAGCTTCGGGGGTCATGTTGGCCTGGGCCAGCTCCTTGGCCTGCTTGAGACTGTAGTTCCCGTTCTCCAGTGTCAGCCATTGCTTGAAGATGTCATGTTAGGTTAAGGGGTTAAGCCATACGCGGCAGCAGCACCCTCGGCAGCCCTGTAGTTGGACGTCCTGCTGAACTCTCTGAGACCTCCCAGTCTGGCGCTGTTGATGGCAGCAGCGTATGGCAAGGCCCGGCGGCCCACCAGCGCTGCGTTTCTTGTCGCAAGAGCAGCGCGACAGCTGTTTACAGCCCGTATTACCCTCATCTTGGCTGGCCGAAGAAAGAGAAAAGGAATGACACCAACAACCACAAACAAGAGGGAAGGGGACGTTCGTGGGGCTAAGATTCCCGCAGGATACGGTACGGTGGTTCCCGGCGAGACTCCAGCTCCGCGAATTTTTTTAGTGGGGCCGGGAACTGGATTGACCACTCACGCCACAGCCTGTTTCTTACATCCAAGGAGGGGAGCAAAGTGAACATTGTTGACCCTATGTTGGTGTGTGTAGCCCAGTTCAAGTTGCTCGGTTGTAAAATCCAGGACTCTTATATCCAGATGTTGTGTGCTTACAGTCCCTCATCCAGGTGGGTAGGCTGTAGTTGAGTAGAACACACCGCGGGGTATCTATCTGGCTTGTAGACGAACATTATTCTACGGGAACAAATAATGCAAACAGTGCCAAATGACTGAGACCACGAACGCCTGTCGATTGCCACTATCCTCTGCTTCAACACGTCTTCTTTTATAACCAAGTACCTATATACAGTCCACCTCCATCTCAGTCACCCTCGCAACTTGCCCTTGACAGAATTAATCCAAGGAACTCTCCTATTTAAAAGCCAGAACCAACAGAACTCCATGCCAAATCATCTGATATTCGTTCGTCGTGCCCAAATTCCAAAGCCAAAGGGTCCAAAAAGGTACGTGTACATCCAATCTCTGGGTATCCCAAATACTCAGTTACATCCAATGCTTATTGTTCTCATGGTCTCGCGCTCGACGGTTCAATAACGATCTGTGGCACCTGGCTCAGTCTCAACCCTGGCCGACCTGTAGGCTCTTGGTCTTCCTGAGCCTGTGTGGCGAGGTCCTGAATGGCTGCCGACAGTCGGTTGCTGCGTGCCCTGGCTGGTCCGGGGCCTGGATAGTCTGGGGGTGGCTCGTTGAAGGGGCTGTTCCTGCCCGATAAGGCTGATACCCCAGAATTGCGACGTGAGTGCCCAGGCGTGATGTCGTCCAAGCTCACTTCGTCATAGTCGGGCGGTGGCATTCCAAAGTCGGCCAGGTCTGCGGTATCGATCATCTCGGGACTCGACCCAGCTCTTGGGGTGGCCATTGCGCTCGGTACCCGTGGTGTGTTTGCTCCAGAGTTTGCTCTCGACCGGGTTGATAATCCTGCGCTTGGCAAACCAGCACTTGGTAACCCGGCGCTGGTTAATCCTGCGCTATTTAAGCTGTAGGCGCTTCCTCCTGTCGTCAAGCTCGGTGTGTTTGGGCGGTTCGTCGTGTCGATACTGAGAGTCGCAGCACTGTGACTCCTGTCACGCCTCAACAGGAGGCTCTCTGGTTGGGTGGACGCCCCGATACTCGCGGCATCGCTGAGAAGACCAATCCGTTCGCTGTCGGTACTATTCGCCCGGATCCTAGTCCCATCTGCCCTTGCAACTCCCAAGTCGCCATACGCGACAGTGCTCACCGCTCGCGCTCTCGTTTCCTTCAACCGCTCGTGCTCGTTCCTCAGCTCCTCGATTTCCACCGTGTTTATCGCCGCCACGCTTCGACCCCGTTCCCTCAACTCCCGCATAGCTACCACATCGTTCGCCTCGCGCGCTTCCCGTCGTAACCGCCGCCTCTCCTCGCGATCGGCTAGTTGTCGACGTCTTGCCGCCCGAATCTGATAGAGAGCTTCCATTTCCTGTTCGCGCAACTCCTCCTCTTGCTCGGCCGTCGGCATCTCGACGACAACATCAATACCATCGCGCTCGCCCTCCCTGCCCAGAACCTGCTCGTTTTCTGTCGCTTTGGGTCGGTACACTGGCAATGTCATAACGCTGCGAACTGATGTGGACCGATCGACGGCCGCCAAGTTGTTGTTGGTGGCGCCATTCTGTGCTTGTGCGCCAGCCAATGCGTCCTCCAGGTTATCCTGGGCCTCTCTATTGATCTGTCGAGTTGTCGGAGAGTCGTCCTCTCGCTCTGTTTGTTTGTACTTCCCGCCTCGAGGTCCAAGGCATTTTCTCCAGAGGGACCGGGTGCAGAAGTATATGATGATGAGGGCAAAGATGCCACCGAGAACAGCGCCTACGATCTGAAGATGGCGGAGACGGTAAGAATGAGACTAAAGAATCAAGGCTGTTTGGGAGGGAAAAGCCTACCTGTGCTTCTTTGGAAGGCTGCTCCCTGGTTTTCCGAGAAAGCAATCTGCGAGATTCATCTTGACCGACTGGCAGCGTTACAAAGATCGGTATTCGAAGCTGCGGAGGCATCCTCCACTATTTTTTCAGTCTCCAAGCGAACCGAGTGAGCCCAACAGTGATACACGGTACAGCAGAATATCCAAAAAGAAACGTCGTCGATTATGCCTTGCTACGAGATGCAAAGGGTGCTCCGCATTGTACTCGTTCCCGAAGTTGCGTCTCTCCGATCCAAAAAGCTCGTGCCTAGCGGATGGTTCGCTCTCAGCTCAGCTCCCACAAGGCGGATTCGTCAACAATGGCTTGGCTCTCGATGCGGGGAATCGGCGTTACCCCAGACCAAAGCGGAGGAAGTCGGGGGTGAGGCGGACGTTGACGTTATTGATGAACTGGCCGTCTTGGTGAACCAGTGAACCAAAGCAGGTCAACAGAATGAAGAATGGCGATGAGGAGTCGACAGAAACCGAAAAGCGCAATCCAAACCGGCGGCAAAGGGTTGGGTGCTTTCATCTGCGACGACAAGGCACCTGCAAGCCAAGGCTGGATGCTCATTGCGGTAAGGCTGGGCTGAAAATGCACAGGGGCTGGCCGCTTAACGCACCGTGGCCCCTGTTCCGCGCTGTTCACGCCTCGACCGAGGGCCCAGATTTCCCCACGTTGCTGTCTCACACAGCAACTGGAACCTCTGTTCTGGGCTGTCCGTTGGTGATGGTAACCGGGCCGTTGAATTGCATCTCGGAAGTGTGCCAACGGCGCTTATCTCTCTGCGTTACTCGCCATGAACGTCTCACATCAGATTCCAATGTTGGCTCGAGTTGAGGAGGGAAGATACGATATCTTCGACTCTTTGTACGATTTGATTGACCGACCCGGATTTCCTCAGGCGGGGGCAGGGTACACCTCGTGTTTGCTCGCCCGCAGCTACCGCTCGCGATGGGGTCAGGTAACCCTCATCCAACTCTGGCTCCGGCCGTCACTACATAAGGTACAATGACTGTGCATGCAGGTTTGTCAAAGGCAATGTCGATCTCGCTTCAGCCCAGTTCCGTTTCAGCTTCTGTACGATTTCAAGGCACCTCAGTTTCACCAACAATGCCTGCCGTTTCTGCGAACTCAAAATCAAAAGCCTCATTTTTTTCTTCACTTATTATCCAGATCTCAGAGTTGGAGAACCAGCCGCCGATGATGCGCCAAGTCTGGCGCTAGCATCACTGCTAGGGAAATCCCGACAACGCTAAATCTGTTTCCCAGCCACAGACATCAACAACAATCAACAACACCGATGGAGACTTGGAGAAAATGGAGATGTTTTTGTTGTCATGAGAACGGTTTTGTGGAAACTGACAACCGGCAAAAGACCTCCAATGCTACCTCACCACATCTGCGAGAGCTGGACGATCACGGCATCATCGTCGCAAGCGGGGGTTGGAAGGACCTCTGCCGTGTGGCTGGGCCGCTGAATGGCATCCATCCTCTCACAGCGTGAGAGAGAACCTGAGGGCGACTTTGCCGTTGACAGCGCCACAGCACAGCAGAGGATCCCCACAACATGTATCACGTATCGAAACTTCCATCTGGATCTTTTCGTCGTTGAAGAAGCCGCCTTTCTGCCAGGTCTCACAAAGCCTGATCACTGATCGGCATCTCACCATATTCTGGTGTCCCTGACAGTCTGGAAGGCAGGCAGGTCTCAGATCACACACCATCATCTGTTGAAAGTGGTCAACCCGGGCAGGCGATGAGATTTTCCTTGTGGCCCATCCTTCACGGCCGCCCGGCAGTGATCCCAACCCAGAGTCGTGGGACCGATGTGAGCTTCATCCATCATCAGATGGTGACATTGACCCCAACACCAGGTTGCAGTGAACGGAACTTGGTCAGACCAGTTGCGGCGCGGTCGGCTGCCAGCCAATGGCACTATATACACACACCCGCCACGTCGGCAAGGCCGTTGGGTTTATGGGTATCTACAGATTACACCAAACCGTTGCAATGGGGGCTATCCGTAGGTCCAGGACCTAGTTTCAACCCCTTTCCGCTTCGTGGTATTGACGGCAGGATCGACTGTGTTCTTTGACAAGTTTTGCCGAGTCAGAACTTGCTCTCATCAAATGTCCCAGCAGGGGGTTGCGTGGCCTGTGGATCTTGGGCGCGTGGTGACAGTTCACTTCAATCCCTCTGTGGTATGATAATTAGTGAGAGGCTTGTGAAAGCGTATTCTAATGTTTCACGTCGACCTAGATCTCACTTGTACATTGACAGACTTTACACTGTGCTCACTTCGCATATGGCCGGATACAGGGCCAGCATTAAAATCAAGCACTGTGAAGCCGATGCCGACAGCCCAGCACCGAGCCCCACCTTTCCCGAATGCGGCCGATTTCAGGGACCGGGCGGCCGGATCGGCATGTGGGGCCCACCAATGTCTCGGCTTGTTAGCACATGCCATTGCATCATCCCTCAAAGCCGGGAGCTTTGAAAGCCAGCATCAACATCAACCCATGTGAATCCCCTCAGTTTTTGACATGCGTGGAGTTGTGTCTTATTTGCCCGTGAAACCTGCATTGTTATATCGTCAGCCGAGCACCTTATCTTCTTCCAGTTTGAGATTTGTTGTCAAAACCCCGCCAAACCAATTACAGCCGAGGTTGTTAACACCAACACTGTTCAACCAACAGAGGTCGCTGTATTCCAAGATGGCTACTCCAACCGCACCAGAGGATCCAATTGTGAAGGCGTTGCAAGAGTTCACTACGTATGTACTCATACCATAACATACCATCTCTGGATTATAGTCCCTCTGACACCTCTAGTTGTGACGTCTCCGACGCCCTGATCAAGCTCAAGTACCGCAATGGCGGGTTCCTATCCGGGCTGACGATGTGGTCCCCTCAGAGACAGGACGGGGATACAAAGATTGTTGGGCCGGCGTATACGGTCCAATATGTCCCGCTGGACGATCCTAGGCCGAAGCATCCGAGTCATTATGTTAGTTTTTTTCCTTTGGCTTGTGGAGGAGAGGAGGGTTGCTAATATGTCAAGTAGATCGACTCTGTCCCTGCGGGGGCGGTTATCTTTGTTTCTTGCCCTCCCAAGACTCCAAATGCAGTTTATGGTGGATTGATGAGCACGAGGGCGAAGGCGAGTGGTGCCGTGGGGAGTGTGATTGATGGACGGTTTAGGGATTTGCAGGAGCAGAGGGGGCTGGGGTTTCCGGTATTTATATTGGGCTCACTGTTTTGTGATAGAGGGGCGATTGCTAATAGTGTGACAGATCTTTGCGAGGGATGTCGGAACAGCGCCTCCTGCTGAGTTGCTCAAGGTGGCGGCGGTCAATGTGCCAGTCAAACTGCAGACTGATGAGCAGGACATGACGATCAGGCCGGGGGATTACCTCATTGGTGATGTGAATGGGGCTGTGGTGCTGCCCAAGGAGTTGGCGGAGCAGGCGATTCCGCTGATGAAGAAGCAGGTGGAGGCGGATGAGAAGATGGCGGTGGAGATTGCGAAGGGGATGAGCTTTTCGGAGGCGAGTAAGATGTTTAGGCTTTGAGCTCGGCCTAAGTATTGGGGTGAGTCTTTGGTAAGAATATCTGGTGGGTACATGACCTCGAGGTGCTAATAGAACTTTTCTGGCGGTAGCTAGAATCTTAACATGCAATAGGTATCATAGACTCATGCAGATTCATGTCGGTTGGACTTTCCTTTCAGCAGCTTTAACTTAAAGCCAAGAATATCTCCTCACGCCAAATGCCAACTCATATCTCCGCGACAGCATAACCGCCTTGGAAGCCGTGAGCCAGGCCCGGTAGAAGCCATATCGTAAGCTGCAGTTCTAACCGAGTAGGCCTCTACTGGCCATTCACAAGGGGCATGTATGATTACACCATTGCAACCCCCTTGGGAGCCTTGGCTAGACGGGATGTGGGATATTCGGATGCCACCGTTATGTCCGAATGATTCCAAATCCCGTCATATAGGCAGACCATCTCGGGAGTCCGGTTGCTGGTACGGTCCCGTTCATAAGTCGTACAGCAGATTTATAGTGCTTTCCCGCGGCGGTTATATTGATATTGCGGCTCCTGGCGAGATAGGCACCGCGCCCATTCGTCCCGGCGAAGAAGTATACCCCTGCTTGGCAGTCAAATGTTCGGAGAACTTATCCATACAGCCGGGAGAAATCCCACCACGCAGCGCTTCTCGGCCGGACAATTCATCACGACAGTTCGGAGTTGATCCAATCGCTTAGGTATTGAGTGTCCGGACCCCCAATCCTAGGATATTGGAGGTGCAGTTGCTATCATTGGATAAGGGGGCAAGATGCGGTTCGTGGATGGGGGGGGGGTTTGGGGGGGGGTTATATAAGGGGGAGGAAGGGGTTCCCTGGTCATGGAGAAGCTATCCTCCTCTGGGTAACTCTTCTCTGCCGTTCCCCGGATCTTATTAGAGACTCTCCCGGTCCTTGGGCCTTGGTTCTGCTTTGTTATACCGTCTTCGGGAAAGAAATCGATCCACAATGCAGCTGTCTTCTGTTTTGAGCCTCCTGGCTGTCGGCACGCTGGCAGCGGCCCAGGCTTCCAACAACGTCACGACTGGCAAGCTGGGTGATGCTCGGCCGGTGAGGAACAACCCCGTCATTGGTGAGGTTTGGATCGCCGAGTTCGACTCGGAAACCGTCAAGGGCACCTTCAAGGCTGTCGCTGCCCAGATCGGCATCAACTACACCATTGATATTACCGGCTTGCCAGAGGAGAACGGACCTTACAGTATGCTTGTTGCTCCTGAACGACAAGTGATAACAGGCACTGATGAGATCTAGACTACCACATCCACGTCCGCGCTGTTCCCGAAAACGGCACATGCGCCGATACGGGCGCTCATCTCGACTCATACGTGCGTGGCCAGGAACCGCCTTGTGAGGCTTCGCTGCCTGCGACTTGCGAGGTCGGCGATCTGTCTGGGAAGTATGGCAAGGTTGCTGGGGGCCATATTCAGAAGGAGTAAGTGTTCAATCAGGCTCGCCGAGTGGAAATTGACATACTGATTGTGGTGGTGCAGATTCCATGATCCATACACTGCCACCAACATCATCCAGCTTGGGTATATTGGTAATCGTGCGGTTGTTTTCCATGATAAGAGTTCGGCGAGGGTTGCTTGCGCCAACATCAAGAAGGCGCCGGTTGCTGCGACTCCTTGAATTATGGCAGGTTGGAACGAGGAGAAATTGGACATTTTGCATACATCTGGTCGTAGACGGTGGAGGCTTTATGCGGTAGGGGTACATAGAAACCGGGGTGCGATGAGTTCGAGATTGATAAACAGTCAAAATGAAAGAATCAGTATTCTGAATGGTTGAGGCACATGCTGCTGTTCTTTCTGTTGGTCCTGAGTAAGGTCATGCCAGCTGATAAGGGATGAATACGCCAACAAGTCACGGCTCTTCTTTGCTGACTTTGACTCGGAAAACTTTTGAAAGATTCCCAATACCACCCGTTAGGTGCTCGCCTTATCAGCAATCCGACGACTCATCCAATTGAAAATCCCGATGATAGCTACCACATGCTGCAAAACGTCTCCAACATGAAGACCCAAGTGACTTTTGTAAGTCAGATGGTACCTAGTTGGTTACTTAATTAAGAATTTCCCCCCACTCGATAGTTCCACATGTTACAAGCCAGAGAAAGAGCAAACACTTTGTATGGTACGTTATGCCTTGCTGCCTTGTGATCGACCTTAGAGCACCGCCCACCTTCGCCACCCCTGCAAAAGAACACAAATTTCAAATGAGCAGCTGGGAGTTTTTTTTGGCTGTCATCTGGTACTGATGAGAGGTTTGCCAGGAATGGTGAGCCTATACAGTTTGTTCGACCTCCTGACCTCCATTTGCGTGTGACAGCAGCATCTATTCAACACTTTGTATGACTGATTACCTAGGGCTGTTTTCGAATATTTCTATCTCGAAACCCTTAACTTTTCCCTCGACTCCCACACAGAAAAGAAACCGCCTCTAGATACCCATCAGGTTGACATACAACGACCAAAATAATGACCTCTACATCTACACCACCCAACCTCCCCAACTACTTCAAAAGTTATCTCCCTAAGAGAGCGCAAATCCCCCCTCTCAAAATCTACCCACCTCCCCAGCTCCCAGAGCCGCACAATGAACTCCTCCCGCTCAGCTACGAGCTCCACCAAGACAACACTCCAGAAAAACGCGTCCTGCTCCTCATCCCAACCATGAACGCCGACAAAGGCCAGCTCATGGAAACCCAGCTCCGGAAGCGTCTCCCAAATAACACGGAAATCTACTGCCTTGGCTTCGAGGGCGCGTCCTCAGGCGTGGGTGAGCAGCCCTACAACGAAGCGGGAATGACCGGGGCGTTCAACAGGATTGACCATGCCATGATCCTGAACCGAGTAAGTCCTCAGATAATCGAGTTGGTTGTCAAGCGCCGTATCACGACCATCATCTACGCGGCTATCGAGAGCTTTATTACTAGGCCTGGTTGGCCCCCTGCTAGACCTGGGGAGGCCGCTATCGAGGAGCCGGTGGATTACGCTTATATTGTGTTGTACAACCCCGTGACGGGTGTGGTGAAAACGGGGGTGTCCGAGGGGGTGGAGGTGCCGAGGGCGTATTGTGAGGAGGCGCAAAAGTACGGGTTTAGTGACCCCGTTAATGAGGACTTGATCAAGACGTTTGGGGGGGAGAAGGGGCAGAGGGAGGTGCCTGAGGAGGCTGTGGGGAACCATGGGAATGTTACGGTCGGGGAGATTATGGCGGCGAATATTCGGGATCTGGACAAGAGGAACTGGCAGAAGCTTCTGACGAATGAAAAGGCATGCCGGTATAGGTTGATAGAGGATACGTTGGAGAAGATGGATATTCCGTGGTAAGGGGAACTCACCATGCCTGGGTGTATTGTTGTCATATAAGGGACCCCTAGGTAAACGAAATACAAATCAGCCTAGGTAACCACTCCTATGAGAATCTGTCTAACCAAATCCTAGCTGAAACTCTTTCAACATCAAAAAGTACGAACATTTTTACCAACAACATGACCCATCTCCGTGCCCTCCTCCTTCACCATCTGCTCCTTCGTGTTCCCAGCCCCCCTCCACAACCCCTTCCACCCCTGATCTTCTAATGTCCATTTCTTCACTCGTTTCCAACCAGCAACAATAGCATCACTGTTTCCGAGCCACACCCTCCAAAGAATAACAATGAGGATCGTCGCCGGGAGGGTGGTGACCCAATAAATCCACATTTTCCCCGATACCTGCCACTCCCCGTCATCGCCGTAGTTGAAAAAGGTTGTGCTGAAGAGGGACTGATTTTGGTAGTTAATAAGCGTGGTTTAGCTTGAAGGGGTGGGAGGGGGCTTACGGAGAAGAATGTTGCTGGGAGGAAGACCATGGTGAGAAGGGCTATGCTCTTGAGGACCGAGTTGTCTTGCATGGTGAGGTTGTTGAAGGCCTGTTTGGATTTTTGGTCAGTGGAAAGTTTCTTGATGCTATATGCCTCCAATGTGAACAAGGCTCAGCTGACCGTGTTGATCTCATTCTTGAGTCGTTCCCTGTTACTGTCGGCCCGTAGTTTCAAGTTTTTGAGTAGAGAGATTTGGAACTGTGCATATTGGATGGCCTGGTCTTTGTAAGTTTGTGTCAAGTAAATTGGGGTTGTCGCCTCTCTGGAAGCAGAAGTGGCTGCTGCCATGGGAGGAGGCCGGGATGGGAAAGAGTCGTGAATCATCATTCGGCATCTTTGCAAGTCTTTGAGGGTGTCAATGGTCGCTTCAAGAACTTCCGAGGAATGGATGGCGTGACGGGACATCTCGTGGACCTCACTGAAGATGGCGCCGGTTCGCATGCGACTCTACAGGAGAAACAGACTGTCAGCCATGGGGAGAATATAATGGTCGTCTACTGATAAGAGGCACCCACCTTCTCCATTTGACGGACCGGGTCTCGGATCCGCCAGACAGAGATGTCGGAATACACGATTATCTGATCGATGAGACTGGTGTGCATTGCCAAGGGATCGTGAAAGTTGATTTGCCCCGATAGTGACGCTTTTTGAAGAAGGCAAATAAGTTGCTCAGGGAAGTCCGAAGGTGTGTCGACAATTAAAACCTGGTGCTTGTCTGGGTAGTCCCATCGGGTAAAAATAGTTGTTTCAAACCAATTGTAGCCTTTCTCGCCACTGGTGGCGTACTCGGGGAGGTTGTCATGGGCTTCCTCGACTTTTTGGACCATTTTGAACAGGACGCGGAACCATGTTGCTTAAACAGCTCATTAGCTGGGGAGCAAGACGAATGAACAAAAGAGAAGGGGCAAGTTACTAAGTCCGATCATGCGCTTTTGGGAGGAGGTCTCGTCATAGGTTACCTGGCTGCCAAAGAAGCCATTCAGGTCAAAACAGGTCTTAGTGCCAACAAAAGCAGGGACTTGGAAATGCTCTAGAGCTCGGTCGCGACGTGAGCCTATGTCGGGGTAGTTGTTATGGTCTAGGAAGCTGGAATGGAGTTTAGACACCATGTTGCTATCATGGAAAATATGGGAGCACTCACACATAACATTGTTGGGGAAGATTTATCTGGGAGTTTTGGTTAGCTCACCCAAACACTCGACAGTGGCATCAAATGAGACAGAAGATTGACTTACACTTTCGGGGTTAAAATTAGATGTGCTTGTTGTCCATTCCCTCCCTCCCAGGGCTTGAGGCAAATCAGTACCCGAGCCCAGCCATCCTTCAGGTCACGACTACTTACAGGGCTGGAGTATTCTCATTTTTGGTTTCAATGTCATGTTTTGCCTATCACCGGTCCTCAATGGCAACCATGCGAGATAGCCACAATCAGACAAATGTTGTTCATTGAAAATGACGAACAAGGTTGACTTGTTCTAAAATGAAGGTTTTGAATGAATGGTTTCATACGTACGTTCTCCTCAGCTGGCCGACGATTTCAGATGACAAAGTGGGACGAGAGATGAGGCTCTTTCTGCACTGCCCAGTGGCAGCGCAGCTTATAGTGGTAGCAAGTAGCCTATCGTAACGGGCCACGGTATGTCGGGCAACCTTGCGGATGCACATATCATGCGGGCAAAGGTCCCCTGCGATGAGAAGCTAGGCATGCAGTTGCATACATCAAAAAGTCAACCATCAAATATCGCCCTGTGTCGTCGTCTTGTGTGGATGTTTTATTGATGGTTACCGATTCAAGGCAGGCACAAGCAATAAATCACATAAGCTAAGTTAGGTTAAACTCGTGGCCTTTGGTTTGGATTGTGCAGTGGTAGTTCAGTGGGTTAATTAATCACAGTCAACAGCAAGTTGGATTTTGACAGTTGGCAAGGTGGAATGCTTGGCAGAAGGAAGGTGGTCAGCATCTTGGACATCAACCTGACCGTGTGTCAGGTGCACCCAAGTGGCAACCTGAAAGCAGCACCAATTCAGTTTTCCTGACTGGGCAGTTTTACAAAGGCAATTACTCGGGACGAGGCCAAGGAGACGTGACTGTCTACAACAGCATTGAGAAGCAGGCGACCATGGAGGTAAACTGGTTTCTGTGGAAGGAGCACAAGACGCATGCATACTGAGCTTCTGCTAAGAGCGGTAGTCGAGAGGCCGGATTTGCCATACTAAATTTGGGGGGGTACTAACAGTCTTCCCTCAGGGGGTGTGGGCAGATGAGAGAAGATTGCTCTTTGCATGATCGAGCTCCAGTTGATGTCAAGAATGACAGAGCAGACTCGGATGTCGTGGGCAGAAGATGAAAGCACACTTGGGAGTGCTTTAAAGGAAGGTGTTTTCTTGTATATAGCTACTTATTTAAATAATCTTTGTGCATCCCTTTTAATACAAGCCATCCCACAACTGTGAAGAGAAGGAAACCGGAAAAATGACAACACCCACATGTCAGATGGTAACGAATTTCATCCGACAAAATAACCCAATTTCTAGATAAAGAAATATTGACATCCAAAAGACCAGAATTGAACGAAAAGCAAACCGGTTATACTCCAGTCCACATAAAACATGTTTTGCACATCAGGTGTCAATGACACTTCCGAATTCTGCGATGACGGCATCAATAGAATTCATGAAGAGGACCAGATTACGTTCGATCTCGACTGCCCGGGCAGGGACATAATTTCGAACTTCGTAGTAGAATGGCTAAAAGAATTTCGAGAGTCAGCATGAAACAGACAGCTACCAAAAATCAGGAAGAGAGGAGGGACAGGAAGTGAGAGTGGAAAAATACCTGAGACTCCACTTTCAGATTCCTCAAAGCCGTGAGGGTTGCAGACCCAAGGCCCGGGATAGTGCACGTGTTGACGGTACTCGCTGTAGATAATCTGCTGAACGCCCCGGTGATCTCGATAGTCCCTTTGGCCACGTAGCTATCAATCTCCTTTCCGGCCTCTTCCTCGGCCGGAATGGTGGCATTGAGTGCTTCAAGGGTGACGACGGCCCGCGAAGTCTCCAGAAAGTTTGCCGTAACTCGATCCAGAATAGGAATGACTTTTGCTAATGGTCCCGTCCCGAAGAGAGTGTACAGGAGACAACTGAGGTCATTGACCTGCCCCACTTCTCTTCGGAGCTCTAGTGCATCAGTCCAGTAATTGTAGACCCTTGTGATGGTGTCTTGGGCTTCGGGTGGTGCCTGTGCTGAGACGCTTACAGCGGTGATGGCGGAGATCAAAAGGGTTGAAAATTGAACCATCTTGAGGTTTTTTGATGTGAAAAAAAAACGCACGGCGTGCTGGCTTAAGAATACCCTACTGACAAAAGAAGAAGGCATAGAAACAGGTGAGTCCAGGTATTTATTGTTGGCCATCTTCGAGATCCATCGGGCGTCTGGTTATCCATCAGTCAGGTAAGGTGATACAAGAGGCATCATCCGAGACTTCTCGTTTCCGACGCCTCTGGGGACACAAGACGCCCCAGATCTTCACGATCGGAATTGAAGCTGAAAATCAGTTTTCGAAAGGGGGTGGAGGGGTGTGAGAAGCCTTGGTCATGTTCGCCATTTTTCTCGGCAAGACATCTCGACGTTCATCCAAATGGGACTCACCACACCCGGTTGTTGAACTTGATTGTAGGAAGCAGTACAACTTTTGTGCATGTAGATTGCCTTACTTACATGTAACTCCATTCGGACGTCCCTTACCCGAAATCAAGGATGGGACTTGGAACTTCAGGACCCAAGGCCATCTTACCCTGTGGGAATCAAGATTCCCAGGACAATGGTACGGTCAAGGATTTGCAGGTGCGTTAGACAAATTCAGCCCAAACCAAGCCTAGTCTCATACTTCGCCCGACTTGCTTAGGTGCTTACATCCAGGGAGAGCTCTGACTCTGATTGCATCATCTGGCATTAGCCAAGTGAGGGTTGTTATGTGTTGCGTTTTTTCAACAATCGCCTATGATACTGTTCTCATAGGTACTTCATATTCGCCTGGCTATCTTTCTTGCCCTCATCCAAAAAGAAAAAATGACGCCCAGGAGAATTATGGATAGACTAACGCTATTCTACATACGTCAATATGCAAGATACCTAGGTACGGTGACTGGGACCATTTACATCACGAGAGGTTTCGGTATATTGTTATGACGTATCAAGAATAAAACCAGCTAACCCACCGCGTAAGATTAGATTTCAATAGGGCCTCTCAGATAAGAGCTTGCAAATTGGTTTTTTAAAAGATAAGTTGGAAGATTGTCTGTATATATCGAAACCAGCAAGCACTAGGCACTGTGGGAACCAAGACGATACACCCTCTCAATGTCAACATGCCCCGACTGACCACCTTCCTCCCCCAAGGTCAGTATCGGGCATGCCCTGGCTTCTTTCCTGCTAAAAATTCTATAAGACCCGTCGGAAGGCCTCGATTGCCGCAACAATTGCCGGAATTGAATGAAAGGTATGCCCGTTGTTACACCAGGTTGTCCAATGGGGTTGTAGTTAATGATGGCAAAGTAATATGTCTAAGATGAAGGTTTAAAGCAAGAGTCAGTAATCTCCATGGTAAGGTACTACGTGTAGACACCAAAGACAGCGGGGAATTTAAAACTCACAACAGCAGCCTGCTTCAACTCCTTCAATGCCGTGCTAATGTCTTTACCAATAGGAGGGGCTACCGCGCACAGGTTGATGGCCCCACCACCATTAGCAATCGCTTGAAATGCATCACGCAATGCGTTGGTTGCTCTGCCGACGTTGTTCTCAATATCGTTGCCCGTTGTCACGTTGGTTGGGTCCTCTGGATCGAGCGCCGGCTTGAATTTGCTGATCTCGACACCTTCTTCGGCGAAATCATCGGCAAGCTCGTTCAGGATAGGGATGATCTTAGCGTAGGCGCCCATGTTGAGACGATATAGAACACAGCTCAAACTGTCGATGCTCTGGGCTTCGTCTCTGAGGCGAACAGAAGCAACCCTGTATATGAATCAGTGCTGTCCAGAACGTACTCTGCATCGGCCATTGACTGTGCGGAGATTCCTACAGCGGCAATAGCTGAAAGCAGTAGCAACATGAGGCGGGCCATTTTTGTTTGTATACAGCAATTTGAAAGATTTGACCACTGATGTTTCGCAGGAAACCTGATAAGTTGACTGTACTAAGCTACCTGCTTATGTTGAATGATGACGGCTCTTCAGAGAAGTTTCTTTCGGTGTCGGCAACAAAATATCCGTTCTGCAAAAAGGTAGTTGAAGCTCCTGCCCTTATCCGAAACTTCCCACTTCCGATATCATCACTCCAAATCAATGGTGCAACACCAAGTAAACCACACAAGTCATAATCAAGGCCAATCATCTGTGCAGTCTTGATCTCTATGATCAAGTGGCTGCTTATCCCAAGTGGAAGGTGCAATGTGGTGGGAATCCAAGCATTCAGCAGCCGTGACACTTCTCCCACGCACGATGATCCTTCTTTCCGCTTTTCGATTCTGGTCTCAACTTCCGTAAATCGAACTCTACTTCTCTCGCGAAGAGGCGATTGCTCAGCAGACTAATAGATCACTCGTAATCAAGTATCACAAAAGCCGCCACCGACTCACTTAAGCGAGAAAAAGCCGGCTGTGAGTTGTTTCGGCACGAAAGTAGGCATGTAGATGTCATTGACAGAAGAGGTTTGTACAGCATTACCGGCTTAGACATTACTAGCGAAATAACATGGAAGTCAGGACAGTTTTGTGTTCTAAAACCAGTCAGTATCCATGCGTCTTTATCACCCCCCTTTGCCGTCGGGAGGTCAGCCACCGGTTTATTGTACCATTATGAGGCCCTATACAACAAGAAAATATCAACATCCTTGATGATGTTGGCTGCAAGACCGCAGGAACCTTTCCATGTGCAGCTGGGGTTCTCTGTGGATTTCTCAATGGTGCACGAAAGTATCTGTGAAGACTCATCGAAACGTAGATCTGAACTTCCCTCAAGACATCACTCATCCCCTCTCCAAGGTTTGGGGCGACAGAACAGAGATTAATCAAGCCTCCTAGCTCGATCATGGCATCCAAAGCGTCGTTCACTTGGAGAGTTGCTCTGCCAATATAAGTCAAGATAGCTCAGCGGTCATAGCCGCCAGGTCAGTCTTATTGAGTGGCTGACGCCCTTCGATTTCCGGCCCGAATTCTAGGTACCTGGCAGTTATCGCACCATGAAAGACACTTCGGAGCGAAAGTCCCGCCTGGGGTAACACAGACTGAAGCCCATTTGAAATCCCTTCAATGACTACCCTAGAGCAAGGCCAGTCCCCAGCCATGATTCCTGGTACAGAGACCAACACCACTGATTTTGCCACCGTCATTATCACAAGTCTATTTGCGTGCTAAGAGGTCTGATTCGGCCCTGAATTCGATCTAATGTGTTGGAATGACACGGACATCAACCTGCTGCGTCGGATAGGTACCTTAACTTAGGTGATTGTCTTAATCCGCAAGCAAAAAGAGACCTACAACGTGATTGGGCAATTTGTCAAGATATTATCAGGTAATGGCCCCTTGAAGTCAATTTATATGAAACGAAAACTACAACGAAAGG